TTACTGTAGGATTACGGTAAGAATTTTGACAAAGATTTTAAACTGTTGAAAGCCATATTCTGCCTCGGAACAAAACTAAACAAGCCAAAAACTTTTATACATGGGTAATGGAAGCCGCTGAGTTCAAATATGAAATTTCCACTTCACTGTGATGCTTCTTTCCAAGGTTATCCCAGGTAAACCTAAATGACCGAATTTCCAGCATTTGTCAAAAATGTGATTACACCTTCAAAAAAGCTAAAAACACTCGTAAAAAGTTGTGTTATGGAATCAGCGTGCGCAAAAACCCTAGTACACGATTTTTCAGATTTTTTGGAAAAAATTTTGTCAAATGGCATATTTCATAATAGATCCACATGCCAGAAGTTCATACCGTAATCCTACAGTAATGAAGAGCGATCGGTGATTCACTCCACACCACAAATCTAAGTTGAACCTCGCTCTACAGAATGGTGCCCCAAGCTCGGCGAAAGACATGAAAGCAACGGAGTTATTAAGGATCAAACAGTGTTCACATTTTTTTGGGACACCCTGTATATAGGTCATTCCGAAAGTAATTTCGCTTTTTTCAAATGGGCGCCACATTTGACAGAACAAAGGTTTTTGAGAGATCTTAGGTGCGTTCGATGCAGAATTTCATTCTCTTTCTAAATATTATGAAATTGTTGCAAAACAGTCAATGAGCTTTCAAAAAATAACCAAAATTTGCGACCCATGCTTTTTGAGATGGTTAAGTTTCACGATTTTCTAAAATTTTCATATCAATCTTCAGAAGGAGTTCAAGTAAAGATTCGATAGAGTAAACCTTATGGAATACAGAACTGCTTTTTCCCCTTTTCATATCTTGTCATACATTTTTAACAGAATAACTGATGCTACCGATTTCCATACTTGGGCAGCTAAATCCTCGTAAAACATCAAAAGAAGAGCAGCTCGCGCATTATTCGATGCAGCATTTTCTCCTCCTTCTAACAGGTGTTTTTCGTTTCCGATTCGTTTATTTTCCGGGGATAAATCAACAACTCATTATTTAGCGAGCCCCAGGCTGTACCCGAAAAACACTAAATCTGATATTTCGAATCCGTAAACCCTCACTTGCGTTGTAAAATTAATGCTAAGTCAAATTACCATCTTGGTGGTCTCAAATTCCGAATAATTATGATTTTTGATGCGATTGTGGCTGAGGTGGGCCTGCCAAAATCCGATGGTTTTGTTGAAAAATCTTTTAAAAAATTCGAGTTATGAGAAACAGACAAAAGTAGTGCTGTATTCTATAAGGTTTACTCTATCAAATCTTTACTTGAACTCCTTCTGAGGATTGATATGAGAGTCTTAAAAAATCGTGAAACTTTACCATCTCAAAAAGCATGGGTCGCAAATTTTGGCTATTTTCTGAAAGCTCATTAAATGTTATGCAATAGTTTCATAATATTTAGAAAGGGAATGAAACTCTGCATCGAATGCATCCAAGATCTGTTAAAAACCTTTGCTCTATCAAATGTGGCGCCCGTTTGTAAAAGGCGTAATTACTTTCGGAATGACCTAATATCATTGACAGGCCCAGGCGGAGCCTTTTTGTCAACTAGTTCCATATACTTTCTAAAAGCGGAAAACAAGGCGGTTCTAACGGTGACCATCTCGCCGTAAAAAAGTTTATCTACAAAACTTATGAATTTTTTATGTCAAAAACTCGAAAATCTCCAGAAATCACTGAGCACACCCTTCACTCAGGCAGTTTTTTGGACGGATCTGAGGCACACTGTATATCATTTGAAAACGGAGGACGACGCGTTTATTCTTTAAGTGAAAAATACCCAACAATTTTTTATTCAATGCCTGTATGCCTAAATACTGAGGAGAAAAAACCTAGCTCAAAAATCTAATGTTGCAAGTTTTACATACATTTTTTATCAAAAATAATTTCATCGTCAACCGTTTTTTGCCAACAATATGAGTTTTGTCTGTTTGTTTACACATGCAGCCAAGCTTTGCTTGATTTCGTATAGCTAAGCTCATTGAGTAGAAGAAAAATAGTTTGAAAAGATTTTCGATTGATAACTTCGAGCATGTGAGTTAGATATTCGTATAAATGACGGCTCACTGGCAATTTCTAGTTTAATCGTGGATTTTTTAAGAGTAGGAACAAACAAACGAGTTTTATATCAAAGGTGGTCCAAGTGAAAGGAGACAGGGGATTAAGGAGTGGGTAGGAAGTAAATTGCATGGATTTTATGCTGTCAATGAATTATACTATTTGAAAGAATGCTTTTCTAGTTTCAACTCATTTGGATAGAAAGTAAAAACTTACATCCAAGCAAACAAATTTTCGCATGAAGAAGAAATTGGACCACCACTCCCCCCCCCCTTCCGGTCGACACCTTATGATTTTTTGATTAATTGAAACACCCTTCACCCGGAGGGGCTGTGACACTCTTCACCCCGGAGGGGTCATTCTTACCTTATCGCACTTATGATGACGAACATGAGTGAGTTAAAAAGCAACATCTCATAGGATGAAGTTGTGCTGCAGAATGTCTATTTATACCATCCTTCCTGTATTCTATGATATGCCATCAGAATACTTCTTCGTTATTCTATGACATGTTGCCGCAGATAGCTTATCGTAGACAAGCTAAAATCTGGTATCTTCCTGTATATCCGCGATACGTTATAATAGGCAGCCATGAAAGGAACCGCCGCGCAGCATCAGTCACCTCAGTAATGAGGTGGAAATAATCTAATAAACATTAATTTCTCCAGTACAGTATTTGATATAGATTTACCAAATTTTGTCTCCAATGCAATTGTGAATTACCCTAATTTCCAGAGTATAAAGCGCACCTATGTATAAGGCGCACCTGCCGCGCGCGAAAGCGCGGAAGGCGTAAAAGGCGTAGAAAAAAGCGTAGAAACCATCAGGGGAGGAAGAAGAAAGGGACCGCGCTTGCTGAATGGGTACTTCAAAGTTTCCAAGAAGTCAGTGTGGGTAGAGGATATATGTCGCCGGAAAAGGGCGGTCCCCGCGGTCATTTGCGACAAATACGCAACCTTGTACATGCGCGGACATGCGTTCCTGCAGGAAATCCGCGCGGGACTTTTCCAAATTCGGCGACATATAGTCCTCCACCCAGTCAGTGTCGATTCTATCTCAAATGGATTCAATGAAGCCTTGACAACAGATATAGACTTAAACGATCTCAATGATAGCTTTAGCTTTAACTCAATGAATTTCGAAGGTAAGTACTTGTGTTTGAGTCTTTGCTTTTTGTTGTGCTGAATGTAATAAAAGAATTTGTTTCAAAACAACTCATTATAAGAAATTCGATTGCAGAAAATCGTGAAAAGTCAGCACTTGGCGGCCTTCGCGACGTCGCACGTCGCTCACGGCGTCGCAAATGAGGCCGCGCGCGGTGCATGAAAATGTGCCTTAAACTCTGGAAACTAGGGTATGTGGAAACGCTGATTACGTTTCATGTTGTATCTAGTCCAAACCTGTAAGGTTTGCGCTTGCAACAAAACAACATGCTAATGCTAAATGCTAAATTTTGAATGCGCACCATGATTCAAGATGTATACCACAAAGAAATTTCAGTAGTTTTCAGATAACTGCATATTAAGTGGCATGCATGGCGCGGTAGCAGGAGTTGCGATTGGTAAGATGATGCACTCAAGAGTTCGAATTTTTATGCGTTTGTCAAATTTGCATTTCAAAAATGAATGCGAATTTACTGCAAACACTCTGCTAGTTGACTTGAAGAAGTTTTCAGGTTATGCGAACGCGAATTAAACTCTTTCTATAAAAATGCAAAAATGTGTTCAAGTTGCAGGACCAGGGCTCACGAGGTGGCTAGATGAAAATGGAAAAAACGAATCCCCCTTGATTTTTGGGAATATTTACGAAGTCCCTTTGACCTTCAACCAAATTTCCTCTAAAAACCTGAAAAATTCCCCAAAATCCCCCAAAAAACGAAACGTCGACTAAAAAAACGCCAAGTCGCCAATTTTGCGTCTCTCTTCGGTCACAAAAACGAAACCCCCTTTGCTTTTCGTCCCAAAAAACGAAACCAGTTTGATGACTTCTGCTAAATTTCATCAGCTTTAGTTGAAGGCACATGGATAAGACTACCGCTGGCAATTAATCGATAGACCTAGCGGTGCCTATCAAAGACGTAAATTGCTATTAACCACATATCTTACAATTGCTTGGAAAGGATGAGTTTCAAAAAACGCACAGCGTCTTTGATGTCTATGAACTCCTTCACCCAAAATCCGTTTAAAGAGTTTTAGTCTGATAAATGTCTGTGGATAAGGTATATCTCCTGGAGCCGATTTGAAAGAAGCAGCATTGAAACATCATTAGTCTAATATTAAGGGGGTGGAGGACTATATGTCGCCGAATTTGGAAGAGTCCCGCGCGGATTTCCTGCAGGAACGCATGTCCGCGCATGTACAAGGGTGCGTGTTTGTCGCAAATGACCGCGGGGACCGCCCTTTCTCGGCGACATATAGTCCTCTACCCATATTAAGGGGATGAATTACTCTATCATGAAATCGGAATTTTGGCCTTTTTTCTGCCAGCCACCTTACAGTCTTTCAGCAACACTTGCTTTTGAATAAATGCTAAAATTTGAAATGTTTTGCAATTGCAGCTGATTTTATAAGGTCGGAATGCGTGATATTTTCCACATTCTCTCGATAAAATGTTCGAGTTGAATTGAATGCTATTTCAACAAACAAGCTTCACAGTTTGGTCATATGTGCCATCAAACATATTATGATAAATTCGCAAATTTCGCTCTCTCGTGACGCGATGGCGCAATAGCAAGATTCCTCGAGGAGAAAATGAAGTTTGAGTTCAAATCCTCATGTGTTCGCCAAATTTACATTTCATTATTGAATGCTAATATAGTGTCTATGAGCTCGTCGGTACTTTATTTGAAAATATTTGTGGTTATGCAAATAACACAGATTTCAATACAATGCAAAAGAACTTAAATAGCAGGATTAGATCACGCAATCGTTCTCTTATAAAGATGACTCTTATCCATTCAACCATCATTGCACATTAGGCTTGCAGGAACTTGAGCATAGTAGGGCGCTGAAATGTGAAACAGTTGTACAAAACTTCATCATACGGCTGATTTTCGACATCTTATGATCACTCTGATCACTTCTGCTGTATTTCATCAGCAATTGGCTGGTGACATTGCAAACATATGGCAGGCCATTAGAGATTCTCTCGAGAAAAGTACTCGCAGAGCGTCTTCCATGTCTAATTACTAGCTCCACAACAAATTTAGTAGAGATTTACCTTTATTTACCCAAGTACTGATAAAACTCTCTTATCACCTACAAACTTTGATGAAAAGATATCAACTTTGCGCAATGTTATAGTTTGTTACATCCTTCTCAGAGAGCAAACATTCTACAGTAACTGCACTATTCTTTTCGAAAGAGCACCATAAGTACTTTTTAAGGCGCGAAAAAAGAAGAAAGTAGTTATAAGTAGTTATCAGTCCGAATTCCTTGCCAAAAATTTTTCGAAACTTTCTCACTTTGATTACCACTTGCAGATAGGTCTAAACTATGCAATAGCACACGTAAGATCTTTTTAACTTTGAAGAATTTTTCCCAGTAATTTTTCCAGTCAGAATTTTTGCACAAAAATTCGCGAACTTATAACTCGGCTCAAAATGAAGCAAGAGGGCTCAAATTTTGCAGGCCTGCTACTATGCTAATTACCTACGGTACATAGTTTTTTTGGACCTTATCGATTCACTCCATACCCCGTACTTATTGACCTAAAGAGGTGTAAGTTCACCCGCAATCTCGCGTGAAAGTTGCAGTTTTTTGGAAGGAAAACCAAAAGGGATCTAAGAGCAGATTTGCAAAATTATAAGTGAAGTGGGATCTGTCTAAATTTTTATAAGGAATGCCATAATATGGACAAGTACTTGAACCAAACGTTGTCACTTTTTGAACTTTGCTAAAAATGCTAAAATTTACAATAAAAACAGATTGATTTGGCCTTTGATTGAGGTTTCGATATATTCTTTTAATAAAGGAGAAAATCGTGGTAGTTGAATGTTTCTGCAATGATAATAATTTTTATTCGACAAGTTAATTTAGATTCGAACGGAACCGAGGACTTATAATAATTTAGAACATATGAAGTAGTGACAATTGTAAAGTGATTGAAACATTTTTTGAAGCAATTTCAAAGCAGATTTTTCTCAAAGTTCCAAGCGTAGTCAGTTTGGATCACCCGCTAGGAAGAAAAAAATCTGGAACAGATCAAAGAAGAGACTGCGAACTTTTTCAAGATGAAAAAGATTTCTGAAAGCTATTTTTTGAGCAAACAATTTTTGCAAACTGATGTATAAATTCTGGATTGCCACAACAGAAAAACAAGAATGAAATCTTAGGGAGCCTTTCCAATGACTAAAACGCATTCCCATGCTATCTAAGCAATAGACGGGGCGTTCAGCGCACCGCGTACAGTCCCAGCTGGCACATTCTATCGTTTATAAAGTCACTCACCCCTCTTCTTCTGGTTTCGGCACCTGCTCATCAGATCTGCCACTGTGGTAGACTGTGACATAGAGGGTGAGTGGTTCACAATCAATGTCAGTGACGCGATTTATGCTGCCAAGTGGTCCCTCGTAGACTTCCGATACGGGATAGTCGAGATGAGCAGTACCCTTCTTGGAGAGGCCGCTCTTTCCACCAAGAGCCTTGGCTGCTCCAGGGATGTCGAATTGCTCTTCTTCGGGTTTCTCTGGTTTAGATGCCGGTTCATCAGATCTGCCACTATGGTAGACTGTGACATAGAGGGTGAGTGGTTCACCTTCAATGTCAGTGGCGCGATTTATGCTGCCAAGTGGTCCCTCGTAGACTTCCGATACGGGATAGTCGAGATGAGCAGTACCCTTCTTGGAGAGGCGGCTCTTTCCACCAAGAGCCTTGGCTGCTCCAGGGATGTCGAATTGCTCTTCTTCGGGTTTCTCTGGTTTAGATGCCGGTTCATCAGATCTGCCACTATGGTAGACTGTGACATAGAGGGTGAGTGGTTCACCTTCAATGTCAGTGGCGCGATTTATGCTGCCAAGTGGTCCCTCGTAGACTTCCGATACGGGATAGTCGAGATGAGCAGTACCCTTCTTGGAGAGACCGCTCTTTCCACCAAGAGCCTTGGCTGCTCCAGGGATGTCGAATTGCTCTTCTTCGGGTTTCTCTGGTTTAGATGCCGGTTCATCAGATCTGCCACTATGGTAGACTGTGACATAGAGGGTGAGTGGTTCACCTTCAATGTCAGTGGCGCGATTTATGCTGCCAAGTGGTCCCTCGTAGACTTCCGATACGGGATAGTCGAGATGAGCAGTACCCTTCTTGGAGAGGCCGCTCTTTCCACCAAGAGCCTTGGCTGCTCCAGGGATGTCGAATTGCTCTTCTTCGGTTTTCTCTGGTTTAGATGCCGGTTCATCAGATCTGCCACTATGGTAGACTGTGACATAGAGGGTGAGTGGTTCACCTTCAATGTCAGTGGCGCGATTTATGCTGCCAAGTGGTCCCTCGTAGACTTCCGATACGGGATAGTCGAGATGAGCAGTACCCTTCTTGGAGAGGCCGCTCTTTCCACCAAGAGCCTTGGCTGCTCCAGGGATGTCGAATTGCTCTTCTTCGGGTTTCTCTGGTTTAGATGCCGGTTCATCAGATCTGCCACTGTGGTACACGCTCACATGATGGGTGAGAGGCTCATCTTCGATGTCTGTCGCGCGAGTTGTACTGTTAAGTGGCCCCTCGTAGACTTCCGATACAAGGTCTAGATGAGCAGGTCTTAGAGAAGCTACTGGTCTTTCCACCGAGAACCTTGGCTGCTTCAGTAACAGAGTGAGTGTGACAGTGTGAAATGAGTGTGACATGGTGGGTGAGCTGTGTGATGATTTGATGAACTGGCCGCGAAAGACATGGAAAACAGACGTTACTGCATGTGGGCGATAAGTCGAAAGCAAATAACAATTTTCAGCAAGCTTATATACCACAATTCTCTTCTGTTCGTGAGCTATTTCTCGAATAGCATAACATAACAGTATCGGCATAGCATATGCAGAATTCCATAAAATGACTAATAAACCGTTGACTAAGCCATGTTCCACGATGAAGCGCAATTTCGAATGTCCTAGAAAGGATGTTTCTCATTTCAACATTAATAGATCATATTATGTTTAACCGAATAAGGTTCTGGTGTGACTCTATTTCGCACGACAGAGAATTCTCATTGTACTAAAAAGAAGAAATAGTTTAACATGTTTTACCTCCGTTCGTCCCATTCCTTAGACGAAGTTTTGAGATCCAGACCCTCTCCGGAAGTCATCAGTAAGGAGAGAGGGTCTACTTTAATTTACAAGAGATTTTTGTGAAATCTTAAAACCCATCTTCTATACCCCATGGTCGTCCAATGTTTTCGTTTTTTTCTGTTTTTTCCTCGTTCAGGATTCTAAGCATTTGCGCAGAGGCCACTGAAAGCAAATAAGACTGAAAAAGAAAATGAGAAAGCAATTGCGACCTATTCGTACATTTCCCTTTTTTTTAGTAGATTGAACATAATTGACGGAGCTCATCTGACCTATAGGAAATTAGAAGTGATCAATAAATCAATAAGTACATATTTTTTGATTTGTATACGACACTTTCCTTTTCATCTTTTTTCTCGTGCATGTTAAAATATATCATGCGATCCAAACTATTTTCAAATCTAAGGCGATAAACAACCTGTTGCGTGAAAGCTTCAGAAGTTTTACTTGCATACTTTCCACTACTTTACATCTCTAAGTAGGTGTGTGTCTAAGTGTTTCTACATTTACATCGTTACAGAAGCTGTTTCGGCATCAAAAAAGGAAACGCACAGGATTTCCCAAGAGGTTCACTTTCGACGGCGGTTTTACAAGGCTGGGAAATTATACGGAGGAATCTCAAGGAGGACTTGTTTTGGTATAAGCAACCATTTGTAATGCGAGGGCGAAAAAAGCGGAAGGAGGATATGCATAGATGGAATTAACGAGACTCTGAGGGTAAATTGTAAAGTGAAGAAACTTGTGAAGCAGTTGAGGAAGTTCTGCAACAAAATATGGCTTAACAAAATAATTTTTTTACTAGAGGAGGCGTGGGAATATGTTGCAAACTCATGTCCCAGAAAATCTAAAAAGGAAGGCGTGGCTGCAGATGGCTGACAAGAAGTCTTTACAAAGCTGATTTGATTTTTGTAGAATTTATACAAATTTGTTTTCGTAAAGAATTGTGTTACTTGCACATCACTCGCATAATTTTACAGCTTGCAGACCATTTTTGAAAACATCGCAAGTTATTTTTGGAGGCGGAAAGTGTTTCCGTTTACTCCCTCCAATAACAAATAGTAATAGATCTAAATAGTTTTGAGAAAATATTTTATAAGCTTAGTTAGGACATCATGCTCTTTCTGGGCATCCTTGAGCCGAAAATCAACAACATAGAGATAGAGAATGGTAAGTAAAAATACTAAAATATTCTGATTTGGGTAGATCGCGAAGAATAATGGTAGTTTGCGGTAGAATTTTGCACTGTTTCAAGCTCCTTTTTCAAGCAATTTTTGCATTGAAACTTTCGACAAGATTCTAGATGTCGGCAATTATGGCAGAACAAATAATCAGCTATCTGAGTCATAATACATGAAATTAACGATCTTCTCTAGCACCATTTTTATGGTCTTTACGAGCATCAAATTTTCAGTCTAAAGCAGTACGCATGCTTGTATTGGCAGTCCGATGACGGTCGTATGCTGATTTTTCTAGATTACAGTAAGAAAGAGTAGAAAAATCTACAGTCAAAGAAGCTTTTTAGAAATGCCACAAAGTGATTAGGTTAGCCGGACATCTAACGATAGGTTGGCAAATAAGTTTTTCAGTTAAATTTGTTACTTTTCTCTTTTTGACTGCGACGCATTCATTTTTGGGCGTAATGTAGATTAGGCAGAAAGCGATTCTACATTACGTCCAGGGTTGAGCGTGGGGTCAGGCGCGCCCGACCTGGGGGATCATATTGAGGGTAAGACTGAGGGGGGGGGGTCATAATTAAGAATCGAATTTATTAAGTTGGGGAGATACTGTGAAGGTGAAGAAGAAACGCGCTAGTCCGGTGGATATCGCGATCACATGAAGGAATAACGGTCATAAACAGCATATTGATTGTTTCCACAATGGAAGTTTCAGCCAAAATTCAAATCTTCTTCTCTTTTACCTTGACATATGAGGTAAACAAGGGAGCTTGCTGTGTGAAATGGGTATCATTTCCATAATCAGCATGTCAAACTACCTCTATGCACTCTACAAACCATTACCTACTGCAGTTTCTAGTGTTTCTCAACCCCTAATAAGCGGGATTTTCAAACGTGATCAACTTGGTTTCAGAAGTGAGAAAAGTCAGCTGTTGTATACTCATAACAAAGTAATGTTCTCTACAAGTCTATGCGACAAATCGGACTTCATATCACTTTCAAACAGTGAAGTAAGAAGTGCTGCCAAAATTCCAACCGGCGCGTTCTTCACGTTGAGTGCTTTAACTTCTCGGATTAGCACAGGGCCGAAACAAGTCGAATCAAGCTCAAACACTCACTGTGGAATCTTCGAGGATTGAGTTAGCGCATCACATAAAACTTGGGTAGAAAAGGTTTTTCGGAAATAAAGTTAATGGGGTCAGGCGCAACCCCTCAAAAGGTCAGGCCGCCTGAGCTTTTGAGGGGTTGCGCCCGACCCCCTTAACTTGCCTTCAAGATTCAAAAATCGCCCCTTTTTTGATATGAGTATTGAGCGCAAAGCCTCTTCTTGTTATATTGAATATTTGAAGCCAAACACTCCACCCCTGTGAGAATTATAGCTTTGAAAAGAGGGCTATCCAAATCTAAAAGTTGCCGTCAAGTTGCGTGTATTGTGCAATCGCAGAAAGTAGGCCTACAGACTTTTAAAAAATAGAAACCTGCAGTGAGGGCTGTCTTCTTTAAAATATAACACCCTAAGGACTTGGAGGTGAAGAGGAGGGTCGTTTAGGGGCCTTCACAGGGGAGGGGGTCGTTTTTGAAGGACTTGTGCCTGACCTTTTGCTCAACCCTGATTACGTCCCAAAAGATTTTTACCACTTCGTTGTCAAAAATCGAACTGTCTGCGTACATTCAAACAAACAGTTTGATTTTCGATAGCGAGGTGGTGAAAATCTACTCATTTTTCTTAAGCTGGTCAAATTCGAAATTCTAAGGGTGGAAAAACAAAAATAAAGCATTTCTCAGTTTAAATCAAACGCATCAAGCCGAAACTGTATAAATCATCAAAGAGTCCTCTATCAACAATCTGCAGTTTCGTCTTAATATGTTTGATTCAGATTGAGAAGGCATTGCTTTTGTTTTTCCGACCCTTGAGATTTCAAATTTGACCAGCTCTGAAAATGCGCAAATTTCTCCATTTTGTCACCAAATATCAAACTGTTTGCGCGCATTTGTAGCCCACTACCTAGCATACATTAAACTCAAAAATGAGTACGTACAGTAAAAAACAGAAAAGTTACGAAATAAGTTGCAGGACACATGTGCCACCCTATTATATCATTTGCTTATTTTTGCTGACTATTTTTTTAAAACTGAAGAAAGAAGTGATGGACTCTGAATTAATTTTTGAGGGTTTTCAAACTTTTATCTTTACAAATCTGCAGAACTTCTTGCTATACCTTTGCTTTTCCGCGTGTATTCAGCATTTTAGGACGCCCGGAGAACACATTCAGACTTGAACTGCTTCAGTATCCTAAATTGCTATTTTTCAGCATTTAAGCACATTTAACATTTTATCCTTTATATATTGAATAATTTAAGAAGTTTAAGAAAATAGAAAATAGTTCCTGGATTTCAACGAAGATGTTAAACCTCTCGAATACATCATCTGAAAATCCCAAATTTTTGGCGCATATCTGCATTGATAAGGTAATTGCATACCTGTTTTTGAACATTTACAAGTTTGCTTGATACGATCTTCTCAGTAAAGCCCCCAGATATGTCGAGAAAAGGCGAAAATGATCATGTAGCATACTGTCGAAATTACCGCGTGATTTAACGTTCACATACTTTCCCGAAATTCTGCAAAAATGTGCCCCATTGTAAGCATTGCGCCAGATCTGAAGAAAAAAGCTGACGTCACATCACATATAGGGCTTGGTGAGCGTTTTGAGGACTTTTGAAACTGACGCGTGCAAAGCGTGCTAGGAAACAGCAAAAGAAAAAGCAATGTCGCCAAAAGACGTTAAAAAACCAATTTAAATGGTCAGGAACTGAAGTTATTCGCACAATCTCAATTCATCACCAACTTTTGTTCTTTTGCTCACTTCAAAGTGTTTTTTGTACATCTTCCGGCATGTCGAAGGTCATTCTACAGTAGTTGCGCGGCCCATGATCAATTTCACTTTTGCTCGCTACAGTATGCAATAAATGAGCCACTTACCCTTGGTATGCGCGCTGCAAAACTCATTCACCGCTCAAGGACGCGTTACTCGTTGCAACGTGCCCGCATAAGCGTACAGCCATACGCAGAGGTAGAGAAGGGAGGGGGGGGGGGGCTGACATGCTATGTACCTCAGCCCTTTGAGGGGAGGGGGGTGTAAAACCTGTCCTCGGCGCGCTCTATAGCCATTATTTTTGCAAGAAACGCGCGAGCCGAGTCATCGCGTTGTCGCCGCGGCGGCGGCGATGCGGCGACGCCGCCCACGACGCGCGGCTGCCCCGCCCAGCTATCGCCATTCGCCAGCCGCGCGATGTCGCTGCTGCGCGAATACTCGCGACTGCTCTATCGTCGACCGTTAACGGTCGCTATCGTTGCTTTAGTATTCACTGCCATTGTGCCTCTAATTGTACTGTACTTTCTACCTATTAGACTTAGCCAAAGTGCTGAAATTGTAAGTTTTTGGGGCGGTTTTTGGGCAGTTTTTGGCTGAGTACTGGGCAGTTTTTGGGCGCACTTTGGGCGGTTTTTGGGCGGTTTTCGACGGATCTTGTTAGAATCTCATCGTATAGATGTAAAAGTCGTAAAATCGCTCATCCGTAGCGTAGTTCCGGCCGAACGCACTCGCAAACGCAAGCCGTATCCGTCGCGCGACGCCGTGTGCCAGCATCCGAACATCTAGGTCAGAGCGGATCAGACCCCACGTCACACTCTCATCTGCATATATCGATTCGGTGAAACCGGATTTCCTCTGGAAAAATATAAAATCGAGCCGAAAATAGTAAAATTTCATAATTTAGCATATAATAAGTGATAGAGTATATAGAATCTCCACAAATAGGCTAAATTTCTACCCGAAATCGCTATGTGAATTGTATTAGCTGCACGCGCACATTGACACGCTATTTGCCCGTAATGGACATAATTACCTGGTTCTCTCCAGTTTTTCTGTACATATTACTCATCTACCTTGACATAAAGTAATTTTATAAAGAAATACCCTATAGAGGTGTCAAACCTAAAATAATGCGACGGGCGCGCGACTGCGATAAAATCTCCTGAATTTTCCAAAAAAATGGAATTTAGGGTTTTGACACGAAGGATACTGAACTGTCTGGACCACGGCAAGCATGGCAACATTTACAAAAAACGTTGATCACCTCGAATCGAATAAATTTTGCAAATCATCCACAATTGAACGTATCCATAGCACAAGCTCAGAACAATACAAATGCTGTGACGAAAACTCGGACACGGCGATCTTGGGCTGAACAGTTGCTAAGCACTTTTAGCACTATAGCTTGCTATGATGCTCCAATCCCGTTAAGTGAGTCTTTTTTCAGTTTTTTCTTATTTTCTTCGAGTGGCAGTTGTTGCAATAACACTGCTTTATTTATCTGCTATTTTTACATAGTTTCATAATTTTTTAAATCATTACTTGCCTTCCTAAAGAAAGATTTTTTAGTTTTTGTTTCTACTGCATTTCAGCTTTGTAAAGTAAATTGAAAACTCTACTAACTAATTTCATACAAAAATTACAAAATACCCTCCTACAGCAGAACACCTTTGATAATCTCCCTGCTTCGTTCTATGTTTGTGTACCGCTTTAGATCAAATTTTTATGATCTCGGTAACCTGCTAACTATCGTGTCTCTTTTGATTGCAATTTTTTTATTACGAAATCTTAACCCTCTTTTTTTCATCTTATGAGAAATTTGAACTTCTCCGTATAGAAAGGCAATTTGAATTTTTTTCCCCTTTTTAATGCATTTCTATGCACAATGAATTTTTTGCATTTCATTTTTCATTTTTCACACCAATGGCCTAACTAGCAAATTTTTAATTTTATATCCACAGCACAAACCTTTCAAATCCTGTCTTTATTGTCTTCTAAAATATGCATTTGAAAAAAGGTGTACGGGGATATTTGAACGGAGACACTATCTAAGTGCTAGGTTTATCAATGATCCTTCTCTGTTCGAAAACGTTATTAATAGACAGAATTTGAAAAGAAGTGATCAAATGGAACCCGGTCTATGTCTAGTCATACTTTATGATCTATGTATCAATATGCTTTTTGTCGATTTTTACAGTTTGAATGCACCCATAAATTTTAAACTTGATTATGACAGCTATCTACTGAATAGTTCAACCAAAGCACCCGAATGGAGATTTTTTCACAGCTTTTAGATGTTTTGATTACCGACAGTTGGTTAGTTCACTATTTTAGAGAATGTAAATAGACTTCGGATCTTGAAAATTCTGAGGTCACTTCTTTAATTTTGTTTTGAGGCTGTGCTGTAACCTTGGTGAAAGTCACTCGTTATTTTAAAATTTCTTTTTTTTTCTCTAAAAAGTTCCTTTTTTTCAAAAGCATCATTGCACTATGACTCATAACCTTTCATCTAAGTTTCCCGCAAATGGTTTCAACGTGGTAACTTATCTTTTTCCACATAAAAATGCGGTTCCACCTTTTGGAAACTGTCGAACCCGTCACACTTTACTGCGGTTTCTCACATTTCACCGATTTGACACAAGTATTTTCCAATCTCATCAAATTTGCACTTTCTGAAAGAGTCATTGTCCTCTTTGACCTTGGTGACAACCTTCAGACATTATTTCTCTGCATTTTTTGTCAGTTCTCAATTCAAAAGTGTGATTTCTGCGAACAAATCTGCAAAAAAGAATGATTTATAGTTTGCAAGGACATAAAAATTTTCAAAAGAGTAACCCGCCCAGCCTGGCTACTTGCTTATGCTATTGAATGTTCGGGAAGAAGTGCGCAAAGAATGGACAGCTCGATAGATTGCAGATTCTTGATGTTCTAAAAAACCGATGAGCGATGGTTCTAGTTCCAGCCCGACTGCCGTATAGTCTTCTTATTCTTCTTATTCTTCCGAAATTGACTACTATGAGAGAAAAAGATTACAATGAATGTGTGGAGAGTGAATTTCGCCATTGAAATGTACATTATATGAACAAAGAAGGCAATGCGAGTGTCTGTAATTAGTCTTCTTCATGCGCGTGCAGCGGGGAAGCACTGAATTTATTCCTTGGAAGTGGGTACTTGGGAATGAAGCTAATTCGGATAATTATGTTCTTGATAGCTTTGAAGAGCACTTGAAAGGTAGCGGCTAGAAGAAAATGCGTTTCAAATAGAAAACGCTTTTTTTAGCGTCTAGAAAATTGCTCCTCTTGATTTTCGATGCTTTAGATAATTACCTACGCAATCGCTATCAAATTGATCGAAAAAGAAAAATACAAGTATCAAGAGTTCCTTGTTTGATGTCTTTCAATTAAAGGCTTTCTAAGCCTACTTTATTGAAATTCTTGAGCCTCTAATAATCGTTCTGAAGTAATTTTTTACTCGTTTTTGAAGAGTTCTTCTTACTGGGTTTGGAGATGGATGTAACCAGGGCTCGGCACGAGCTGGCACCAGGGAAATTTCAAAACGAAGTCCCGTTTGATATTGAAAATTTCGTACGAAGTCCCTTTTGACCTGTTTTGAAAACCCGTCATCATTTTTATATTATGTAAAAAAATGTAGTAGTGTTTTCATGCATTTCTGATTTCACGAAAGAACTTTTCACAGCTTTCTGAGCTTTTTAAGTGGTCGAATCACATCTTGAGAAGCAGAAAAAGCCGATTTTTCGACGGCGGAGCGGACTGAGTGGTTTTCAAATTGCTATAAAACGCTGAAAAGAGAACATTATGAAACTGTTCCTTCTCCGTATGTAATCTTTTACTGTGTAGATACATTTTATGTAAAAAAGTATGAAAACTTATGTGAGCAAAGTGTCGGTGTCAGCTCAGCTGGCACCCAGCTGGCACGGTGCCAGCTAATTCAGAAAAAAGTTGGGCACAGCTTTCATTTGCATAAGTTTTCATAAATTTTTGGCCCATAGTTCCGGTCTACCAACGCGCATGCACACACCAAATTTGGTGTCATACTATTGCGTTTTGGCTGAGAACAACGCCTTTGTTTGTTAATGGACAGCTTGCCAATGGCATGCCGGTGGCATGCCGGCGGCATTTTTACGGCAGTTCTCCGCCTCGGCCCCTGTAGAAACGATATCCCCTTTGCTTTGCGCGCTAAAAACGATATCCAGCTTGACCCGGTGCCAGCTGTGCTGGGCCCTGGATGTAACTTTTAACTAAGGTTTCTGCTATACTATTTTCCGATTTGAAACCTAAGGCTGATTTCGTAAGTACCTCTTAGCATTTTCCTGTCTTTGACTAACAGCATTTTTTTGAAAAAATATTAACGGTTTGATTCATAAATGAAAAAATAGTTTAAAATTTCTAGGTACTTCCAATAAGAAGCTCGTTATTTGATTTCGCAATTTAATTTTCTGTTTGTTTACATTTTGGATATTGATTGTATCATTTTACGAACATGCCTATAAAAATTCATCAGAAATGACAAATCTGACAAAAATGCGATTTTTTTTTATAAATGTTGGATTCGTGGTTTACTCACTTTTCCTATAGCAATAGCTGAGACTAAAGCATTTTAAACTGCATTAAGCATCTGTAAACTCGATTTTGAAGACATAAAAAGTTTTTATATGATAATTGTTTATGGAAGCTCAATTAGCATGATCAATATTTTCGTAAAGTGAAGTTTTTTGAAAGCAGAATTAGGAGAGAACATATCTGAAAATATTTGTTGCTAAATATCACTGAAATAATCATGGCTATTGGTCAAATAACAGTTGAAATAGCGAATTATGCTCAAAAAATTATTACTTTCAACTAGTAAATTGTACTTGTAAATAAGTTATTATGCCGTGCTGAGTTGTTATTTTATCCTACACCCAAAAATTGCCAAATAAGTTCATATAGCAGGTTATATTCATAAATAACATTTGCAGTACAGTTGATTTTGTATACAGAATTCTTACTGAATTTTTGCTTTCTAGTGAATCACCTCAGCCAAGTGGTAATCGAAGTCCCAAACATCGCTACCCTATACGACTTCAATTTCCTAAAAAGGATCTGTTCTATGCAAGACTACCTCGAAAAAGAGCTGGACGCTTTCGATGACTATACTCCTTACCGCAATATCTGGAGCGTTGCCAACTTCTTCGCCTGTTTGTCGCCGGAATTTCTCTACAATTGCACCGAGCTTACACCCAATCATGTGGAGAGCGTGCGGCAATTGGTCAACTATTGTGCTCTTCATAGAGAAAAGTTGATCAAATGCAAGGTGGCTTGCAAGAAGGGCGAGGATTGCTATAATTGTCCAGGTATCTTCAATTATTGATTAATTTGTTGAATTCACAAATTCTGACTATTTTTCTAATTTCCTAGGTTGAAACTAAGTTTTGCGCTGGAAGGCGGCGCTTCAAGGCAGCGGTCGCCTTCTAGCCGCTAATCTCGTTCAATCAAAGGGTAAATTGAGACGTAAGCTACAAGAGCAGCTGCTCTTCAGCCAAATTCTGACTTAGCAGCTAGGTAGGTTACGGTAGGTATATGGTACAAGGGGAAAATTATCACATATTATCACATAATGAATTATCACATATTTGGCTGAAGCCTTTGACATAGAGGGGTTAGTCGACATGCTGAACACGAAAACGATATTGAAACTGCATGTAGAGGCTTTTTTGTAGGATTACTGTAGGTTTACGGTATAGGCTCATTCTAAACAAGAAAAGAGGCCTTATTTCAACGAGTAAATATAAACTTTGCGTTCGTAAGGTCAAATAATACTGAGAAGTTTTGGCGAAATTTTGGAAAAAGGCTTAGAACATTTTTATATTTTTTCTTCATGAACCAAACAATTTGTGCCCACTTGTAGCACCCTCGCGGCCTACATATTGCCAAAGTTCGAGTTCGCGCACCATATTCGAGAAGAGTAAACTATGTTTGTAGTTGCAAAACTTAGTTTCCAACCTAATATTTTAGCATCGGCAATTTATTTCCTTTTGTTTGATTTTCTTTTTTGAATCTCATACGTTAGCAAATGGGACGAGAATGAATTTTTTCGAGGTTATTCGTCCTAATGACGAAAAATTTCCGCTGATCTACCCCTGATCCACCCCTGATCTACCCCTGATCTACCCCTCTCCCTTTCTGCTGCCTTTACTATCCCTTTTGAGTTTGTTTTATGTGAAATATACGAAATCAATGTAGCATAAAAAGAACCAAAAGTAGTATACACCGAAAGCTAGGGAAATTCGAAAGTTTTCAGAAGTTTGGGCTAAATTTGCACACATAATTCCATCAAAATTGGAACTGCGTTTTATCTGAAGGTTTATTTTGACTCTTTCCTTTTTAATAATAACACTTATACTGCCATAATTGTAAAAATGTGATTTAACTCTGGTGCAAGTAATTTTCATGAAATGATCAGCAATTAGAAAGCGAAATTTCTTTAGCAACCGAAACTTGGGCTAATTTATGCAAATAGAACAATTCGTCGAGAACCTGCTTTCCCTTGTAAGTGTCACCTATAAACGGAGAATAATGATTTTCTCAAGGATATTGCTTCAACATAAATACTTAATGGTTTGGTTGATGGAACGTGATTTGGTCCAAATCCCAAAGGGATTATATTGAGTGTTTTGCAATTTTTTTTCAAATTTTTAGGGATTGATATGATTGTTTTGAGAGATTAAAAGGTAATTTGAGTCGATATATTTCAATTTTTGAGTTTTTTTTTTAAATTTGAAAACTCGCGTATATTTAAATCTTTTATCTTGATTTTGAATATTTTACCTTATCTATGCTCATATCCCACAAGTTCAATTTGCATTATTTTTTTTTTGATTATTTGCAAGTTTTGTTTGAGCGCTAAAATTTATGACTTTAAACTTATGTATGAAATTTAAAAAGTCCTGTTTCAGGAGTTCCAATGAACTGCTCATCAACGATGATGTTCGACTTATTCTATAGAATCCTTCCACGAGACTTGACTTCTGAACCGCTTTACCTGAACACATTCCTACCCGTATTTACTCTGACCGGCTACGCTACCCAAAACATTTTCGTCCCCCTGGACCTCTATAATAACCTGGAAAAAGCCATTGTCAACTACATGGACCACGAGGGTTTTGCCATGAAAGGTTCGTTGCTAAACGTTTGTTTCTGCTGTCGAACTCGAACCTCGCTGAAACTCGTTTACGGAGCTCAAAACTGGATCTAAACGTGGATTTTTTTCATAGTGCGCGTGAGCGACCTATAGCATCAAGGGAGGGCTGCGGGGGATAAATGTTTAGGAGGGGGGGAGTAAGTGTGAGAGCGAAATCGGCCACTTTCACTATTCGTGGAATAGGTGTGGTCCAGTTTAGCAAAGATTTCGAGCGTTGGGACACTTTCACCGCAGAAACGATACGAACGAACGTTGTTGGTTACACGAAAGGGTCAACGAGCGCTAAATCGTTTTATTTGGGGCTGAGCGATGATCGTTCAATTTGTAGTCGCTATGAAACCGCAAATATGGGGGGAATTATTTTGCGAGCAGTCTTGGCTGAATTTAAATTGAAGTTATTTAAAATATTTTGAGAAGCTTTACAGAGGTTGATCAGCATGCTCGATTACCCCCCTGTGCAAAATCCCAGCCCCTAGCTCAAATTTTGCAAAAAATCGATAAAATCGATATCGATCGATAACGAAAAGTAGCCTATGACACGCTCCCTGCCCCGAAGTATATGTGTGCCAAGTTTGGTCCAAATCGGTCCAGAAATAAAATTTCTATTCCGCACATAAGTACAGACAGACAGACATACAGACATACAGACGTTCAGCTTTATATATAAGATGCTGCTATAAATGGAAAAAACGTTGGTAAAGCCTCAGAGAGGCTCTCCCGAATTTTCATAGCCATGCGGAATTTCCCAGAAACCCAACTTGATTCTTTTACTAATGTAAACATATTGATTTTAGTTTGATATATGACTTGTCCAGTAATTCATTTTTTTATTTGATTGAAGAATTCATTTTTTTTCGCAAACAAAAAAACTCGGTATTGTACAACTCGCCGAAGCACTTATTATGTCCTACCCATTTTTCCCCTTGTCAACATCCCCCCCCCCTTTAGGCCTAAGGCATACCTCGCGCGATTCCGGTCGTTGCGCGATTTGGCTCAACAGCGACTCTTCGTGATTCTTCGCTAATGCGCTGTCTTTGGTCAGAACTTGCTCCATTTGCAACAACTTACAAAGCTACCCAAATATGCATCCGAGAAGCGCGCGCAATAAATTTGTAGAAATCTGGCAAATCGCCAAGTCGCATGAAAATGGCGATTCGGCCAAATCGCGTGAAGTGTGCGTTAGGCCTTACCCTTTAAAATTAGTCGTAAATTAGTCGCAATCTCAATTTTTCAATTTGTTTTTATGGCGTATTGCATGAGAAATTGTGAAAATTTCAACTTCTTTATGATATGGTGCAATTAACTCTTTTTTACTCAAAATTGGATGGTATAGATTTGCAAATCTTACAAAAATTTGAATCAGATTGCCGCGCCCTTTCTTCAAAAAAAATCGTCGCTCTTTCTCCGCCCAAGTCTCTCCCACCATCAAAAGAAAAATTGAGCAACTACGACTGATAATTTTGATTTGTGCAACAATATCTTTGATCTTTTTATAAATACTGTTGTAAACTCTGAGTATTTCGAATTTGCTTGACGCGGAAAATAAGTTTTCAATTAAGTATAAATTTTTCTTCAACTGCATGCAACAAAATCAAGCCTAATTCAGATGATTTGCACAAATCTTACCTTAACCCCCTCCCCTGATCGTATTGCACACACTTTGTCTTATGATAGTCTAAAAAAGCTGCTTATCTTCAGTGAATAGACTCCGAGAATTTTTCAACATTTTTTGGCAATTTCCCAAAATATACCGTATCCCTTCCTTCTTCATCCCTTCACACACTTAATCTTATGATAATTAGATCGAAGAAACTTCCCCGTAAAAAACACTTTGGAATTTTTCCGTCCTTTTTGTAAAGCCTTTTAACCCATTGACGACGACGCCGAATTTTGCGTGGCGGCGCTGTTGGACGACGCGAGTTTGCACAACACTTACGGTGTGGGAAGGTTTTGTGGTTATTTACAAAATGCAAGATTGTTTTGTAAATAATTGTAAACATTTTCTTGAACTACGGAGCTTACAGCTCCCAAAAGTGCAACAAACCGAAAAAATATGTAGAAAACTAGGTCTACAAATGATATGACTTTTCAGAGATGTGGGCCACCGGTGGTCCACATCGTCGTTAGTGAATTAACGTTGCCAAATTATTAGGCGATAGAAAGACAAAAAGGATTATTCATTACCGCTTTCATAATATTTTGATCACTGATTTCCTTATTTTGTTATTTTTATGTGGAAAAAAAATCTGGTTCCAAATAGGACAAAATATAACTCATTCTTCTCTAATCCTATTAAGCTTCGTCTTGCGATAATCAAACCAATACAATCCGCGCAGTTTCGAAGAATGGAATTCCATTTATGGGGACGCGTTTGGTCGTTGAATGCACCAATGTATTGAATAGCAGGAACAGCTCAGCGAGTGTGAAAAACTTCCAAATCGTTGAGGGATAATCCGTTGATGCGCGCGGCGCGCGAGTGTCTGGCACAGAAACCGGTCGCCTCTGGGAATAGCTTAGCTGACGAGGCAAGATTATATACTATTGAGGTAGTGTGGATTATCCAGACTATGTGCTAACTTCGAAGCTAGAAACTTCACAATTGGAACGAGCTTTTTGACTTTTTGGGAATGGCACTGGAAACTAGAAAAATTCAGAGAATATACAGTGTGGGATTGCCTGGTCATATAGATGATAGCCATAATTTTAGCTCAAATAATTGTATTTCTAGCCATAAATGGCAGAGACTAGTTGACAATGAAGAAAAATATATTCTGGAAAGTACTTCGTAAGCTAATTGACCTTTCCACTGTGAATTTTTTCGATCACAATATGTGGAATTTGGGATGGATGCAATTTTAGCCAAAAAAAAAACTTCACATGGAATATGATGACAAAAAATCCACAAAAATTCGGAGGGATTGCTTGGTCACCTGGATACCGAGTCATATTTTATCCCAAATAATTGTATCTTCATTCCCAAATGGTAGAGACTTATTGACGATAAAAAAATATCTATTTTAAAATTACTTCGTAAGTTATTTGGCTTTTCACTATGATTTTTTTCGATTATGATATGCGGAACTTGGGATGGATGTAATTTTTTTCATAAGATTTCACAACTGGTTGAGGAATATGATGACAAAAAAATCCATAAAAATTCGGATCTCTTGTAAGTTAGAGAAAAACATTCAAAAAATGAAGTAATGGAATAGATTTTTCACAAAGTACTGCACGTTTTCCTTTTGCTTCGTGTAATTTGCTAAAAAATGGGGAACCCATTGACGACGATGTGGGCCACCGGTGGCCCACACCCCTTGCAAAATCATTTTATTTCCAGGTCTAGTCTTTTTTCCACAGTTCAGTATTTTTTCCAATTTTTTGCACTCTTGGAACCTGTGAACTTGTCCAAGAAAATGATTGTAGTTGTTTACAAAGCAATTTTACATTTCGTAAATAAACACAAAACATTCCCACGACGAAAGTGTTGTGCAAAATCGCGTCGTCCCACAGCGTCGCCATGCAAAATTAGGCGTCGTCGTCAATGGATAAAGCATAATTTATTTCGCACGAAAAGTGGATTATTACCTTTATAAAAAAAACATTTTGTTTTTCGCCATTTGCCATGATAGAATAATGACAAAGCATCCACAGCATTTTTCTTTCTTCTTTATGATTGACCAGAATTTCAATACGTCCTATAACATGCTAATTTCCATTCATAAAGATTTATGCCGATGATTAAGAAAACCGCCTCTTGAACGTTCAATTTCAAGACGAAATTGCACTTGAATGTCCTTGCAATTCAATGCTGCGCTCTTGCAAAGCTAGAGGAATTTGAGAAATTGCTGAATGGGAATGGAGGGAGGGACCAATGAACGTTTATATATCTTATCCTTCAGACTTTTTGCAGAGATTGCTTAGATGTTTTTTAAGCAGAGTTTGCTCTAGCGTGAAGTTGAAACAATAATATTCTATTGAAAAAAAAAACGAAATATATCATTTTATTTTCTTATAAGAAAGGCGCTCTTGAAAGGGAATCTGCATGCTGTTTTCATGAAGCGCTCTCTTCACTAAAACCAGGCTTTCATATGAAATTGTGTTTGCAACATTCCAAAGACCGTCAGTACCAAAAATTTCCAACCAACCATCAAAAATAATATTCTTTCACCTAATTCAGATTACCGTAACCTGACCGTGCAAAACTTTTTTTGCATGCAGTTCATATTCCAATGGAGCTACTGATCAGGGCTCGGCATGAGGTGGCTAGTTGAAAATGCAAAAAACGAAGTCCCCCTTGACTTTTGCAAATTTTTACGAAGTCCTCTTTGACCCTAGACCAGGGCTCGGCACGAGGTGGCGTCCCGAAATTGCAAAAAATGAAGTCCCTTTTGACTTCAGTGAAATTACGACATCCGCCACGAGATATTCGAAGAGAAAATACATGAAAAGGAACGGAACAAAGCAACAGCAGAAAAAAAAACGAAAAAGAATCATCGAACACACGCAATTATATTCATATTCTCCGGAATGGCGGCATGATGTATCCATCGTGCAGCAATACGCGCCTAGAGCAGCCTTTCCGCGGCCATTCAAAATTTTCAAGGGGCTATAACTAAGCGGGGAGAAGGGGGTTTGAGGCGGTTAAGGAACCAGTTTGTAGGATTTGGGATGTAGATGAAAAGTATGTAAAGAAAGTGGAAAAATTATATGAGGGAGGAAAAATTTATGACTTTTTCTTTCCTAAGCCACCTCAGGTGGCTATCCAGGTGGCTTGAAAGCCACCTAACTCCGAAAAAAGTTGAGCACGCCTTTAGTTCACATAATTTTTTCATAATTTTTCATACTTAGTTCTAACTCCCCATTGTCCATCTACACACCTATTTTGGTGTCATTTCATCCTCACTTCGCTGTAAACAAACCTTTTGTTTATTTGCTAGCGGCATGCCGGCAGCGTGCCGGACGCAGGTCGAAAGACAACGTTATTCTGTTCTGCAAAAACGATATCCCCTTTGCTTTTTCCCCAAAAACGATATCCAGCTTGCTTGCTAAGCCACCTGTGCCGTACCCTGCTACTGATACACTGCAGCAGAAAAACTCAAGATTCTTACAAATCCCAGCGCAGAGAACAGTTCATGAACCTTTCAAGGTTAACTTGAAAGCTTTTTTCTACTTTATTACTGCGCATTATGTCTCGAGTTACGTCGCCGCCTAAATTTAGGGTTATCTACTCTTCACTTCAAAAAAATTCGCATGCATGATAAAATTACAACGAGTAAATTTTGGAATGTCCTTGTCACTTCAAAGTACTGATCTATATCAAAAATCTTAGATAATGCGCGCGCAAGAGAAAATATAGGTTTTGCAGTTTTTGACTAGGTTTTTTGGAGAAGATTAAGGAAATTGATTTGCGAAGAATGTAAATATATGAAAATTTTTCATCCATTTTTTGACAGCGAATATGTTGATAAGAAGAAAAAACAGTAGTGTTTTGCTCATGCATGGAAAGCAGCGGTTAACCCAGAATTTATTCATTATGCTATAGGCCTCACAAATAATTCTGGTACCAATTCTCAGTTCACCACCACTTCTGTTAGGGAAAAACCTTTAGGAATTTTCCACTCCTTCGCGCAAGAAAATTCGAAATAGTTTGTATTATGAACTTGTCGCATCTGGCGTTATGGACAAGCTATCTGCAATTTTTGCAATTGCACCTACAAGAAATTTTTATCATTCCCCGTAGGGTACGGCTAGAAAGGTTTGAGTTTGATTATCACATCACCTAGATTCCCTCAGAAATTGTTCCTGCTCAAATTTTTGTTCAAGAAATCGTTTAAATTTTTGCATGTGGTTATCATTTATGTGATTGAAGTTTTGAAGGCTTCTCCATTTACTTTGTTTTTCCCAAATTAGCATCTTCTAGCCAAATTTTTTCAGGAATTTCAATGGACGTGAAGAGAGATCGTCTCTTACCTGCAGCGATGTCCGATTCGTTGCTGGCTCTTCTGGCTGCTGGCGTTATCGCAGTCGTCGTGGCTTTACATTCACAATCGCTTACATATGCTTTGGCTGTGTTTATAGTACTGGGCCTTAGCGTTTTAGGTAAGTTTTCGAGCCATCAGCGATTAATGTCTTTTTTTCGATACAATATTTTTTATTCAAATTTTCGTTTCATCGATTTTTCCTTAGCAAACCTAGAAATATCGATACTTGCTTGAATGACGCAAACAAAGCGCACACCTAGCTGCGCGGCGCGGTTGTGACGCCTCTGGGTCGCAGAAAGATCACCTAGGCGAAAAACGCGCAGACAATCAGCCCCCTGGTCGCATGATCGTATTGTCTGCGTCAATGACCCAACCAAACGCGTACAGACCTGCAAATAAGCTTTTTCAGGATCCCTAGCCTTCTATGCAACATTTACTTCGGATTTTCCTCTACTAAACCTTGTTATCTTCGTTCTTCTTATCGCTGTCGGTACTGATGATGCATTTCTGCTCTTTAGTCATTTTCCAAGGGAACTCAACGAGGAGTCGTTTCATGAGGTTCGTTTTGTATTAAATTTCTTCTAGATCTTTTTACACTTTTGCCAATTCAGTGTCTCGCTCACACCAGTGCAACGATGTTTCTCACATCATTCTCGACTGCCGTTCCGTTTTTCGTGAATATCGCCTCAAATGTGGTGGTCTTTCGGTATGTTATTCAATTATTTTATCTATTCAGGATTTGTTTTATCTTATCACATTTTTCTGTTCTTGTTTGTTTATTTTTTCTACAAATTTCAGATTGTGTTCGGCTTAGTAAATGCTAATATGAGTATTATTTCAGCTGTTTTGGACTATTTGCTGGAGTTACAATTCTCATCAACTATGTTCTTGTTGTTTCCTTTCTTCCTGCGTTTCTTATCCTGCAAAGGAGGTGAGATTCTCAATTTTTTGCAATTTGAAAATGAGCAAATTGACCACTAAGTGGAATCAGAATAATCGAAAGTGCAAAATGAATTTTTAAATTTTCTTATTATCAACTTTGTAAGAATTAGCTGTTTTACACTTCACACTCTGGGCACCTGGTTCCTTGAGTCGAAAGTAGTTGGAAAGTCTCCGTTGCGTGAAGAGGAACGAATACCCATTAGGCACCGCCTTCCGAACCACTGGTCCTCATCCGATGCACAATAGTAGGGCGGAAGGACCAGCAGTCCGCAAAGGCGATGAATAATTGAGGTATTCGTTCCTGTACCCCACCGTAACCATTGCCGCAGGCCATATGGTTTATTTGTGGTGTGAAAATCGCATCTGAATTCTCGTCCAGTACCATAATTCTTTCGAGCGGTCCAACCAGCTACGGTAACGAGCGAAAATTCAAGGTTAAGATTCTTGGCTGTAAATTTACCCGAGCTATCGCTTGAGCAATGGCTTGAGTAAAATAAAGAGAAATAAAAGTTATTTCCAGCGCAACATTCTTTTAGGTTTTGTGCTTGCATACCTTCGCTCCCCAGTATTGGAACCTACTTTTCAAAATCTTTCAAGGAGGTCTTACCATGGGTAGTAATTCAGGTAATCATTTTCACCTCTCTGCTTCGAACTTCTTATTTCTTTTTGTTTGAAGTCTTGACTTTGTAGCAAGTCAAACCAAAATGTTTATTGAAGGGTCGCTTCGTTTGGATGATCTCATTGTCTACCGTAGTCGTGGTGGCTGTCGTGGTTGCTGTGCGGGACCTACATCTACCCGAGTACAATCCGCTGCAGGTGTTCATCGCGTCGAATCCACACGAATGGTACTGTACAGTCTAATCAGCAGCATGCCTGCTTGAAAAAGGTGGACGCGGTGACAACTGCTGAAACTTCCTTTACCCAGATATTGGGTAACTGAACATATTTATAGGTATGACAACAACGCTGAAAAGACTTTCTTCTTTGTGGAGGAGAAAATCGCCATTCCGTTGTATGTGCGGCTCGTTTGGGGTGTGAAAACTGTGAATTCCACGGCAATGTTCAGACATGACACCGTTACTCCACTAGAGTAAGTGACTTGTCGTTTTTTTTAAACTCAGAGCCTAGGCAAATTTTAGTACCTGAATTTCCAATGTAGATGCTGATTGAGAGGCCCTAAAACTAGGCTCTTGTCCAAGCGGCAGCTCATGTGGTTCATTCATGGCCGAGAAAATCAACTTCAAACTCTCGCCCACTACCGTATTCGCGGGCGGCGACGAATAGGGGGCGAGAGTTGCGCGCTGTACTTCTCGACGACGATGGAATCATTTGACCTGCTTCAACAGTGTTTATGGTTAGAATTACCCACTTAGCCACATAAAACCTCAAAATTCGCTTTAACATTTTGAAAAATTGCCTGAAAATCGCCGAGTTTTTCAGATCTAACCCTGCTTTCACCCTCTCAACCCCCAATGACGTTCGGAACCTCGCAAATGAGCTTTCTACATATCGAGCTTACCCATTCATCAATCATTCGGAACCATTTTGGCCTGAAAAATTTCTCAACTGGAGCGCAAAATATCATTGCGAGGAAGGGTAATCTAGAAGAATTTTGAGCTATTTTTTCTCAAGTTCCTATTCAGACTGATCTGCTGTAACATGTCACATCCGATATTTAACGATGTCTACTTGGATTACTGCCTTCGGAACTCGACTGCTTTCATAATCACTTCCTACAATGATACTCCACTTTTCGACAATAATTCGTTTGCTTTATGCGGGTGCGTATTTCTTCTTTCTTCACTTTTACCTCATACGGAATTCAACTCAATTGCATTCCCTTAACTGCTTGTTCTATTTGTTAACTTGTTCGCTAAACTGCCAGTATTAAAATAAACTCATTCTGGTCCACCTGGTGATGTTGTTCAAAGGATTTTGGTCAATGTCAATTTTTTAGTTATACGGCCCTTATGCCCACGCATCTGAAATATTCACATCGATTCCATCGTTTGGCTCATTCGTTCAATTTGCTTTCACTACTGACGCCATCGAATGGCTGGTGGTCTACCGAGTGGGCACTAATTTCTACATGGTAGGTTGAGGTTTCTTTCGAAACATTTCATTTTGGAATCATTTCGTAAAAAATTTTGGCAGTCAACGCTATTCACATTCAAGAAATTTTTTGGGTTATGAGTTGACTTAAGATCAGGGAACCATGAAAATTTTGTGAATTTTGTGAAAAAAAATTTTTTTGGACATGCCAAGAATTTTTACGAAGATTTTTGGACTTATAGCTGGCTAAAGATTTCGTAACTTCCGTTAAAAATATCACGATGCGTGCGTCGCCCGTTTCTAAAAAAGAGTCTGCAAAAATGTATTTTAGTAGACAGTAAAATAATATAAAGATCGTGCTTTGTTACCTGGTAATTAACCAATCATTGCAAAAAAACATAAATTCAAATAGGTAACAGGGGAAGAGGTTTTCTGAAGTTTTAGTAAGGTGGTTAGCATGTACAGAATTACCGTGGTTATAAAAAGACATTTTACCCTAATTTCACGCGTACAAGGCGCGGGGGGTTTTTTTTTCCAAAATCGACCAGCCCAAATACGGCAAAGAACTTTGCAACCAAAGGACCCTATGTCTTGTTGTATATTGCTTAAGAGAATCGTACGGCATAAGGATCGCTTTCCGAAATAATTTAAAGCGGCTGAGGGGCTTAGTCGAAAAATCGAAAAAGGTGCGCCTTGTACGCGTGAAATTAGGGTACATGTCAAAAAATTCCTCAGAAATATTTTTGCATTAAAAATTTCCAGGTACGATTTGCAACATTCGATTGTATCAGATGTGCGGTCCTCAGTGATTGTTTCGGTTTCTGTCGTAGCCCTCTTTGCTGTTCTGCAGCTAAAAATGCAGGTACCCAGAATGAGGTAAATTATTTTCCAGCATTTCTTATGAGTTTACTTTTAGGCAATAGCTGCTGTAATCACATGCGTGTGTATCATAGCCAGTTCAGTAGGCTGTGTAGCTTTACTCGGTTGGGAGATTGGCGTGCTCGAAGCTGTAATCCTCGTCTTAGTTGTCGGTCTCTCATTCGACTACACACTGCATTACGGAGCAGCTTTGCCAAAAACCGGATGTAAATCGCATAGGATTCAGCGCTCAGCAAATCTTGCTACCGTACCAGTAACACTGTCTGCATTCACCTCGTTCTTGGCAGGAGCATCAATGCTTTTCACTCAGACGCATGCATTTTCACAGGTTTGTTGGAATTTTAAATAATTTGGAGCTAGTAATCATATATCGAAGTCGTTTACGACGCACGACGGACTGGACGTCACTGCAGACATCTGCGTCTCTTACACGGAAATTATCAGGGTACTTATGAGCAGGAAAGATACAGACGATGAGAGAGTTGGGAGTGCGTCTCCAGATTAAGAGACTGCATATGAGTAGGGGAGACGCAGACGGTGAGAGAAACTTGGCAGTGTGCCGGAAAGTTAGCAGAGCTTGTAACAGCAGAGACGCAGACGATGAGAGTAACAGGAGTGAGCGATTTTACCGTTTCTATCCGAAGTAAGCAGAATGCTTATAAGCGGGAGAGACGCAGACGATGAAAGTGATAATAGTGTGTCTCCACTGCCCCTTCCCCACCCCCGCCCCCTATGGAAAGGGTCGCGACATTTTTTAAAGTTGTTTGCAGGAGTTTCGAAATTTGCAAGTGATTTTCACTTGTAAATGATTGAAATGAGAAAACCTGTGAAAAAGCGGCTCTATAGAAAGATTTTTTCGGGGCGCTACCGCTACAAACTCTTTTTCTAACATCGGGTTTGCGGGTACATAAAATCTTGGGAAGAAATATTTCAGAGTGTGTTGGAGGAAAGTATAGCCCACTTTTCATCCAAAAAGGTTTTTTTCTTCCGTTTCCCCATCCTTTCCCTAAGAAACTTTCTCGGACCGCCACTGTGGTCTTTAGTGGACGAAAAATTCACAAACACGCGGCAGAGACACAGACTAAGATTGACCCAAGAGCGAGCGTTAGCGAAGCGCATGCAAGCGGAGGAGACGCAGACAACGAGAGTGACGAGTGTGTTCTGGACTTAAGAGACGCAAAAGGTTAGAATGACGTACAGTATCTGCATCCGCTGATTTACTTAGGATATTTTTCAAAAGTTTTGAGGTCTGAGCGCTGTAGAAACTACTTCACCCCTTTTTACTTTTTTCTTAGAATTTTTTCTCGTTCAAAAACATAATCTAAATTACACTTTTAGGTCGGAGTATTCCTTATCGTACAAACCGTATCCAGTTGGATATTCGCTACATTTTTCTTCTTGCCACTACTTTCGCTCACTCTTCCCGGTGGAAAAACCGAGTGTGCCGAATGTGACAAAGCAACTCCGGTCTCATTTCCAATGCACGAGAAGTTTCATTCATAGCGGGTGTTCAACGCTGGTTATTCCCTTCGGATATCCAGCACGTCACTACAACTCATGACTCATTAGAAGCCAGTTGTATATATAACTTATAGAAGCGCTAGACTGCCGCTGCCTTATTTTTCGTACGGGTGCTTCTGTGATTCAAAATGATTTCACTGTCACATTTATACGTTGAATTTGAGATGTTTAGATAGATATATGACATAGAATCAATTTTTTTCCTGCCACAACATAAGCAGCTTTGTGAAAATAAATGTTCCTGCCTGATTTTCTTGTCAAATTTGTATTGTTATAGCTGTCAAAATTGCTAGAAAAAAAAAACAGAATAAAATGTCAAGAAAACTTCACTTGTAGAATATGTACAATATTTATTCAGATCACTAACAAAGTGTATTTCTAGAGATCTAAAAACTGTCACTAACCCTAGGACAATTTTCAAGACATAACGAAAGAAATGCAGGGGCAAAGTATGGAGATCCTTTGTAGAAGATTTGGCTTTGAAAGAGTGAGAGTTAGTAAAAGTAACAAAGAATTAATACTTGGTTATCACTTCAGAAATACAAATAAAAAGTTTGACTGCACATTTTTGTTATGAAATGGTTAAGAATGAAAACTGGCACACACGAAATTGTATAAATTTGATTTTGAGGCACCTTAGAGTCAGCCCTATAAAAATGAGATTTGAAGATGATAGATTACAAACACATCAAAACCATCTGCACTTCAACATTTGACAACTTTAGTACTTCCCTTTTTTCTTGTTAGTGATTTTATTTGTTTTATTTGGTTGATGTGATAGTTTCCATGCATCCAAGATACCTAACAATAGATCGTGGCCTATTTCTTTGAGATCCTTTGTGCCAATCTGTAAAAGGATACGACACTAAGGGTAGCGACAAATTATGCACGTTTACTCCCACCTGGAATCCTTTATATGCACCGGTTTCAAACCCTGAATACGTCGATTCCATTGTGTACGCCTTAGCAACGCCAAATTGCCTCCAAACTGTGACTCTGGCCGATGATTCCTTTCCCCGAGTGATAGAGAACTGGCAAAGATTGAAGGAGAAGGCAGGGGAGTTCTGAAAAAGTAAAATCAAATTTCGGCAATGATTTTGGAACAAATCTGTCAATCCAAACAAAATTATGAAAACTAGGAAATTTTACAAAAAAGGGACTCTCATAATGAAACAAATGAGAAGTTAGAATATAATTGCCAAGTTACAGAACTTCACGACAAGTTTTCTATCTGTATTTACATCCGGTTTCAAGGCTAAGAACTATACTAGTAGTCCTATAGTTGCCTTGGTGTCAAAAAAAAAAGCCAAAAAATGTGAAACAGATACAGTAGAATCATTTCATATGATCATGTGTGTCATTGCACACAGTCCACCTTTGGCGTTCCCATCCTGGATTCGTAGAAATAACAACCCTTCAGGTAAGTGTTTTCAGTTCTTAACATTTTCTTCCCTTTTTAGGTACTGAGAACCTCAAATTGATGTAATCGATAATAACCGGTAAGTTTCTTCGTTTTTGCGATTGCAAATCCAGTATGAGGGCGCCAAAGGTGGACTGTGTGTGCAATGACACACATGACCATAAGAAATGATTCGACTGTACATGTTGAGATAACATGTTGGCAAACGCAATTTTGTATGCAAAATTAATTGATAGGAAAAGATCGGAACAAGATGTCAGCCTCCCATTATCGAACCCCATCCCCTCTACAAAAAAAATTCTGCGACTACACTAAAAAGATACGACCACTTCCATTAAGAGTTCTATTATTTTCATCAATGCGCCCTCGCGCCGTTTGGTAAGAGGGAAATAAGAAAATAGCTTTACAAAATATAAAAATAGACAATATAATAAATAAAATCAAAATGAGCCACATTACCTGTTCCAAAACCTCTGGCAAAATCATAAATTCATATTCATGCTGCATCGACTTGTCTTCATCACGCCATGATTCTTCAGGATTATTACCAAACATAAAAACATTGGCTCTTCGGGAATGACCATGTAAATCAACGAACACAAAAGGTGGGCGTTTCAGAACATCGCACTGGAAGAAAGTGATATAGTAGGTAAAGGTTTAAGACAAATTACTTTGAAAGTAAAAAATGATTACAACAGAAAGCATACAAAGTAGTTGAAAAAGCTCACCATATACTGGATGACTGCTTTTGTATGATAAATTTCGGGATGCGAATGACGACTTGGTTTATCCCAAACCCTGAATTTGCAAACTAAATCTTATATATAAAGCTGAATGTCTGTTTGTATGTATGTCTGTATGTCTGTCTGTCTATCTGTCTGTCTGTCTGTCTGTCTGTATGTGTGTACGTATGTTCCGAATAGAAAATTCCATTTCTGAACCGATCCGGACCAAACTTGGCACACATACACTTTGGGCCCCGGCGGGTGTCATAGGCTACTTTTCGTCATCGATCGATCGATTTTGGCGATTTTTTGCAAAATTTGGGCTACGGGGCTGGGAGTTGGCACAGGGGGGTAATCGAGCATGCTGATCATCCCCAAGGGGGTGATCAGCATGCTCGATTACACCCCTGTGCCAAATTCCAGCCCCCTAGCTCAAATTTTGCAAAATCGATAAAATCGATAGAAGTAATGGATAATTCCAAAAACTAATATTGTATTCGTAATCTGCATGCTCGATTACCCCCCCTGTGCAAACTCCCAGCCCCGCAGGTCAAACTTTACGAAAAAATCGATAAAATCGATAAAAGTAATGGACGATCCTGAAAACTAATATTGTGTTCGTAATCGGCATGCTCGATTACCCCCTGTGCAAAATCCCAGCATCGCATGTCAAAATTTACAAAAAATCGATAAAATCAATAAAAGTAACCGATAATTCTGAAAACTAATATTGTATTCGGAATCCCCATGCTCACTTCCCCCCTGTGCCAACTCCTAGCCCTGTAGGTGAACTCTGCGAAAAAATCGATAAAAATCGGTAAAATCGACATCGATCGATAACGAAAAGTGGACTGTGACACGCACCGGGGCCCGAAGTGTATGTGTGCCAAGTTTGGTCCGGATACGGCGGAGCCGGGTAAGCCAGCTAGTATGGAATAAGAGAAAGCCATAACTCTGATAAAAGTTACATACAATTCTCCAGAAAATTTACCTGTTCAAATCGAGGCCAGACAAAGAACACCTGTGGCTACCGTTGATTACTCCATCGGGATTAAGAATGGGTACGATTTTGAAAACAAATTTGGACCGCAGCTCTACCACTCGAGAATCATTAGAGGTTAATAAGCATTTTAAAACACCTAGAAATGACAAACTAACTTCTGGAACCTATTCATTGATGGAGTACTTACCATGCATCATCCAACTTGAGTTACTTTCTCCAGGATGAACCCGAGAGCTCAGAAATACTATATCCCTGCTGTTAATCTGCTCTCGTGTACCTTCAGCGGTTATGGTAAGTAAATTTAACGAGTTGCCTCCAAGAGATTCTCCTATGACATCATTCGAGTAGTATACATTAGAGGGTAAATGAGAAAGACATCTGGAGATAGTTGCCTGCAAAACATGAAAAGGTATCGTACGGAAGATAAAGCACACTCGATAACTTACCTTAAGAAAGGAGTAAGTATATGGAAAATGGTAAGCAAAATAACATATATCACCCTTATTCCGGAAGGTTATATTGAAACGAATCGAGTAAAAACCACTAAAAATTCAAGAAAAGTTTATATACGAAAAGATAGCAAAATTCATGACCTACCGTTTCCTGGACTTGCTTTCATCGGCGTCACTATCTTCACCAGAACTGTACAGATTACGGTAGTAGCATACTGTCTCACCAGCACGAATCCAACCACGATGTCCAGCTAGCGCATCACATACGGAATACATAACGGGTTGCATTCCTTGAAAAAAAAGCAAAATTGGAGGGTAATGACAGCGAATATCGAAAAGGGAACCTTTGCTGTACATCGATGTAGTTTTCAGACAGTTGATAATCTCAAAAGTGTAGGGAAGATTATTTACAATATTTGAGACCTATAAAAAATTTCATGCATGATCGAAAAAATTCATGAAGAGTTATCTGACCTCAAAATAAAACCACTGATAGTGTTCCTTCTTTTGATTGATGTCTGGTGATAGAATCAGTTCATAGTGAGTTGGTCCCACCTGTAGCATTTTTTTGAATAAAGCCTATTTCTCACTCACAGCAGTCAGTAAGTTTTGTTGACGAACCTGAGTAGCTCTTCGCAAGTTTCCACATTCAAAACGGCTCTCAAAAACAAGATGATCCACCTTCTTATCAACATGGCCTGCCCTAAAAAATTATAAATACAGACCATTCAGAAAAGAACAGTCATGAAAAGCCTAGAAGTCCAATCTTATCAAAAATGCAAGAGTTAAAAAAATTACCGTGCTGGATCGTTGTTAGCCAATGTGATAGATGATGGGCGACTTGCTTTTTCTTCATTGGCAAAGCTATCCAAATCGTAAACCACTCGAGGTCGGAATTCTGTGCTTGCTCTAGCTCTTGCTATCTCGTGGACAACAACTTCCCTGTTAAAATGACAGCTCATAATAAAACAAAGCGCAAGACTAAACATCTGACCTTAAATAATAGACGATAAAAGTCAAAAGAGACATCCAGGAACTAGAAATCTCCTTGAGTTTGTTTCTATTCATGTTTTTACAGGTTGAAATATCGATAATCTTTAAAAATTGGAACTATGATGCACGGACATACGTAGTTGCGGACAGTCTGCGTCTCTTCCAGCCAGAATTAGAAAGTGCGAACTCGAAAGAGACGCAGACAATCCGCAGTGACGTCACTCAGTTCGTCGTAAAAGATAGAAAACAAGGAAATCTGCATACTTGAGTATCTGTGTGGAAACTGATTGGAAGTGCTCAATAAAGCCGTGGCCCAAACGGCATAATATTTCGTAGTTCGAAAACTCAGCTTTTGAGTCTAGCTCAGTATCATATTGTTTCATGTAATAATCAGCGCCCTTGAGTATGGTACTGCGCTAGAATTGATGAATAAACTTTAGAAGCTCCGATCGGAAAGCTACTTAGTCAAGCCCCCCCCCTCCCCCCAATTAATATCCGCAAAAAAGCTCACGTATTCCCAGATACCCAACTCTGGCTGACACTGCCTTTATGCTTACGATATTATAGAATAAAACATCCTATTTATACCTCATGCTGGTCCCATTATCACAGAGTGGCTGCCGTGGTATGTCCACATCAGGATCGCACATTTCAGGAAAAGCAATCTTTGTGAACGGGATCACTGAGCGTGTAGCCTAAAATAACCACGATGGTTCAAAGCTAGAACAATCACCTTCTTACCTTGGCGTACTGTAGAAAAAGCTCAGGATATGGAACTGAGGAAGTTGGACGTTTTGCGTCGGCACCATTTTTATACTCAGCAAAGCAGGCGGAGTACGACTCGAGTTCAGACTGTTTCAGCCGGCTATGAGTGACTTCCTGGAAGTTCGATAGTCACTTAACAGAATCTGAATTCAAATAAACGCAGCCACCTCTCCCATTTGATAGGAACAGGAGCTGAAATGTTAACAGCTGCTAGCTATGGTCAGTTATGCATAACTGCGACAACCTTTAGCAAAGCTATTTCACAGAGAAAAGCAAGCGCGTACGTTTCCGTTTCATTTTTTCCATAGGGGACAACTGTCGCGGCTGTGCATGATTGACTGTTGGAAAAAGTGCTTCTTGACCAAAAGCTTGCTCTCAATGATACAAGGCATAAGCCAGTATCTTAGGACCGACTGACCCACATTCAACTACTGTTCACGTGGAACCCTTCTCCACTTCAGTCTTCAAGGATCGAACTTAAATATTTGCTACTACCACCGAGATCTGCACTGACGGAAGCTCCAGCTGGGCCTACGCCCAAAGCCTTCGACGCAACCGCCACGACCCTCCTACTCGTTGCGGCCAGGCGTTAGACAACGCACAAGCCAGCAATGGCTGGGTATAGGTCTCTCGCCCAAGCGCCATCCATTTTCAGGGCTAGTTGATTCGGCAGGTGAGTTGTTACACACTTCTTAGCGGGTACCGACTTCCATGGCCACCGTCCTGCTGTCTATATCAACCAACGCCTTTTATGGGATCTCATGAGCGAGAAGTTAGGCACCTTAACCCAACGTTTGGTTCATCCCACAGCGCCAGTTCTGCTTACCAAAAATGGCCCACTTGGAGCTCGCGTTCGTGTCAACAGTTCAACAAAGAAACCGAGACAACATACCCATTGAAAGTTTGAGAATAGGTTGAGGTCGGAAAGAGCTTTCAATCTGTCAATCCTTACGGTACCGGGAGGTTCGATTCCCGGCCGATGCAATTCTTTTACCACCAAGGCCAGATTCCATCGCGATGTCCACCAAGCAAGAAAGATCCGTGTTTCCCCGCGTGAATGGGGTCATAAATGCGAATCAGCGGTGCCTAAGCTACTACGCCATGCATCGGTGGTTCAGTGGTAGAATGCTCGCCTGCCACGCGGGCGGCCCGGGTTCGATTCCCGGCCGATGCAATCCTTTTACCACCAAGGCCAGATTCCATCGCGATGTCCACCAAGCAAGAAAGATCCGTGTTTCCCAGCGTGAATGGGGTCATATATGCGAATAAGCGGTGCCTAAGCTACTACGCCATGCATCGGTGGTTCAGTGGTAGAATGCTCGCCTGCCACGCGGGCGGCCCGGGTTCGATTCCCGGCCGATGCAATCCTTTTACCACCAAGGCCAGATTCCATCGCGATGTCGACCAAGCAGGAAAGATCCGTGTTTCCCCGCGTGAATGGGGTCATATATGCGGATCAGCGGTGCCTAAGCTACTACGCCATGCATCGCGTCACACTTTTTGTCACATTTGCTTCGGTGAGAAAAATGCAAACTGACAAGAGCCTTTTTCTGAGGCAAACGTTACCTAAAAAATTTGGAATTCAAAATTCACCTTCTTGACTTCCAATCCATCCTCATCCACTTCACAAGTGAAAACACCATCATCTTCACCAAATTGTGCAAAAACTTCATCTTCTTCCAATGCACCATCATCATCTACACACCACAAATCAATTCAAAAAATTGAACTCAACAAAGAAAGGAGTTTTACCGCTGCTCTCGGGTTCATACATATCTGCAGATCGGTCTGCTACATCGGCTAGAGAGTCCGAACAGCGTTTTTGGGGTGACTTCGAAGCTGGCCTAAAGGATGGATGATATATCGATGACGCCTTAATTTTGATGAACTTGTGAAAAAAACTAATAGATTTCGGATAAAATTCTGAGCTCAATGCATAATTACAAATCTCAACATATCTTCCTTCGCTCTACAAACTATCGACTAGTAATTGATCATTGCAGAAGACTCCTTTTCCAGTAATTAATTTTCTTATTATTTGCTATTTTTATTAGCTCTAATCTTTTTTATTGCTGAAATTTTCAATTTACTATAGTTCATTACCTATAGTCCACTTGATCGATGTGTTGAGAAAACCAAGAAGTGGCACTATTAAAATAGTTCATAAAAGTCTGAAACATGATGTCCGGAATAAATTATTCCTGTAAATTTGCGAATGACTTTGAAAAGTGGAACGCTCTGATTGGGAACTTAGAAATATATTGAGGTTATAAAGCGAGTCCGTGTACTGGAGACTATAAATTTAGATTAGCAACCATGAATAGCCCACTCTGGTGATTGATAGCGGCTCTCTCAGATCTAGCACACCTTTGCAAGACTGTAACTGTCCAAGCAGCTGTCATGAGAGTATTTTCTTTACACAGATAGCAAATAGCCAAAGTGTGCAGCGAGGCAAAAAGCATTCGAAACAAATTGGCTAGTATCCTAGGGGTTGTGCCAAAAGCTATCGATAGATTTGGGACAAAGCTATTGCAACAGGATCTGTGGGCATAAAACAGAGCTATAAAGCATAAATTTGCACTTTAGTCGTTCTAACACTAGAATATTGACATTTCGATTGAGTACCGCGACTTTCTAAAAAACCACGATTGAGCCCAGTTGTAAAGGAAACACATTTTCTATACAGAGAGCATCCAAGAATAATAAATCGAATAGCATATACAAAAAATTTGCACTAAATATTGACGTTGAACGAAAGTATGGCCCACCTCTTCTGTTGGAATCGGAACGGGAACGATCTTCCGGCAAGTGGGAACGAAAGCGTAGGTAGGCAGCGGAGGCATAAAGCACATAACGAGTCCTAAATTTCCACTTTTTCATGGGCTTTGCAGCAAACTTGTGAATTGGCACACATGTGTGCTAGGCATGATAGATACATACATCAAGACGAAAAGATTGTAAAGCCGAGGAAAACTCGGACGTAATACCAAGTAAAAAAAAGAGGAAAAGGAAAAAAAGGAAGTGTAGAATTACCTGCAGATGTGTGACATTTGGCGACAACGACGAATCCTCTTTGTCAAGTTCGCTCATCATATGTTCGCATTGTTTTAGCACATTACACGATACCAGTTGCTCCTTGGCGCGCTCTCAATCACACACAATAACATGTACCAAAGAAAAGAATAACAAACCCAGAGACTTACTATTATTCGAGTAGAGCCTGAGCAACGCAAGCGATATCAGACAAATCTCCAAATGAACTTCTGTAGCCGATGAGGATGATGGTTGCTGCACGCAAACCCCTCTATAGCAAAAATGTCGTTCAACAAGTGGGACAACACAGTCAATGACGTTCTCGCCAATGAGCACAGCTCGAGTTTTTCCTGAAAAAAATCGCTCTCTGATAAATAATATCTCATCAATGCCCTCGTGATTCGCAAGTATCTTGGTAAACCGATGACTTTTTTTGTAAACAGCTGAGCTCAGGTAATCTAATGGGAGCTATCCGGTTGAATCGAGCAGTATAGTTATAAATAGCTGGGCATAGAAGTTAGAAGCTAAATGCTTTACAGGCTAAACTTTCAAAAAACTATATTGTACAAAAATAATTGACAGGTGACTTACAGGATGATTTATGGATTCCCTCAACTCCAATCTCAACTCACAAAAACTCCTTTCCGAAACTTTCTTTTATTAAATCAATAGGAACTACCGGAAACAGCAGCAAGCTTTTGACTACACAACACACATACCTAGCAGTGGCGTACCGAGGGGGGGGGGCGAGGGGGGCCCTCCCGAGAACGGGTCGCGAAAATTTTGAAAGTTGCTTACATGAGCTATAAAATTGTGCAAATGGCTTGCTCATTCTTGTAAATAATCAAAATATTTTTTAAAATCCTTCAAAAATTCAAATCAGCCTTATATAAACTTTTTCGGGTTATAATACTATAGAATTTTACGATATTTTTCATTACGAAAGGTACACCACCGCAAAAAACCGTAATTTTTCTTCTGGTTTTTCAAAGCGGAAAAAAATTGCCTTTTTGATATGCTAATTTTTCCGCCCAAGAAAGTAAGAGAACCGCAAAAATTATCATTTGTGAACAATTAAGATGATTTAAAAAACTTTGCTTGAGTTAGCAAGAGCCCTCATTTTTTTTATCCGAAGTGTCGGGGGTACAAACTTACAAAGAATCGACACCAAAAACTTCTCTCGAAGGGTTGAGATCAGGGCACGGCACAGGTGGCTTAGCAAGCAAGCTGGATATCGTTTTTGGGGAAAAAGCAAAGGGGATATCGTTTTTGCGGAAGAGCATAACGTTGTCTTTCGATCTGCGGCCGGCACGCTGCCGGCATGCCGCTAGCAAATAAACAAAAGGTTTGTTTACAGCGAAGTGAAGATGAAATGACACCAAAATAGGTGTGTAGATGGGCAATGGGGAGTTAGGACTAGTTATGAAAAATTATGAAAAAATTATGTGAACTAGAGGCGTGCTCAACTTTTTTCGGAGTTAGGTGGCTTTCAAGCCACCTGGATAGCCACCTGAGGTGGCTTAGGAAAGAAAAAGTCATAAATTTTTCCTCCCTCACATAATTTTTCTATTTTCTTTACATACTTTTCATCTACATCCCAAACCCTACAAACTGGTTCCTAAACCGCCTCAAATCCCCTTCTCCCCGCTTAGTTATAGCCCCCTGAAAATTTTGGATGGCCGCGGAAAGGCTGCTCTAGGCGCGTATTGCTGCACGATGGATACATCATGCCGCCATTCCGGAGAATATGAATATAATCGCGTGTGTTCGATGATTCTTTTTCATTTTTTCTGCTTTGCTTTGTTCCGTTCCTTTTCATGTATTTTCTCTTCGAATATCTCGTGGCGGATGTCGTAATTTCATTGAAGTCAAAAAGGACTTCATTATTTGCAATTTCGGGACGCCACTTCGTGCCGAGCCCTGGTCTAGGGTCAAAGGGAACTTCGTAAAAATTCGCAAAAGTCAAGGGGGGCTTCGTTTTTTGCATTTTCAACTAGCCACCTCGTGCCGAGCCCTGGTTGAGATAATTTCGCAGCTTCACCAAAAAAAATTTTGACCATCGGTTATAATGGTATTTCATCGTGGACAGCCGCACCGTAACCCCATATGGAAGTGATATTGTCTGGCAAGTGACATTCAAAATCCGCTTGTATCAAATGACACAAAACTTTTTTTGACCGCCACCTGCTCGAAGCAGAAAAACTTGTTGAAAGAAGCTACACGTGTGCGGCCCTTCCTTTAGACAATCTCTATATTGCAGTCATACTAAGATGAATCCAAGTTTCTCGCATCCAAAAGGTGCAGCAGATCATTATGTAATATAAATTATGTTGAGAAGAGCAACATCGCAGATTCTTGTATTCTTTGAGGAAGCAGTAAGAGCGTTTGAACCTGAGCTCATAAGAAGTTCTGAAAGTCGGCAAAACTCAAATTAGTTATTAGCGCCGAGATACAAGTTCTGGCATATGTTGATCATTATGTTAACTAGTGCGAAATCATAAACACAATTGTTTCGATGACCTCAACAGCTGATAGACGCCAGGTGGAGTCTCGAATTCAAAGGCAGTGCCAAGTTCTGGGTTTGGGGATGCCTTACGTGGAAACCGATAGAGAGAAATTTTATCAGGATCCAAGCGGCTGCTCATATGATCCAATCCCTGCCAAGAAGTTTGCCTTTAAACCCTCGTCTAGCACCGTAATCTTTGCGGGCTGACCAATCAGCGCGCTCGAATACGGTATTGAATGAGGCCACCAAACATTTATATGAGCTGCCCCTCGATGCCATCATCAATGATAATTAGTCAATTTAAGAAAACCGCAGGACGGCATGAGATCGCACATTTTTTGCAAAAATCTGAGACCAAAAAATCATATACCAAGGGTAAAAATGTAACCACAAGCATTCAATGGTAACAGGAAAGATTTCGAGTAATAGCAGAGCGATTAACCTAAGTGTGACAGAGTGCATTGGTACTTACTTTAGCTATGGGAGGAAAGCTACGAAAAAGGTAAGAGAGGAAAAAGACGCAACGCAGTAATTTTAGAATTATCTTATATTGAAAAATGACTTCCAAAATCATTATGTCAGCTCATTTACCAGTAGTTCAAAAAGATTAATCTCAATATGCCATCATCGATGACATGTTTCTCAAATTATTATTTACCCCCCCCCCCCCAAAAAAAAATCCTGGATTACCAACAAAAAAGAATAACGACGACTACCAGTGATGATCGTATGGATCCAGCACAAGCTGGTATTGCTACAAAGTGTTCTTTGATATCGTCAGCTGTCTCAAGTGCGGAGACATTTCTTGCTCACCAAAACTACTTCCTGACAGGTACTTTGCTCACATTATGTCACTGGGGTATAACAATAGCACCACAGAATGAGAAGGCGGATAAAATTTGATATCTGATAGAAAGACTCAAGCAGTACTTACTGTTCTTTGAGATGAAATAGAGGATCTCGAGATAACGAGCAAGGAGTAAACATTGCGCAGCATCTTGTCCCTTCAATGATGATATGCGAAGCAGAAGCTTTGTTGCAAATCCGCGATGACGTCCAGCCAACTGAGCATTCCGCGCTGAAAGTAAGAAAATGATGAGAAAAGACAGAAAAAAATGAGCGAGCTAACAATTGAAGCAAATCTATGTAAACAGCATAAATCACCAGCTTCAACCAATCACATGGCTTATTTTCACAGCGATATGATGTCGGATATAATACTGCTAACGTGTGTGCGAAATTGCCTCCTAGAAGACGGCTTTGCTCAATATAGTGTGCTTGCGGTAGCGAGACTAGGCGACCAAGTTTGCGCGTGAATAAATAGCCACGTCATTGATGCCAGCCTTTTGCGCGCGCAATTGGCCGGCTATTGCTGGTCACAGGCACAGCTATTTGTTCGCAAATTTGGTCGCCCAATCTCGACACCGCAAGCACATTATATTGAGCGGAAAATCTTTATGACAGTACAACAAAATTGCCAAACAAAATTTTACTTGGAGAGATTGATCAAATGGTTAACTAAGGGTTTCCACGGAGATTTATTGGAAGACCTTGACTAAATCATTGCTCCCACGGCAATAAAGTGATACATCCCTTCAAGAAATTTCTCCCAGTACCATACTCCTTCCTGAGTGGACCAAACCACGCCCTCGGGTACGGTGCTGGGCCAGAGTTTGGAGCTGAAATTCTCAGTCGTCAATAAACCTTATGCGTTGCCACTTGTGCAATTACTTGATTAGGGGATCCCAGTTAGTATCTGCATAAGGAGCTGCCAAATTTGCCTAAGCGTTCTGTTCTATGGATCTCCAGTTAGATCTCGCTGTGGTCCATTAATTTCGACGCCGTATTTATTCGCATAACTGCCAAGTACTCTATGCTCTTTTCCATTCTCTATATATTAAAGAAAATATCAAATAAGACTTACGCGATCGCAGTGATCGACACAGAAGCTTCGCCATCGTCAAACTGAGTGGATCTTCGATTTCACTCGCCATCAGTGCACATAACATCTGAAGCACTCCGCCGACTCGGATTTTCAGGGACAAGCGGCAATCTAAACAGATGAACGTGAATTCTCGTAGAGATAAAACAAATTTTTTTCTTTTTTCTTCAACTACCCAAATTTGTGCGCCTGTATACGATGAAGGCATGCAAAAACAAAAACGTCAATTTTACTGGCCTGAACGCAGCCTATACATATCTCCTGGAGCTTCAAAAGAGATAGAGAAGTGACATTTTCGACAGAGCTGCTACAACTCGATGCAGTATAGAGTGCTGATTCTAATTCTGCCTTTCTCATCTGGGAGTGCCTTCGCAAGCGAGGACATGCCAATTTTTTTTGCAAGATCTAATATGTGCAAAGTGCAGGACGTACAGACCCATGTTTGATGCTCAATGATGGGTCAAAAGATGCAGGTAGATTCCTTATGGAGTCTACGCCTAAAGACGAGCTAAAAGACATGTGACTTATTCTGCATTAGAGACTATTTCTCGCAAAGAAACTGTTCATAACTTCGTTCACAGAAGCGCTGAGCAGATGAAGACAGATTTGGAGTCAGCGTTCTATGCTGGATCCACCGGCAACCAGCGTCTTTGGAAGGGCACTTCCACTTGATCTTTCCTTTGTCAGCTCGATGCAAATAGCTTTTTTGTTTTGACAGTTTGTTCTGACTCCAGTCGATCATGTGAGATGTTTAAAGCTACAGACAGTGGACTGTGAGAACCTAGGGGAACTGCTGAAGCGAGGATCTCTGAGAATCAGATGATGCGCAGCATCCATTCTCAGACTGGGGGACTCGAGAACGCTGAGCAATGTTGCTCAGCCCACTCAAATTTGTTGATTATCAAAATTCAAAAAGTCAAACATGTACACGGCGTCTCAAAAGTAAGTACACTCTTTTTAATCGTTAACTCTCTTCTCACAAAGCTTTTAGCTTGAATTTGAGCATTAAGTAGAATGGACTTCAACTTATGGTTACAGTATGGAGCGAATCACCCTTCGCTCTTGGCTACTATAAAATTACAGTAGAAATTTTCAGATTACTATGTCATTGTGGACTAGCCGTGTTTTGAAAATTTCCCAGTTAACGTGGGAAGTTATGTACAAGGGTTTTCACGCGCGCTGACTTTTCACGTATTTGCAGAGCTTTTGAAAAGGTGCAGTTACAGTTTTAGGAAGCATTAACAATAAAAACAGTAAAAACATATATTGCTTTGCGCATAACTTATGAAATAAGCATCGCGGCAAAATGCAAAGCCCATATTTAGTGTCAGCGGCTCACAGTACCCTAGTGTGAGAATTTTCAGCCGGTTTGGTCTGCTTTCCGAGGCGAGCTGGGGACTTCATAGGCTCGAAACCCTTCTTGAATTTCGTACCGTAATCCTACAGTAGTTGGAGAGATAGATGGTTCGCTCCACATTATAAATCTAAGGTGAAGCCCGCTCTACAGATGACAACTGAAGCTAAGCAAAAGACTTGTTGTTAGTGCGAAGAGAGTTATCAGCGATTATAAAGTGTGTACTTAGTTTTAGGTCCCCTATATAGGCCGCTGCCTAAGGAAAGGGCAATAACTTTGGGCGCGAACGCGGCTTTACTAGCCGCAGAGCGCATGAGGCACAGGATTTACAAACGGTGAAGACACGCGCGCGCCGCGTTTGCGCCTGCTCAACTAATACTGCTTCCGCGCCTTCGTCATGCAGTAGCCTTTATAACAGTCTAGCGTACAAGTTTTAGTTTGTTAATAACACGTCAGCGTGGCTTTCTCGAGTTTCCGGACTGATGGACAATATATGGTGCATTTCCCAGAATTGTTCCTTTTTAGGCGCCGGACAGACTTCACGCGTGATCGTCGCGATTCATTCGCCGCGATTTCCATTCATTTCCATTTTACATTCAAAAATTTCGGGCTGGAAAAGTATCACAACCGAATGCAAGTTGATTGGCATGGAATGATGTTGTAACAGTTGTCTTGTCGCGATTCAATCGCGACGACCAAATCGCGTGAAGTCTGCCCGGGGCCTTAGGTACCATTAGTGGCTGCCTTTCAATCGTTCTATACGTTAACTACAGCAAACAAGGCGCTTATTCGAACTTGACAAGTTAAAACGATCGAAAGGCAGCCACATCGATTTTTCAAATGGGATCACTTCTGGGGGATGCACCATATGTATGATCGGCTCCCACATTCGTGCGCAGGCGGTTTGCGGACTTTCCCTGATTGTAAGGATAAAGTCAATGAGAAAGTACGAAAAACAATGCTGCAATGTAGAATTCTAACAAATGTATCCTGAAAATCAAGGAAGTCCACAACGTCTCCACACGAATCTGGTAGTTGATGATACGTTCAATCAAGACTATTTAACAGTAAATATGCACTGAACCGATCTAAATGTTTGCACTATAAACTAAAAACACCTCAAAATAGATTCAGCTCTCGCTAATTGACAAATGCTGAAATAAATGAATGATGCACTGCGGAAACAATGCAAAACAATTTCATGAAAATACGAATGACAACCACAAATAACAAATTGTTATCAAAAGTAAGTAGATCACGTGCCTTTGACTAACAAGCACCAAAGACGAAATGTGTAACGTAGGAAGTGTCAAGTGATAAACAAGACACAATAGCCACACATCAGTGAGACTAGCCGTGATAGCAAGCAGAAGCTTATGTGAGAGATTCGTTAAGTCTGAGAAAATGAACGGAGGGAAACAGATGCGCGGGCAAAACTACAACAAAAAAAATATCTGAAAGCTTCATGTAATTGTTACTTGAAAAAACAAGCACCAACTGTAACGTTGTAATGGGTCGGGGAGCACAGCTGATGCTCTTGATTTGCTTTTGAGATATTAGGCTGCAGTCTAGGACGCATCACATAACTAGAATTACAGCAATCTTTTCCTCGAAGCCTTTACGCATCGGAAAGGAAAAACATCTGTCAAGATGAGGAGAAGAAGCTGCATCAAATCACCCTAGCTGTTTGCCGTTTGATGTTCAATGAGGACTGGGATGCCGAAATATGGAAATTGATAGCATCGGAAAAATATTCTCAAAAATTTTGAGAAACAAGCTATCGACACCAAAAAATTTTAGCAATTTGTTTGCCCTATCTAACTGTTATCATGGTATTTCCAAAAGTCCAGAACAAAAATGTGAAAAAGGGTAGGTAAAAACCACGGGTTGAATATTCTGACGTTTTTTCAAGCGAACAAGGAAAAAAGCGTCAAAGGAATCCGAACAAAAACATCACTGCTGGAAAGAGGAAAATTCTGCATAGAACCCTTCGTAGAGTGTTTGTCTATCTTTATTCTGAATGATTTGAGGATAAGTCTATTTCAGACCCACCTGATATTGAATGCTTAATTGTGAGGTAAAACGCAAAGCTTTAAAAATCATGAAATGAAACTTGAATTGGAAGAAGAAAAACTTGAATTTGCAAATTCCCAGCAAATTGAAGCTTCCGGAGTTATTTTTTCATTTTTGGGCGATCAATGACACCAATAATCGATGTTGTTAATCTTTTGAGTCGCATTTCATACGTATCTGTTCACTTTTGATCATCTTGACGAAGCAATCACTTCGAATAAACGTCCAAGAAATGCACTATTCTTCAAATAAGTCTTTCGATACAAATTTTGCGTTGTTCAGAAAAGCAGAAGAATGTGGGAAAAAAGGTCCGATGACCAGAAGATAAAGAAAACTCTGTAATTATTTGTGGTTTTTGAGTTTTTCTTTGAAAAATTAGGTTTGAATGATTTGATAAAGTATAAGATCTAATAAATAAAGAATCGTAACGCCGATTAAAGAAAACATCAGATAGCGGGGAACCGCGGTGTGGTCCCGAAGTGCGCTCATGCATTCTAGCACCTTTAATTACTGGTTCACTAGTATACATAAAAATTGCATCCTGTTCTATTAATCGGAACTGTCTACCAGCAAACTCTACAGTTGCAACACAGCCAACCTTCGATTATTCCTTGAACATTTGCAATTTCTGAGACTTTTGCCGTAAAAAAATGTGAAATCCTACGACGATTTTTGCACGTAGATTCCTAGAAGATAAAGCAGTGAAAGAAAAACTTTTGCTTGAAAAATTCGTTTTTCACATTAGGTAAGTTCAGCAATGCCAATGTGAAACGTGGAAACCATGACGATTGAATGTTACTCAAAAACTGCTTTCGAAAACTAGCTGCAGAAAGAAAAAAAACTGGTATTGATTGAACCGCAACTTGGATCGTTCAAAGCTTGTTGGCGAGATGCGGTAAAAGGAAAAAATGAATGAAAAATGCCAGAGCGTCTAATAGCATTACTGAAAGTAGAGCTTCGCTGACAATGTCGTAATGCACATCCAGGATTTCTCTGTGACGTCAAACCCACTGACTCGGTTATAACTAGTTACTTACACTGGTATAAACTTTTCGGCAGCGCAAAATGCACGATAAATTCATACAACAGCATATGACGGAGCACCTCTCAAATGACAATGATTGTTATTTAGTTCATAATAGAGATACTAAATCGTAGGCTTAGGGGCTATTGAGTACAATCTGGAGTATTTATATCTTTTTTAGTCTTCCAAAATGGAAGGAAGAGATATCCATGATTCCATAGGATTTCCGAAAAAATACAAGAAGGAAAGCGTATTAGCGTCCGAGCAGATAATCGAGTTCCATAATAAGTCAAAGCAAAGGGTAAAGAACGCAGAAGCATTGGAGAAAAGGCCATTCTCCTCGAAATCAACTGCTTAAAATGCATGGGATGCAATGGCACACATATGGACCGTTTCAAAATATAGTGCAGATGTCAGAAAGCAATAAGAGGACTTTGAAAAGCCACATTTCGTGATTTACGATGAGATATGTAGTCAAAGAAGAAACTTCACTGGAACCTTCGAGAATACAGGAACAGAAAAAGGATTTCGGCGAACATACTCTGAGGATAGAATGGAAGACATGTAAAGCACATATCCGATGGAGAAAGGATGGAGAAAAACGAGCGGAAAAGGAAAGAAAGCGGTAACTGCATTTTGGTAGAAAAAAGTGAAAGAGGAAAGTTTGAGCGAAACAAAAAAAAGTTTCTATATAGATGAGGCGATTGCGCAAAAAAAGTCTAGTCAGCAGTGAGCTGAACTTTTTTACCCCCGACGCTTGAATGACTATGAGTCTACATTAGCAAAAAAAATTTGAGAAGACGAAAATGGTTCAAAGACTAGATGAGCAGTGATCAGATAAAGACGAAAGTCCAACAAAGCACAAGATAAAGAAATATGACCAAAAGTTATAGAATGAGCTAAGAACTAGAAGACTGTTAGTCAAAATACCTTTTGCTCCAATGGCAAGCACAAGCGCTGCTACGGTATCATCACATTCACGACTCAATGCCCATTCCTCATCGTCCGCTTTCTCCTCAGGTTTTCGAGTGGATAAATCTTTCAGACGATACCGCAATGTCCGTAGAAGTGCAGAAATTGCATCTGCCTTGATCAGTTTGCGTAGTCTTTTGCTTCGAGCTAAAAGCGGTAGGTAATATTCAACCGAGACAGATGACATGAAACAGCTTACCCTTGGATGAACCGGCGGAGATCAAATCTTGTGCGAGTCTGCACAACATCATGAGGCAAAAATCATCTGTACAAGTCTGTAAACATAGAACTTATGGGAAAGCATTCCAGAAACAGAAGAAAATCCAAATTAAAGAGAAAAAGGAAAAAAGACTTCCAATTAAAGCTCTATCACCTCAAGTGCTCTAAGAAAGCTTCTCAGCTGATCCCCATCTTGAGCGCGTTTCTTTGTTGTGTAATACTTGACGATGGCACCTACGTCAGCTGTTTCGTTCCATTCTCGGGCAAGACTACAAGGAAATATACACGCTATTATTATTCAAATTTTTTGTGGGATTTTCAAAGTCACCATTCCGCCAGCTGTCTTTGTTCGTCAGCGCTACTGGTGATGCATGCTTCAACTATGGATTTCACCAAAGGAAGTAGAGCCCTGGAAGTTGAAGCTCAGAAAAGAAAATGAATTTATTAAAATTGCAAAATTTCCTCTTATCCACTGTTATCTCCCAATAAAAGATTTGTGATAGTTCTGAACCCAAAAAAAAAGACATTAAGTGTCTGAAAATGTAATCCTTCCAATTACCTATTCTTCGATGAAGTTGGTTCATGTTGTTCAGACATCGAATACTCTTTTCAACTAATAAAAGTGTTGCCATACTAAACAGCCATTTCTGAAGACAACTAATTAGCATTCAGTCTGTAAGAATGCAACACTAAGATTTATGGATAAACATCCCTTGACAAAAGTGAAAAAATTTCCAAATCAGATGATTTATTAGTCATATCCAAGCATCGGTACATAAGCATCACAATATTATACTGCACCTATATAAAAACGTTATAGGATCCAAAATAGAACAAAATAACTAGATCAAATCTATCCTCACTAAGCTAAGCAATTCGCACACCGGGTCAAACACCTCTCAGACATGTTTCATCAAAATTACATTAGTCCATATGATCCTCCAGCCTAAAATAAGTTTGATTCAAATAGGAAAAGTAAAGTCAACGACGCAAAGCGTAGTCAGGAAACTTCGTGAAAGTTTTTCTAATGCTAAGCACAGCCATTGAGGCATCGATAATGCGACAAAGGTAACTATGACGTTACCATGGCAACACCTCAAAGCCAAAACCGCACTGTGAGGGGCCTTATTAGAGAAGTCATGTAACGTACATTAATAGCATCGCACTCCTCTTGACTGATCGGTGGTCGACGGTAGTAAGGTGGAAGATTTTCTTCGGGAATGCCTGATCCTCGAGGAGTTCGCCCAATAGATCCCGCAGAAGGCTTAGCTGGAGCTGCTAAAATACAGCATTTTTTCTACTGCTAAATACTCGAGGCTGCAAAGATCTCAACAAAAGTAGAGTTCAAGTTGCACAGAGGTAGTAAAAATAATGCATAAATGTCAGATCAAACAGTAAAAGACAGAACTAAATCGTTTAAGGCCAAAGATAAGACACAAATGTCAAACTAGCCCTATGACAACCTTATCAAATTGCATTCAAAAAAGGTTTCTGACAAGTGCAATAAAGACCGCGTCTTTGGTTGGAGAACGTTTGATAAGATAAATTGATTTTCTTAGAACGCAAATTTCTGAGCAAACTGATTTGTTCCATCTCCATGAAAGACGCACTAGTCACAGCGGCGCTGTTCTGTCACGCATTGTCAGCCCCAAAACTAACGATAAGAAACCCGAGATTTTTAGTCTGCAAGAGTTGTTTGACGTGTTGACGCTGAGATTAACATTATCCTAGATATGAAACTTTTTCAGAAGTGCAATAGGTATACGGTGCTCAGATCAGCTCATAGATCTAGACCAGGCCCTGTACAAGATATTATGCAGCATACTGATCACAATTCTGGTCTTCACTATGTTGCACTTTCGTGGTGATGACTAGCGATCCTACCATTACCCCAAAATAGCTCTACGAAGAAACCTTAGGGCTACAGCATTTGGAATGCCGAGCAAACCCATCCTGCGCACGCCTATAAGGAACCGCTATTCGTCCCCAATCATTTTAATTATTTGATTATTTATTTATGTATCAAGCGATGCGCCCAATGAACGCATTAGTTCAACATGGTTGTCTTGATTTGCAACAAACATCAAGACAGAAAGTGAGCTGGTTTCTCAAGAAAACAAACAGTCACGCACAGCAGCGTAATTATAAGTATGAACGAAGAAGAATGAAAAACGAGGACGGTGCATCTATGTTGATAAGTTTCTATATGGAATGAACAGCATTTCTGTCAATATGTAAAATATTTAGTCAGACATCATCGAAACCACGATTTCTAAACTGTAGCATATGTGCAGTTGTACTTCTACAAACACAGTAAACCTGAACCCGAATTAGCAAAACTAGAGATCAGAGTTCGGCAAAATTAGGGCGCCACTACTCGAAAAAGTGATTCGAAGGCATTGAAAAAGAATTGCAGGCTTGTTAGGGAAAGAGATTTATAGATATGCTAACTTATGTTAGCAGATTCCAGGCACCCTTTCTGGTATTAACCGATGATATGAATTTTGCTCTTTCAAAAAGCCATTTGTTTCGGGAAAGAATTTATTATCGCTGGAAAAACCAGAAATGTCAATAATGCGTGTCCACCCCTCATGAGACAGCTTTCCAAGACTTGACACATGACGTAAAATTCTCAAGATATATGTGGGAATTGAGCTTGCAAGTAAAATTCGAGATGAAGACATACCTGCAGCAGTTGGAGCTGAGGGGATTGGACCGGAAGCTACTCTAAAAACGCAATCTCATTAAATTAGGACTTTGACGAACCCGAAAAGGCATACTTTGCGAAATTTGGTCTTGGCAGTCGAGCTCCAATAAATTTTATCATCGGAATGCGAGCAGCCTAAATCGATAGTTGAATCATATTGAGGTATACAAATTCCAAGCGGAAGTTTTTCTTTTCACAAAATCAACAACTTCAGCTATTCAATACATCCAAAACATTCTAGATGATTCCACACACGCTCACAGAAATACATAGAGGTACAGAAATTAGCGAGTTTTTTTTTACAAAATTGACACAGCTGTTGACTTCAGTACATCCAAACCATTCTATGCATCCTCACGGCAAATATTACTCTTAAGACAAAAGTAACTCACAACATTCGCTTTCGATGAAAGAAACATGGTGAAGAGCGACGGCAACCACTGATATGAGCTGATCTCCAGTGAGTTTTATAGCAGGCGTCACATGAAATTTCGCGGCTGTCTTCACGGACATGACAGTAAAAAACCGTGCGAGTGACAACAAGAAATCGTGATATTTTTAAATTTGAAGTGTTATCAACGGGAGTTCAATGAAGGATTCGTAAATCTTATCTTTCACTAAAAAAAGCAATTGCCCTCCTTGAGATCAAGCCCTTTGAACTTTGTAGGTTCTGTTCACTCAATGAGGAAATTACTGTCAGAACCGAGAAGAAAACAAGATGTTATTGAGTATTTTTAGTTTTTTTTTGCACACTTCGCCATATCAGACTGCTTGCTAACAAGAAAAACCAATTTGTAATTGAAGTAAATTCAAGGTGCTCTGGAACCACTATGCTATAAAAGTTTTATTGCATGCTATAAAAGTTTTATTGCAAGATATGAAAGCTAGAGGAAAATCAACATTAGACATGAAACAAATCTATTTTTCATTCACAAGTGAAAGCTATCAGGATACAATCTAGCACAATTTAAATAGGATAAAATTGCTCATGAGGTAAAAAGTCTTGCTTTTGATGTCACCGGTTTTTTCAGAGTAGTCAAGTTGGCAAATAAATATTGGGGTGGTTAAGCTCATTTGAAAAGAGATATTCACATTATACACAAGCTCACACCCCTTCATAAGACATCTACAGCCTAGTAAATTCAACGGCTGACATAGTGCTGTTACGATGCCAGCAACATTTGCGCGTCATCAATGACAGTGTGCGCTCTATGGCAATTTCTTACGCGCAAGTCACAAGCAAGTTGACATTCTTTATGCGATTTGCTTTCGCGAATAAGTTGTCGTCACCGCAGGTGCATTTTGTGAGTCGTCAAATCTACTAGACTGTACAGTCTTTCAGTCACGATCGTTATAAGCAGGTCATTCAATAATCTCTCCCAATAGCTTCTTCTTGTACTCTTCAAGCCGCCGTACATGTTTATCGTTACCGTTCATGAGAGTATGAATACCATCCACGAGAAATTTTCGCTTTTCTCTGTTTCGAATAGCCTGAAACAGATTCCTAGTAGCACTCGATATCAAGATGAAGCTGCCAACCAACCTGATCCTCAGTGGTGAGCTCTCCTATGATATTCAAGCCATCCAACCCTTCTAGATGCTTCATAGAGGTTTCTGTGAATTGAGCAAGCCTTTTTTCCATTCTTTTCACCATTTCCAGAGATTTTTCTTCTGAAATGAGATCATCAAGATCGAACAGTGAGACAAAATTATACTAACACTCTTGAATGGACATATGAAAACAAATGGTACACACCAGGTCAAATTTTTTTTTGAAAATTCAGTTTAATACACAGAAGACATCGCCTGGAGATCAAGGGCAAAAAATGCTGATTGCCTCTACAAAAAAGCTGAAGCAAAGAGCAACAAAGAAGAATTCTGAACTCACTGTCGAGGTAGTTTAATTCCAGCTGAGTCAAGTCCTTTTCTATCTCTTCATGAAGCTTCTGAAGTGGCACTAGGTTGCTATTCTCATAAGAAACAAGGGCGGAAAAACCGGGATCATCCTAAACTTGAGAAAAAAAACTATTTAAAAAGGAAGAAGGAAGGAAAAGCTCTTAGGAAGTTGTAACGAGGGTTCACCTTCATTGTTGTAGAGACTTTTCCCATGATTAGAAGCTTGTCGTTCTTCTTGAACTTCAAATCCAACAAGGACAAGTCATCGTCACCCTGGATTGTTTTACCTGGAATTTGTGTAACCACTGAATGAAACCATGGCGCTGTAATGACTAAAGATGTATAACATTGTACCAGTGATGAAATATGATGTGACCCTACAATAACACTTTGAAGTCTATTCAAAGAAGAATAGATCCTACCTCCAAGATAAGCTAAATTTTCTCGCGACAAGTTATATCTGTGCGGAAAGTCTCAAAAAAAATGATCTTCTTAGATTAATTAGATTCAGCTCTGTAGCCAGTGGAAAACAACACTAGAAGTGGATCAAATAGTATAGTATTACTTGAGAAAGTGAATCTACGCGAGAGCCAGGTTTCCAGACAAATAGATATGTCTTTTTGACTCTTTGTGGGCATGAGATGAACGTGCAAAACCCTTGCGCCTATCAAATTCAACCAATTGCCAAGTCACTTTAACACGTTTCGGACCGGTGCTGCACATGGTGCAGCACGCTGCTTTGACGGATCTTTTTGAAGTTTAAGGGAGGATTTCTTTTATTCCAAGGTTATCAAGTCAAAGGCCTAAGCTTCTACTTTTCAAATGAATCTGTAGAGTCGTGCCGCCCATATTTGTTTGGGGATATGAGCACAAATCGAACAACAGTTACAACGAAGTGCGGCAACGCGAACGACGCCTGCGACGTCGCAACTTTCTTTTGCTTCGATATCAAAGAGAAAAACCGTGATTTCAATATTGAATTGCACAGTCTACAACATAGATAGTTCTGAATAATATTAGAAGCTGAGTTCTTGTTCCTATCTTTCAGGAAAGCACAGAAGCAATCGACAAAATTCAAACACTTCAAATCCACTCAAAACTTTGGGTATCGCACTTACCTGACAAGCTGATTACAGAGGTAACACACAATCTACGAAACAAGGCCCCTTTGCTGGCTTATGGCTGAAAGTGCACTCTTTTTCGCCGCGCGCGATTTCGCGGTCCGAAACGTGTTAATTTCGCAGATAAAGAATACCGTATTTGTTGAGACGGTAAACTGGTAAATTATTACAACTATTCGGAAGACAAAGAACATAGTCTACATTCTAACTGGCCCAGAAAGGGGGATCGAACCTTTGTCCCATCGCTCACATGGGTGCCTCCTACCACTACACCACACCACTCACCCAACTACATTCCCAAACTCAGCGTGAGTTTGCATCAGAACACTTGTTGCAATATACAGGCAAGTATTGGTATCTACTGCATGTAGATAAAACTCACCTCTGTGGATGATTTTCATGCAAGATGGATCTATATTGGCCTCCTCACTGATTCGTTCTCTCAGTTGTCCAAGCGTAGAAATCATTTCATCTCCTTCTCCTATTTGCACATCGAATGACTTCGACCCAACGCTAACTTTGACCATATCCTGTCCAGATTATGACTTTTTTGGGCTCTATGCAAGCGAAAACACATCTCCAAAAATATTTCAAAGAAGACAATAAGGGCTTCACGACAACAATTATGGACAGCCGTTTAAACTGGTGACAGACTAGGTCATAATAGCCGTTATAAAAGGAATCTTGCACAAAGCATATTCAGCAACTGTGTTTGTAGAAATGATTGATGTGCTTCTCTCAAGAATAAGCCAAGGACTGCATAAGAAACACAACTTTTACTTCCGACCAAGACTGATAAGTGACTTGATAATCATAACCAGAGGTAACAACCGAAATTAAGGACTTTTTTGAAGTATCGTCAGGAAAAAAGAAACTGATAAAGAAATAGAATTTGATTACAGTGATTGACAAGAAAAAGGATATTGAACCAACAAAGAAACTGAGAATCAAAGCGATAAGACTGGGAGGACTAGAACTGTTGAAGATATATCTATAGCTCTTCCCACTTAAAACTGAAGAACTCGATAAAAGCGGAGATTATTTTTGACATTTTTGAGCCCGTCAATGTGAGTCCGTGATTGCGGAAACGATAAAGATGTGGATTTTCCAACGTTCTGGAGCTCGTACTCTTTTTTTTTTTGGCACATAGCTGGTTTATATAGTTTTGTTAGCGAATGTCATTTAATATTCCGACTAAATGCAATCGCAGGTGCTCAAAGTTTTGGATTTTATCGAAATATCTGTAATCTCTAGTCAGATGCATAATGTTATGCAGTAGAATAGCTTGAGATAATTTGATTTTGGTTGAATTGCACAAAAAAATGTTTGTTAGGAAAATTCAGTGTTTCTTGAATGTCACTTTGCCACGTATGCCGCTCACAGATTTCAGGCGCCGCGAAGGCCATCGTTGATTCGATGCGCAATTATTTCCATTCGCTAATTGTCATTGTAATCAATCATGAACAAGTCTCATTTTTCAGCCAAAGTAGATAACTCAAACCTAGCAGCCAAGAATGAATTTAATACACACATGAAAAAAGTACTGCTGAAGTGGTTTAAGCTGTACTATTTTTTTCCTTTTATTTTCTAACTAGGTTAGCTGAGTTCTAGATGTTGATTTTAGTTTTATCTGTGCAATAAGAGGTGTCTGTCCATTCTTCATAATCTTTGCAGGCACTCATATTGATGTAAAATTCAAGATTTATTATCCTTTGTTGATGTGTGCATAACGGAGTAATTAATGAAAAAAGTTTATACGTCCTATACACCAACCTCCATGTGAAAATAGTCCGATACACGAATCAGACGTGATTGCAGACATGCTGCGTCTCTTGCATTGCGGTCGCTCTCTCGTTTCCTTCACAATTCCACGTTCTCTTTTGCAAGAGATTGCGTCATCATAATCCCTGATTATCCAAATAATTTCTAAAGTTAAGTGGACTTTGATACATTGTCTCTTTTTAGGCTAGAGATGGGGTTTACCCGTCCCCTCGCTCTCCAGTTATCAAGAAGTTTGCGAGAGTTTTGTCATCAAACCTACCTCGCGGATGTCAACTGCAGTTTTGCGCGACAAAATCTTCTTGGTTATCGCCCGGTTAGATGTGCCTCTCAGACGACCCAGGTCTCTAGTAAACCTAATTATAATGTTGGGACCATTGGACACATTGATCATGGAAAAACCACCCTTACAGCAGCTATCACGCAAGTTCTTGCTAAACAAGGTGAGGTTATAGTTATGATAATTATCTACTCTAATGTCTGTTATATATCATCTTGCCAGGTCTCGCCAAACCGGTCAAATTCGACGAGATCGACAAGGCTAAGGAGGAGAAGAAGCGAGGAATAACGATAAACATAGCACATATCGGTTACGAAAGCAAAAATAGGCGATATTCACACACTGACTGTCCTGGACATTCAGATTTCATCAAGGTTTGTTTTTTTCCATTCGCCATCAGGTCCTTTTATGTTTTTTCTCAGAATATGATCTGTGGCACGGCTCAGATGGATGCAGCTGTATTAGTTATCGCAGCAACTGATGGAGTTATGGCGCAGACAAAGGTATGCTTGGGTAAGCTTTACAAAATCTCTGCTTATTGCTCTCTTTTCTGTTGGCGGTCATGCAATTTTTATGATTTCATTTTCATTCAGGAACACCTCATCCTGGCTCGCCAGCTTGGCTTGAAACATATAATAGTCTTCATAAATAAGTCGGATGCAGTAGAGGAGGATGTGCTTGATCTTGTTGAAATCGAATCACGAGAACTACTGTCTGCCCATGGATTTGATGGTTCGTCCACGAATGTGCACGGTTGAGTTTCTAAGAAAATTTCAGGTGACAATGCACCAGTTATCCGAGGCTCAGCCTTGAATGCTTTGGAAGGGAAAGATACCTCAAGCATACTTGAGTTGCTCAAAGCGCTAGATGCTCTTCCGGAACCACAGCGGAACGAGGTATTTTTGTGTGAATTAATTTTTCTTTCAGTCCGATGTCAACATAAACAGGTTTATCGTAAATGTCATTAGTGTCCTTTGATCCGATGTCAACATAAACAGCTTTATCTCAAATGTCATTAGTGTCCTTTGCACTTGAGACTTCGTTCTATTTCCTCGTCTAATTATAGAATGAAGCACTGATAATGCCCGTGTCTTCAAAAACTGCGATAACTGGACGAGGTAGGAAGGGCTTCCCCATATTTTATGACTTGAAATGGAGGCTGTTATAGGCACCGTTGTTGTTGGTACTATTGAGCAGGGAACATTGAAGAAAGGCGACAAGGTGGAGATTAAAGGTGATGACAGAGAAGTCATCACTGTAGCATCTGATATACAGGTCTTTGGCAAAAGTGTGAAAGAGGTCAGTATTTGCTTGCAGTCGATGAACACGAATTTTCTGGCTTTCCATCTCACTTTACATTCCGTCGTCTTTGTTCAGTCGCCTCTTTTTAACTACTTTAGGAATCTTACAACATAGTTACGTCAGTCACAATGACGTACCCAGTATTTCCTTTTTCTCATGAAGGTGCGTGCGCACTACAAAAATTTTTTTGATATGCTCCCTAAGATTTTCGCGTATGTAACCCCGAAATTTCAAAAAAAGGGGCCTGACGTCAGCCACGTCCTCGTAAAAAATTTTTGATAAGACTAAAATATATTTTTGAATATTTTTGGAACTTAATTCGATTAATTACAAGTATAAATAAGTCACTTGCACATTTTTACGAATTATGTAAGTGGATTCCAAAAATTTCGCGATCCATTCTCGGAGGGGGGGGGGGGGAAGGAGTGTTCCTCCCCCATCTCTTCCCATCCCGGTATGCCACTGATCAGTCAATGTTTCCTGAGATTTTCCTATCGACTATGCCTGATTAGTACGTCAAATGAAGCTACTTGCCATGTTTAACCAGACGGCTATTCTAATGGAACGTATTAGGGTTGCTCACGCGTCAAGCTGCGTCTGTCTCATTCTTTACTCGATTTCCCTACAGATACCACCGCTCGCATCTCAGTTGCATTAACTCAGAAATCATTTAGGTCAAAGCAGGCGATCATTGCGGCATACTCTGCAGGGGAGTGAAGGCTGATCAGGTGACGAGAGGTAGAATACCATTAACCATTGTTTCAAACTGAAAATCAATATTGATATCTATCACGTATAATTCAGGGATGTGGATGGGAAACATCGGTGCCGTGAATGTTACAAATCACATAAAAGCGGAGCTTTATCTCCTCAGTCAAGAAGAAAATGGTCGGAGGGTTGGTATACGCTCGGGCTTCACGGACAAGATGTTCTGTAGTACATGGGATCAGGTGATTTTTCAAATGCCTTTCATGGTTCTCCATATGCAAAAGTTCAAGGTGGCTCGATTCGAAATAGCACAAGAACTCTTGATGCCGGGAGAGCATTCACCAACGACAGTAACGCTTTTGCACAATATGCCTTTCAAAGTGGGGATCCCATTTACACTGAGAGATGGTGGTACAAAGCAAACTATTGCTAGAGGAATTGTTTCCGAACTTTTACAACCTGTAACAGTAGAAAAATATAATTTGAAAAAGGCTGCTCATCATGATAACTGATTAGCAGCCATATTCGCAATTTTACTGATGTAATTATTGTTAGACTTATTAGATTCTATAGAGTATGAGTTATCTCGTTTTGTATAAGATAGGCTTGTTGAATTTCTATTTATTTTACTTGAATGTTTGATGAAAAATGAATTTTTACTGCTGACTCTTGTCCTGTGAGAATACAAGGCAAAGCCGTCCGCTTCATCTTCTAGAAATTGCGATGTCACTTCTTGTATATCGGCAGTGTCTAGATGGTGAAAACTGTAGAGGAAGAACTGGAAGATTACATCTGGGGAAGATGCAAGGAGAAGGATTACCTGGAGAGGTAAGTTTTTGTGAAAGTCCATTGTTGGTCTTGTCTGAAGTTTTTGGAATTAGAAATTCTAAGTCTCACCTCCAGGGTTGTGAAATGCGATGAGTTTACATCAAACAATATACTTCGAAGAGTTAGTCAGATTGATGAATCTCTCAACAAACAACTGCGGAAAGGGGTTGGCGCTTTGATAACCTTTTTCTCGCTCACCATTCAGTCAAAGCCATGTTTTCACTCTTTTGACGTCAATATTATAGGTTGAAGAGAACCTTTCACGTCTCCTGGAGCAAACTACTGCATTGGAAGCATTAGACTCTACGCAGCGAAGTGTTCATTCGGAGATGAATGAAGTATACGAAAACTGCGATAGGTATGAGCTTCTGTGTCACTGCGCATTTTATCCCTGCTTTTCACTATTGATTATAGCTAAAAACGCAGTCATTTGATAATTGCTTTAGGTTTGCTAAGACACTCGACTCGCTACTGAACGACTATCGGCAAATGGTGAAACAATTAGAAGGATATGTTGCAGAGAGAAACCTAACAGCAGATGCCATCAGGTTGTTTTTTTTTTTGGAAAAATCGAGTCGCTGTCATAATCTTTAGCTTCGCATTACAGATGTGAAGAATTGATGGAATCCCTCGACAAAAGACATGAAATTGTTAAAAGGTCAGAAATTATATGCGAAATAAAAGGGATTGTCGCAGATAATCCAGATCTTCTAAAAATCACATGGTTGCGTGAGACTCTCACTACGCGTTTGAAAGCTGTGGAAAATGAGGTATCCTGTTGAAAATTTGCGAAATGGTCGTTTATATTTTCTTTTCTGAAGGTTCGACGATCTGCTGCTGATGACATGCGCAGAGGACTTATAAGTCTGAATGCTTCGCTGGTGGCATCTGCCATAAGAGCATTGACGAATCTAGGCGTTCTTGAAGGTGATCGATTCGCATTTTGCGTATTTTTGCCTTTCAGAACTGAAGGGATAATCTATTTATGGTACATTCCAGCCGAACTAGAGGTACAGCTGTCAGCATCGGCTACTGAGATAGATGCAAAGATTGTGGAATTGTCGTCGAACCCTGAAAATAGCGCTAGGCTTCTTCCGCAGTACATCAACCACATCCATTCTCAGCTTGAACAATGCGCATTGTTAGGTAACGAAAATTCTTTACACAAAAGTTTTTCCTTCTTTTCATTTTTTCGGTTGTGGTTTGGACTGGTGTTTTTCTCCAATGGAATTTTTTTACATCTGATTATTTCATGGATAATCAGTCATTTGCACTTTCATCTCTTAGAGCTGAACCGAGATTTTCCTTGTCTGGAACTTTGACTTGTGCTTTAGGCCCCGGACAGACTTCACGCGATTTGATCGTCGCGACTGAATCGCGACGAGACAACTGTTACAACATCATTCTATGCCGATCAACTTGCATTTCGGTTGTTATACTTTTCCAGCCCGAAATTTTTGAATGTGAAATGAAAATGAATGGAAATGTCGGCGATTGAATCGCGACGATTAAATTGCGTGAAGTCTGTCCGAGGCCTCAGGAGTAAGCTCATTACAAGTAATTGATATTTAGGTAAGCCGCAACTCATGAAGTTTGTTGAAAAATTAGCACGAATAATCAGAGCTCGAGTCCCGTTGGATGCTCCTTTCTCATTGAGGTAAAAATGCCTCCCCTCATTGTTACTCCGTCTCAATATGGGGATGTTTGCAGATTTGTGCAGCAAATGAGCCGTGTCCTCAACTCTCGGCCCGAATGTTCTGCACCGTTGTTCGAATCACTCCGTCCATTGAAGAATTCCATACTTAGTCATTCTTTGGCACGTCTTCATCAGATTGTAGAACAACATGACTTTGCCACCGTTCAGAATAGCGTCTTTGTTGATATGGTTTGTGATAATGGTGAATTTTTAGGAAGTACTGTTTACACTATGGTTCTTGATTTAGTTGGTGTCTGCTATTCAAGAGGAAATGAAGCGTCTAGAATGGGATATGGAATTGCGAGCGGAGATGCAGAGAAATACGCAAAAGTGCTTGGACATGGTAGCTAAACGACTTGAATCCGAAGTCAAACTCGACTCCGAAAATCTGCTTCTTGGTCAGCTGTGTTCTTAAAATCGCGAATGTATTCACAGAATTTTATTTTATTCAAAATAGTGTTGAATTCTATCATTGCAGGTGATCGTCTCCGAAGTGATCAACTGAAAAATTACCGCTTACTTGAAATTGCGAATAATCTTGCTGTAAAATTCCCAGCACAAGCAAAGTCGCTGCTCTCATTTGAGCAGGACTCTGTTTCTCATATCATGGAGGCTATTCATAAAAGTATTTCCACAATCATCACAACTATGCACCGAGACATGAAAGGTGGTAAAGCTGTGTCGCCTTATATGCAGGTATGTTGGCGTTTATTTTTCTGCCAAATGATTGTATAGATTCCCAATTACCTTTTTATCTGTCCAGGAGCTTATAGCCTACATTGGACGGATTGCTTTCCATTTTTCTCATTTTCCTGCCACAATTCGACATACTTCTGCACTGTCATCAATCTCTGACTACATAATTCATCTTTTCATTGTCAATGCGACCTTGGTTAGACCGCTGACTGACTCAGTTCGCGAGCAACTTCACAATGATCTGGAAAAGTGAGACATTGCTAGCCGCTTGAGTGTTTTGCTTGGAAAACCTTAACGATTTATAGGCTTTTGGAAGAGCTCGACTCACACTTGGCACCAAGTCTGAAATATCCCAGAAAAGATCCTCTTTTGTCGTTGTTTTCGACAAGGATTTCACAGAATCCAGATTTGATCAGTGCTGATGCATTGCCTGCATGGATTTATATTCATGCACTTATCGCCGAGAGTCCTGATGCACTTGTTTCGCCCCATGTCAGCGTAGAATGGACGGTAATAATTCTTCTTTTTGCTTTCTCGAAACCCTCTTTTGTGGCTGATATGTGTAATTGCATTTAATGATTGACTTTTAGCTTGAGCAGTACGTGAAATGGTGCTGTGATAATCCAGATCTGGAGATAATCTCATTTCTCAATGGGCTGATGACGTCATACAATGCCTCAGTAATCAATCGTCATGAAGTCGAATATGTGCCGAATTACCCATTAATAATGGAGTTAATAAAGAAAGGAACAGATGCGTCTATGCGTTAATCCACATCTTTTTTTTTCTCATTTGCAGTCGATATTTGTAATTTTAATTTATTGGGTGGATGTTTATTTCATTTTCTTTGTGTATATACATTTTCGACATTTGCGGTTATTGATGCTGTGATCTAAAGTCTGGTAAAGAGTTATACTGTTTTTATCAGCCTTTACTATTTACCATGGTCTCCGGTACAGCATTTCTCATAACTTTTCTTGCAATGTGCAGGGTGACCTCTAGATTGCATAAGTTATTCCTTCAGCCACTGCAGTCAATGCCTGAAGGGGAAGATTCCTCAGACGAGTGGGAAAGTGAGACTGTAGTAGTGGAAATCAATGGTGTTCTAGATGCAAGAACTATTCGGCAAGCGGTTGCATCCAAACAGATCACACTGCGCAGACATGAGACAGATAGTCCATTGCTGCAGGTAATCTATTGTAGTATGTATGAGAGTAGCCGTAGTCACTGACGCAGGCAATGCACCAGATGCGTCACAGCACTTTTCGCCCGTTTGTATCGGAAGAGTGGATAGCATGATTACGTATGTCTACAGTTTGTTCGTTGTTAGCATCGCTGAAAAAGCAAATAATAGCGCATGATAAAATTCTGCATTCATCGAATTTTTCTTCTCCATTTTAGGTCGGAAATTCCTTGTTTACCGGGAAGTGGTTGCGGACTGTCGGCACTGATCTGATTTTACAAGCAGACGGCGGACAGATATTGAAGTTATGTATGGATTTTTTGAACTTTGACGAGAGCCTTTTCAAATGTGAATTTCTTCATCCATGAAATTTCAAAACATAAGTTATCTTGGACACAATCATGCTGAAAGACTAAAAACTGTCGCCTGGAGTTTTCCTTCTGCACACGCTTGCCGCTAAAATATCGGTGGAAGATTTTCTACCCAATGAAGAGTCCTTAGTTATCCTGAAACCTAGCATACAAGTCATCTCCGCATATGAATCCACTCTAGTTAGATAAGTCCGCCCTTCAGATGAGTACCTGCAGATAAGACCCTTGTTGAAAGCTGTCATGTTCCTACATCTTCACGAAGCACTCAGATTTCGTCAATATTCTCCCTAAAATCCCATATCGTTTTTCTTACACTTTCAGGTGTTAGCAGCGAGCGATAAGATGTTGAAGACAGAGAAAGCGTTGATGACAGCCGTTGCCCCGTCCGCAGTGCACACCAACGCAGACGAGACGGAAAAGGACAGACCGCCGCAACGGCAATGTAAAAAATGATTTCGATCAGGTTTTAAGACATTTTGTAGATATAAATTGTCAGTTTTTGTTGGTTCTCTGATTTCCTTTGATTATCATTGATACTGAAGCAAGATACAGGTCATCTGACCTTGCTTCACCTTCATTTATGTATGCAGTTAATTGCCGTTTGTCTTATTGTTTTTGTTTGGCAATTAGGTGTATTGTTAGAGGCAATGCATGGCTTAAAAAGTTATTGAAAAGGCAGTTCCGCATCTTGCCGCATGTTATATTCATCGATTCGTGGGCGCAAACGCCAGCACTCCCAACCAACACTTCGACCGATCTCTAGTTTGATGAATTCGGGCAGAGCTTTCTGCCCTTTATGCTTTGTCAAAGACTTTTCATATCTCATGGTGTAACAATGAAAATTGACGTGTGGTTTGTTGAGAAAACAGTAAATGCTCAGTCAAAATTACTATGTAAGTTATACCGGATTAAGCTAATTACTTTCCATGATCATACTTTCTCCTTTGGTCGGATGTTCCTTTTAAAATTCAAAAGTAAGTGCAAGACAACTTTTTTCAATTCTTTCTTTTTTTTACTTACAAGGTTGTAAGTGTAACTGTGACGGAATTTTTCCTTTTTTTTCTTTTGTCTGTGGGGTTATCAGTCAGTTTCATTCCTTACTTTCACGATTGTCACGAATGGGGCACCTATTGCGCGCCCCGATCAATGAACAGAGGCTGCAAGCCCTTTGCTTTGGACCAGACAGCACTTCCTTCAAACTTCTTTATTTTCTCACTTTTCCAACCAATGTCGCTTCAATTTCGATGGATATATGTCGATATAACAAAAATGAAGCTTTATTAAGCCATGGATGGTTCACCACCCAGTGGTGGTCGATCAGTTCAATTGAACCATAATGGCCTGGAGGAGGAGGAAGATCACGAGCCATCGGACACAAGTGACACAGAAGTTAGACATTCCTTTTATTGTTTGGCTATACTGTATATCTTGAACTACTCAACTTGCTTTGAAAAACACTGATTTTTCTATTTTCTAGGTTGTGAGATGTAATAGTATCAAGGTAATTCTCCATAAAAACTGTAAAAATCGTTATTTTCAAGATACCAGTCTCTTAAACCTCATAGCTGAAAATGGTTTCAAAATCATCAATCAAAGACGAGCAACCAAACATTTATTAAGCAATGCGCTAGGTTCGGGAGTCGTATATTATTGTGCATACTACCGTTTTCATCGCAGACGATGCATCGATTATGCTAGATTGGCTTTTTTCAGCGATGCGCGTGTCGCGAATGGCGATGTAAGATTGAATAGAGATGTCTTGGAAGCTTCTTCCACCAAATCCAATTAGCATAGTGAATTTCTATCTTTTTCGTGCTACACAATTGGATGAGCATATAGTTATTTTAACAAACCATCAGTTGCATTAGTGAGGCGACGCGGTTTTGACACGTAGGATGTGAAAGAACGTTTGGAAGCAGAATGCTAGACCCGCAATAAAGGGATCTGCATTGTCTGCGTCAATGATTCTAGATGTAGTGAAAGAGTAGGGTGATGTACAACGAAGGAATTAATTTTTATACCTCGCAGGATGAAGAATCTCCACCACATCTCGTCTTCACTGATGGTTCATGTTCAGAGGGATCGGAATGTAGTTCAAGAAGCGTAAGATTCTGATTATTTCTTCACCCTTTATATATGAAATCGCATATTTTTCAGTCTTCACCTTTGAGCAACTTCGAGCCATGCGGATCTCCCGACTCAGAAATTTGCGTGACCAACATTATCGAAGCAATTGAAGTTAGTTACTTGCATTTCTGCAATTTGTTTCCTGTTTGTAGTTTGCAGTTCTGTGTTGAGAAAGTGGTATAATTCGTTTGGACTTCTCTCAATTTATTTGCAGTACGTTTAGCTTTCTAATTAATATGTCAATTTGCCATCACACTTCGAAACTAAACAACTGTTTTGTCATGTTCAAACATGGTTCAACTTGTCAGCGAGATTTTGTCAACTTGAAAAATTTGCAGTGACAATGAGACTATCATCCACTCCACTATCGTTATTAATTCTGCTCTGCGTCTGTGACTTGAGGCACGCAAGGCTAACATGTTGGCAACATGCAGCAACATGTCGACCTCAGGGTCACTTGTTGCTAACATGTCGGTGCATGTTGCCAACGTGTCAGCCTTGCGTGCTGCAGGTCAGAGCGCAGAGCAGAGCTAGCAGTCGGAAGACAAGGTTTTCTACATCAGTCAAAATACCTTCACGAGCACTTTCCAATTTTAACAAATTGTTGGTCAAAACACGTCTTTTATCCGATAACTTTGGCTTTATTTTCCGCCTAAGCACTTCACAATATTGCAAACTCGTCTTTTTTTCCTAAAGTTCATTTTAGCGATCAGATTTTTGCGATGTCTTCGAGTCTTGTGGCAACCACATAATTTTCAAGCTTTTTGGCGGACTTCTTTGACCGCTTTTTCTGAATGCTTAGGGCGTAGTGTACAAAATTTGCGACTGCAGCCAGTTTAAACGGATCTTTCTGATGTAGCTCTCTTTTTAGGATTGTGAGACGGAGGTTGAAGTGGAAAATGGAGATGATTTGGCACTGGAAGTGGAAGATGTGGAAGCCGGTTCGCCTGCCTCTTCGAATGTGAGTTCTTTGTGAAGTATTTTTCGGTATATGAAGCATTTACGACGTTTGCAAAGGGTAACATCACTGTTACAACGTATTAGATAAGTCGAATATGGCCACCAGGTTACTACATATTCTGACACCACTATGGCAGCAGTAGAAGCTCCCTGTTCGTCCCATGAATTTCATTCGAAAAAAAACGATTAATGCCTTTGTGAACATTTCTTCTTTCATACTTATATCATAAGCTAAAGCTTTGAATACGATGAGTAGAAGAAAAGAAGAGCTATGTAGTTTTTACTCGTTGCGCAGGCGGTGGCAGATGGACTACGCTGCCGTTTCGGGCGCAGTTTCACGAGTCTTTTTGTGGCAAGCTTCCGTGGACAGTGTATTTGAAATCATTAAGAATGCTTCACAACTGTGAAAGCCAGAGCCTTACTGTTATCTAACGTATCACATGTAAGGTACCATAATGAAGCTTGAGATATTTTTGCAATTCCTTAGGCGATCTGGAAATGTCATAGCATGTACCATTTGATTCAACTGACTGGCTCTGGGGAGGCGGGGCATCGTGACCTAATTGGCTAGGCAATGATCAGAGAACACTCGCGCGAGAGAGACGCAGGTGTGTCGCGGACGCGAGCGGCCTTAATTAGGACACAAAGCCACGCCTTCATAAAGCCAAGCCAGTTGAATCAAAGGTTAGTCGAGTCATTGCACGCAGAGACTGAAGCCATCGCGACCGACAAAGAGTACGCGCACGGAAGAGAAACAAATGATAGGGTAGGGAGTGGACAGCACGCAGTGGCGCTTAGGTTTTGCATGCGATGACTTGCCTATATGATGAACAGACCAAAGCTTCCATCTCATGTGCTCAGTTCTGCTGTTTTTTTTCAGAAGGACGATGTTCCGGTTGTAGAGCCGTGTACAAGCAACCCACCATTTTTGGAAAGAGACGAGGTTTCTTTGCTACTCAACATAGGCCCTCAGTTGCAAGTTTGTTCTCGATTTGTAGGTGGACATGGAAGTTTCTTCTGGGGATGAATCGGATGAGCCAATACCAACTATGTCAAATGCATCTGTTTCTACTACGGCTACACCTGCTCCAGCAGTAGTCCAGCCTACACCTGAGGAGAAGAAGCGGATTGAGGATAACATACAAGCTCTAATGCGGGAGTTCGAGCGTAAGCGTCTTGAAGAGAAAATACGGAAGGTCGCTAGCGTTGAAAGCATTCCGCCTGCACCTATGAAACCTCAAGCGGCAGTTATTTATGACGAGGAGACTAAGGTGAGGATTGATAGCGATAACGTGTCTTGTTAGAAAGTTTATAATCATGGATGTCAAGGTCAACGCTGTGTCCACTTCTGGTATTTCTCCTAGCCAGGATCAAACAAGCAGTGCACAGGTTCAAGAGCAAGTGGCGAGTATACAGGTATAATCCTTAATCACTTTCGTGCTTTAGTAATCCAGGGTACCTTGTAGTATTAATGCTGCGTCTAAGTTTATCGTGAGAATCATTCATTCTGAGACTAGGAGACAATCGAGAAAGTTTTGCACACATTGTCTAAACAAGCTCGGTCATGTAGTTAACAAGTCTGTTGTGGTATCTTTCATTTGTGTGTATGTCAAGAGACGCATTTTTATTGCCAGATGGACACCAAATAGCGCATAATAAAGTTTCATAACATTCTAAAAGTTTTTGAATTTTACAAGAAGATATATTAGGTAATAGCATGAGTTGCTTGGTCCTGCTGCCTAGGAATCAATTCAAAACAGCAATTTTGAAGGTCAGGAACCCACGAAGATGCAGGCAAGAACAAATTCGTAAATATTTCGGTTTGTTTTTCAGCAAAAGCCACTAAAAACAGCAAGTAGTAACCTCAGATAATACTTGATTATACTTCATGTTTTGTTGAATGTAATATGCATAGGAATTTCCTACGCAATAAATAATAAATAATAAAGATAGTAAGCAAGGCACTTTATCTGGTACTTTCTATACGCATTACATTGAGCTGGGTTTTGGGTTGGTGACAGCCGTATAAATTGCGCCTCTTGATCGTCTTCCATCTGATATAACACTTGGAACCAGGCAGGAAGAAGTTCAAGCATAGACAATGTTAGGGATCGTTCAGACCGCGCACAAAGGCGGACGAAGGCGCACAGAGGCGGACGAAGCCGCACAAAGGCGGACGAAGGCGCACGAAGGCGCGTCTGGTCTCGTCTCGTTTATCTCGAAACACTCACACTCACACGCGCCTTCGTGCGCCTTCGTCCGCCTTTGTGCGGCTTCGTCCGCCTTCGTCCGCCTTTGTGCGGCTTCGTCCGCCTTCGTCCGCCTTTGTGCGGCTTCGTCCGCCTTCGTCCGCCTTTGTGCGCCTTCGTCCGCCTTTGTGCGCGGTCTGAACGATCCCTTAGACAATGTGTGCAAAGCCTTGAGTCTCTTAGTCTTAGGTTAGATGATACCTGTTCAAATTTAGGGCCTTGCAATTGAGATTACGCTCTTGTCTTACACTAGTATCCAGCTTAGTTATTAGTTTTCATTATTTGACTGTTCCCTCTTTTTTATAAGTCGTAATCAGTGAGTGGATAGGTGAGTAAGCATAAGTGATTGCGGGTTAATGCCCATAACTTCTAGAGAAGTTATGATACTCTGCTTTTGACTTATAATCTTTGTAGAGAGTAGGATCTGTCTCAATTGTTTTCTTTTGATTTTTCTAGGAATGCTGTACTAATGAAGCTAACAGTCAACCTTTGGTCAAATCGGAGCCGGAGCCATCTTCTGTAGCGTACTCACCCGCCGATGATGTTGTTACATCCGCAGACGCTACATCCGTAGATGTTGCGCCTGCGGCCGTAGCGAGCTCATCTTGTGAAGTTGTAAGACTTTAATAGATTGACTAAGTCTTTATTTACTAATGAACTGGTTTCAAGGTCAATACTGATAGCAGTGATGTAAAGAAAGACGATGCTGCATGCGAGCTTCCTTCATCATCAGTTGAAGTCCCTCCTGTTCCTATCTATGAGGAGATAGAGCAATGTATCTACAAAGTTGAAAGCAAGAAGAAAGCTGTGTCGCTCATGTGAGTCGGCTGTGAAGTATATTTTTGTATATAAGAATGGTTTTGTCAGGTGCTTTTGCCGCAGTAACAATATGGATTGTTCTGATGGGAGATGTGACAATCGGGCAATGCTTACCGAATGTCCTAAAAACTGCCTAGGAAAAGATAAAGATTGCAAGAACAGGCGGTTTGCAAAGGTTCCTAAGTCTTTCATCACTTTTCGGTGGCATTTTGATTCCATTGTCTGTTCAGCGAGAGTACGCTCCTGTTCAAGCTTTCTATACTGGTCCGCACAAAGGTTTCGGCGTTCAGGCAACAGCCCCTATCAAAAAGTAAGTGATAATTTTTCATGCATCTTCTTATCCTGGCTTCTTTTTTTTTACAGTCATGTATAAAATTTCTTGCAGGGGCCAGTTCATTATCGAATATGTTGGTGAAGTTGTACCACCGGACGAATTCGCAAAGCGTTTGAAAAGGTTGGCTTGTAGTTTTTCATTAGTAATCTGGCTCAAGAGCGCCGCTATTGTTTACTCATTTTTAGATATGGGCGAGACCCCACGCACACTCACCATTATATGTTTGAAATTGGTTCAATGGTCATAGATGCAACTAAAAAAGGAAATTGCTCTAGGTTTATGAACCATTCTTGCGAGCCTAATGCTGTCTGTGAGAAGGTTTGTCTCACTTATCACCTCTGCAGTAATAGTTGCCATGGGTACTTTTACAGTGGTATGTCCCCAAAACACCTTGTGCCATAGACAGGATCGGATTCTTTGCAAAGAGGGACATCGAAGTTGGGGAAGAGATCACGTTTGACTACCAGTTTCAAAACTATGGGTTGGTGACAGTTGTTAGATTGTTTCCTTTATATTGCTTCTTACTTCGATTCAGGCGGGAGGCGCAGCGTTGCTATTGTGGAGCAGCATCCTGTACTGGTTGGATAGGAAAGCCACCAGAAATAGTGGATGATGGCGATGATGTGGCCGACGAGACAGAATCGGAAACCGACGAAAGCGAGAGTAGCGCGGATGAGGAAACAAAGGTATGGATTTAGCTCTGATACTGCATTGTTAGGTGCCAGTGGCGGTTCCAGAATTTTTTTCCTGGAAAAATCTTTTGCAAGGCTAATTTGAATTTTTGAAAAATTTTAAAAATTATTTTAATGGCTCACAAGAATAAACAAGTCCCTTGCGCATTTTTATAACCCATATAAGTAATTTTCAAAAATTTTGCCCCCCCCCCCCCCCCCGCATTTCCCCTCGGTCCGCCACTATTAGATGCATATATTTTGTCAAGGTTGCTCAAAGAGCTGCTCCTCGTCTGAAACGAAGGCATCGTTATCGAGGAAAGGACAATCTTTCATTGGCTGATATTGAAAAAAGACTTGAGAAAGCGGTTGCATTTGGTTGTCGCAATAGGACTCATGTACTGGGATGGATCAAGCTCATGGTAGGCTTCATTTCCAGTCATTTGGGTAATTCAATATGGTTTGCACTTTACAGACTGAAATAACACTGTTGAAAAACGAAGCTGGAGTTTTACGGCCTATGCATTGCGTCGCAGATACAATATGTTCCATCGTAAGTTTTTACTCTGCTAGAGTTATCATTGGTACTTTATTTTTTATGCCACAGGTATCGCAAGAGCCTTCGCTACAACACATATTCGTAGCAAATGGTTTACCAAACATCTTCAAAATGTGGCTACGAACGCAGTTTCCGGATGCATTGTTCGGCGAATCTCTCGATTTGAAACTTGTCATCATTAGGTCGCTGACGATTATGCAGTCTTGTGCAGATGCCATCAACGTTGGTGTTCATGTTCTTATCCGTTGCTGTTTTACTGTTCATCCCCGTATTTAGGCACGCGCTCCTGAAATTCTTCCAATGATCGCCGATTTGGCTACTTTTACCATCACAGACGCTATCTATATCCGAGACACGATGGAGTTCATTGTGGACAAGGTTTGCGAAGACGAAGAAGAAATAATCGAGGAGGTAAATATGGATCTTTTGAGCGATGCTGATGTGATTGTGGTATGTTTCAGCGACGAGTTCCTCTAGCCGTACGTCTTGATCGTCTCACTCGAGCTGCTATTCGCCTGCAAGCAGTGCTTCAACAACACGTCAGCTTTCGGATACCTAAGAAGGTGGTGAGTCGCATACCTGTTTTGAATCTATGTACTTTATTGCTCTATGTTTTCCTCTCGCATCTCATAGCAAACTTATTGAGATTCACTGAATTGAAGACTTTTCATGAAAGGAGATGTTTCAGCATGTTTTTTCCAGAAAGTTGATAGAGCTGCTGCTGGCAAAGAGGCTGAGCTTGCGAGAGTTGAGGACCAGTTATCATCGAGGTAAATCTGCTATATCTGACCTCTTTGTATGTGAAGTAATGGCCATTTGAGGAACCACGGCCGCTATCTGAACTTCCATGGCAGGCGAAATGGGACCATCGGTCCTAATGGGAAATTTCGTTTCCGAATATCACGATGGAGCAAGGGTAAGGAATGCTTATATTACTGAACTTACAGCGAACGATTTGATTACATAACTCCAGACTACCGACCCAGGAAAAGAACAAGAAGTTCGTCAAGGGATGGTGGTATCACAGAAACTATCCGTTGTAGAATTGGCCCGTGTACGTCTATCACTGAACATATGCGCACTGTCAAACGAAGTCGTCTTGATGATGATGAGCCTATAATAATCACAAAAGTCATACCTAATGTACGTTTGTGCGTTTATCTTTTGAAAATCTATCGCCTCTATTTTGTTGCTCCAGTGGCCTCGACCAACCGTTACCACAAATATCCCTCCTCCTCCACCTCCTCAAATTATCTCACCAGCGCAGTTGATCATCCCACCGCCTCCCACCGGTGAGTGATGACGTTTTTTTTTGCAGAGAGATGATTGATTTCATCTTTATTTTCACAGTGTTTCCACCTGTTCCACCTTTCCCCGAATTTGGTCCCTATCCCAATTATCCAATGCTTGATCCGGGATACCAAGCCCCATACGAATGTCAGCAAGCGCCGCTTGACGACTTTGATCCGGAAGAATGTCGCAAATATTATGAAGGCTACGATGTGGTTTCATTACAGTAAGTGTAAACTAATGGAGCTGTGCATTCAACAGCAAAATTTTTCTTCCAGACAACGTACGCAAAGCCTCCTCAAAGAGATGGCAATTGTGCAAGCGATCCTTGATCAAAAATTGAATAAAGTAGGTTTATTGGAGTTGAAGTCTATTATAATTAGAACCGATTCGTATCCGAATGATTTATTCGAAAATGTTCGACTATTCGAATTGTCGAATTCTCGAGAAAGTCCGTTTATTCGATTATTCGAATAATCGAATCAATGGTAAAGGTCCCTATTCTAATTCGTTCACTTGAGGAATCGACAAATGACATATTCGAGTATTCGAATATTCGAGAAATTTTTAAAACATTTACTCGAATATTCGAATAATGCCTTCGAATAATCGAATATTGCATTTGAATATTGTATTCGAAAATGGTCCAGTATTCGATCAAGTTTACTTATTCAAATATTCGAAAGTTCGAATTTTTTGATGTGCCCATATTTGAATATTCGAATTCGAATAATATGAAAATCGAAAACCGAATAATATTTTCATTCGAAAATTTTTCAAAAATCAGTCAATCGATACTCGTTCATCCGATGAAAATTTCCGTTCGTTATAACTATAAGGTGTATCTATTCTTATGCTTGAGTAGTATAATTTTTTTCTTAAATGAGCAACGATTTTTTTTTTCAGAAAAAACCAACGACACCGCCCGTCATCATTGCCCCTAAATCTCCGCCTCCACCGAAGACTCCACCACCTCCTCCTCCTCAAAAAGAGTACCTGTGGAGAAAAGCAGTTGATGAAGATGGAGCCAAATATTATTATCACAAGGTGTTTTATTTTTCTGATGAGCAAAGATTATTTGGATTAACTAGAAATGCCTGTATTGCATGGAATAATTTATAGATTACGCGAGAATCGGTGTGGGAACTCCCCGAAGGAGAAGAAAGTGATCCAGGCGAGCGCACACCTACGCGTATGCCGGACACGTCAGGATGTGGGAACGACGAGTCGGACAATGTTGAAGCTGTGTGTTATTGTAGCATAAATTTGAAAAAAAAAAAACAAATCACAATCATGTTCAGAGCAAGCAAAACGATCTGTTATCGCGCTGGTCCGCGATATGCTCTCCACAAGTGTCTACTTCTACTAACACACAGTCCGCTACACCTAGCTCAACAGCTGTAACGAATGGTTCCGCAACCTCAAATGGCACTCAGTCTTGTCAGAAGAAACGAGAACGTGAACGACGTCTCTGGGAGAGATTCTCTAGCGAGGCTGATCGCAAACGGGCGAAGGTATGTTCAATCCTACCTGAGTTTCATTAATTTTAGACTAACATATTTTCCGTTGTAGAAGTTGATGGGAGAGATTGAGAAGGTTGTTGGTCCTATCATAATTCGTTATATCGGAAATCGAGAAGATGCCACCAAAAAGAAGAAGGAATGGATTATAAAACAGGTACGATCTTGTTCAAGTGGAGCTTCTAGTCTTTTCATGTTGTTCTGGAATTGCACATTTACAGGTTAGTAAAGAGATGCTGAAACGTGAGTCGGAACGGCCTGATTTCAACTTTACACTAACAGAAAAAGGCTCCAAACGGGTAAGAATTGAAATGGTTCTGACGTTTGAATTAGATTTGTTTTTGTTTTTGATCTTCATGTTTTTGTAGGTTACTGATTATGCTAGCGCTTTTATCAAGCGGAAATGTGCCAAGGAACCGAAAGAACTTTGGAAAGGTTATGACGGTTCTCCTTAGCTTAATGTGGAGTATAATTTCAAATCATCTCACTGCCGCAGTTTATATCAGTCAGGTTCTTTCCAAAGTCAGTTACTGGTCACATCATCGATACTTTCAGTGTTAGGCTCCAAGTTTTAGGCATATATGTTTTGATATTTGTAAATAGCATGTCCGGTGAATTGTCTCTATCTTTCAATAGGACATGTTCTATAAATCTATTTATAAACATTCCTAGGGAATTTTTCTCTGAAGAGTCATGCTTATGATGTTTTCTCGTATGTATCTTTTGTAGAAAACCTAGGCTCTGTTTTGTAGATAAGTAACGTGCGAGTTTATCGGTGCTGATATAATCTAACAACTGATCTTTACGCTCGAGTTTCTCAGCATATTTTCACAAGAAACCCAGTTTAACCTTAAACGGATGATCTAGGCTTGAGGTGACATAATCCATATACCTCCTCTCGCACATTGCTTCGTATATACCAGTTTGGTAGGTTGTGTTTAAGGATTGGTCTTTCTTTGCCACTGTCCTACATGAACTCAATATACTTGACTGTTATCAAATATTGTTGTGCAGCAGATTTGCTGTAATTCTATGCTATGATTGATATAATGTGTGTTCATGAATTTTACTGAAAGTAAAACATTTGTTCTTGTATGTGGTCATTTTTGGAGGTAATTTCCAGGCTTAATGTGGTTCTCAAAGCTGCCTTTCCGCAAGTATCTCTTAGATGAGAGCAAAAAAGAAAAAAGGTCCTTCCACTGTAAACCGTTTACCCCCACTCCCTTTACTTTCTCACTTATTTGATATTGAACTTCCAGAAAATGGTTGAAAAGCGAGTGAAGATACGAGTAGAACATCGTCAGAAATTATTTTATGAAAGACTACTCCGTGCTTGGAAGGAAAAAATGGAAGATACGAAATTCAAATACGGGATTTATAAAGCGTATACTCATCTCAAACATTATCCATTGGAAGTGTGCACAATCACGGACCTCAAACAGATTCACGGTTAGTCAGCTTCTCTTTTTGTAGACCACTCTGGATTCCAGATCTATTTTAAAGTGATTAACAATTCTCCGACTTACTTAGGATATATGGTTTCATGTTGTATATTATCAAATCATTTTTGGAAAAAAAAAACATTAAAGCTTCATTTACTCGGATTCTGCAGGGATAGGGGAGCATCTGGCTGTTCGCTGCCATGCAGCATGGGAAGCAGCAGTTGCCGCTCATTCAGAAGAACTTGATCTCAAAACTATAAAGAAACTAACCGATGGTAAGTGATAATCTGATGAAAGGCTTAAAGCATAAAAATAATACTGCAGAAGAACTGATGGACTACTTGTACAACGGGAGAAAAAGGAAAAACACAGCTGCAGTTGTCACTTCTGGTGAACGGACGAGTCCAGCCAAGGCAAAAAAACGAAAAGTGCGTTTTCCAGTAATTGCTTCACATTACTGATTATGTTTCATTCCAAACCCTACCTGAAAATATTGTGGTGATGGGACTACAATGCTGTGCCTATTTGAACTACAGCTCCCTTCTGCGCCTCTTCTCTCCTCATTTTTTTGAACTCAGAAACTCATCCTTTTTTTCCAGAAACAAAGTAAACCCGACAATGTCGAGCAGCCTACCGATGTGCTCTTGCCTTCCGAAAGCAATGTCCAGTCAACTTCGGAAAACAATGCGGAATTTGTTAGTCCTCCAGAATCACCCGAAGCTGCAAAAGAAGACATTCACTATATTACCTGTCAACCCACCGAGCATGCTGAGGTATATTTCTTGATTTTCAAAATCTCAGTTTACTATTTAATGGCGAGTGCGGGCAAATAGTCCCTTGATTTTTTATGTTGAATGTTTCTGAGCTTTGACTAGCCTTGTGGGCTGCATTTGATCGTCTGTCCCGAAAAGTACAATGTCGAACTCTTGCCCAGAATAGTACACAACGACGCTAATTAGTCGAGGAGTACGGTACTGGGCAAGAGCTCATAAGTTCAGCATGAATGAATCATAAGGACTGGCGCTTGAACAGGCATACTTGGAGATCCCTGTACTGACCATACAAAACATCGTTAGCGAGAGCATGAAGACTACTTCTGCTATTTCGTTTCCAGGTAGTGCTAATCGCTGACAGCCGAGAAGATCACGGTGGCACACGTAGAAATACAGTTGTTGATTGTCTTACGGCTTCCAGTTACAGGGTCAGGAAATTCTACAAATGTTAACGATGGCAACACTCTAGAAAAAACAGTTTAGGTAGAAATGCGCTCACTTTCGGTTGGCGATTATCTATGGGTTCTGCGTAAGATCGATGGTACAGAAATCGTACTGGATTGGGTAGTGGAGAGAAAAACATGGGATGATCTGAGACAAAGCATAAGAATGGTAAGCGTGATGACCGCTGCTTGTTTGAAGAGATTTCCGAGTAATAATAGAACGTTTAAGGGAAGATATGAGGAACAAAAACAACGACTACGCCATGCTCCCATGAAAAATGTTGTCTATCTGGTAGAAGGCACCTTCACGCCAGATTATGCAGCTTGTGAACAGGTAAAGTCTCTGAGCACATGGTTCTTGCCTTGAAACATATTTCAGGAGAAGGTAAAGCCTATGGGTTCAAAAAAGCTAATTCTACGCAAGGTAGATGAAGTTATTCCTTTCAGGCTTTGGCAACGACTATGATAAGGCATGGCTTCATGATTCAGAGGACCAAATCTCCCAAGGATACTGCGCAGTTTCTATGTCGTCTCACTGATCACCTCAAAGAAACTATGCTTACGCGTCAGGTTGTTGTTTTTCGAATTTCTCATCCTACTTAAAAATATGGACTGTTCAATTAAGATGACAGGTATCTCGTATGAAAGTCTACAAATTCTTTCAAAGAAAGCACGAGCGGATACGGTAAAGGATACATGGATAAGGCAGCTAATGGTAAGCACGAGACTTATTTCCTCTTTTTTTTTCATATCATTCGTTAATTACCACAGGTTTGTCCCGGAATGTCAGCTGAGCGCGCACAGAAAGTAGCTTACCGATTCCCATCTATGGCAGCTATGATACAGCAGTACTCACAAACAAATGATGCTGATTCTAACTCTTTGCTTTCATCAACTGTGCCAGAGATCAATCGTGCACTTAGCGCACAAATGCGAAAGTTTTTCAGTTCTGTCACTCCTGATACATCCACTACCTAAACTAGTATACCAGAACTAATATTTTTCTCAATACTTAATCTCTTATTTACTATGGTTTTTTTTTTCAATACATGACTCATTCACTCTAGATACTCGTCATACTTACTTCAGATGCTTTATAAACATATTTGACAACAAATGATAACAGTCAACAAACAATTCAATCCGAACAAAATCAATAAGTCTAATAGATAATGTTGTTTAACAATAACAGCATACCCAACGATTTATCACGTTAACGAGCTTTCACTACGGATGTATTCTCCCAAATCACACTGATGGAGTACAATAACAGCAGTGGGATCAGCTCGTTTCGACTCAGCTGTACCTTTTGCCGCCACACCAAATCTGAATGCGAAAAAAACTGACTGAAAAGAAAATCAGACCGGAACAAAGATGCAGGAAACATGAATTATTGTGGACAGAGAATGCTTCTTACCCAAGAGGCATATCGTTCATATTGTAAACCACAATACCAGCATGAGTAGGCGTGCCTTCAGTCATTCTTGCAATTCCGGACTTCAAAATATTATTTCCATATAGAAATTGTTGCTCAGCACTGGGCTTCAGCCATACTCGATACTGTATCAAAAGCTTGTCAGAATCAAAATACAGTAGATCAATAACTGAGGAATGATTACCTTAGCATAAGGAGCCAGATAATCTAGCGCTGTAATATGAAGGTGAAATTTGTGAGATTTTGTGAATTTGCCTAGACAAGTCCCAAATGACAGTAGAGGTTCTCGAGCTATACAACCGGCTTGGCGCATGAGGTTTTCCGTACAGTAGTAAACTCGTTCCTACAAAGAGAAACATATGAGAAACTAGAAGCTAAAAAATCCGCAGCAACCTTGTGATTTCGAAAACAGTAGTCACCATCTTCTCGTTCGATCAACAATGCCACATTGTCTCCTATGAAAGTGGCTAGCTTTGCAAAGACCTTTTCCGTCTCTTCTTCCGTGAGTGGACGCATTTGGTATGCCTGCTATTTATGAACATACAACAATATAAACTGAGCAATTATGGTCGTGAAATCGGAATTAGTAACTGCGCGAAAAATAAGGTTTGCCTAACTAATCTGAAGAGGTCTTACGGGATCTTATTTCTAACAAAGTTGACCCTCACTAGATTATAACTCTGCATCCTGCGCGAATCACAACGCTAATTCAAGTCCATGTTACAGAAAAATAATGGTGATTATATACTTGTTTTCCGCATATAAGATATGAAAACTCGACAATGATCAACCCAAGAAATACAAGTAGATCTTATTTGTTCAGTATAGATATGAGAACTGCAAACTGACCAATCGGAGAATTTACCCCTCAAAATGTCAAAAATGTATCAAAAGTCCTTTCGTCGGTATAGCGTAACTACTCAGGCAAGTGTTGGTAGATGTAAAGGTCATGGACCATTTTGCCATTGAAAAACTAGAGTAAATTTATACACAAGAAGACATTATTTATTACAGTCAAAAGACATTCCGAAGGCAATGACTTGATATATGATAACAATACAAACTTATACAAACTTAAAGCAGTTGCAAGAAAAACCTATAAATCGAGAAAGACAACAACGGAAGTGATGTACCGAAAGATAAATCGAGCATAATCCCGTTATGAAAAAGTAATATCCGTCAAAAAACCGTGTGATCAAGCGAGTAGATATGATGTCAGAAAGCAGTGAATTATTCAGAAGTAATGATTTTCAATACTAATCGATCGTGTTATATAGCCTAGAAAATTAATTACAAGATGTGGAAAAGGAAAAATTCTACCGGTTACTTAAACTGTTCCAGAGAATTACAGATAAAATTACATGATTCAGTGATAATTGTACCAAGATTGAAAGTCAAAAATGAATTAATCTCAGGCAAAATAAAAATGCAAAGTAAGTTGAAAATCTTCAAAAATTTTCATAAATTGAGTGCAGTCACTTGCGCGATCATGCCACTGTCAGCGATCACAGATTTTGCAGTGTCAGTGTCAACCTATAACAAAGCCACATTCTTTCGAGGAATTAATCGAAGATCGATCAATCTCACCTTTAACACTAATTTTCCTCCCGGGCATTCCATGATAAATGATTGACTTTCCAATATTTGCATAGCAGAAGCAAAGTCATCACCTTCCAAACGCGGAACTTTGACAACTTCACAAGCTTTTGCATATGCGTTCGTCAGAGAAATCACATTTAAAATGTTCTGCAAACAAAAAACATTTTATAACGAAATTTGTTATATGGCAGAGTAACAACACTTACGGCGAGTAAGAAAATTAAGCGGGTGAAATATCCAAACCTTTTTGTTTGACGTCATGGCTAGCGCAACTGCCAGAATAAGACGAGGCTGTAGCGGAAGACGTGCTCGGGCAAGTGGCGATGAATATACGCCGTTCAAAACTCCTAGAACTTCGCGACAACCTCGTGGAGTAGATGGCTCATTCAAATTTCTAAATAAAAATGCAATATCTGAGATCCATTTCTGATAAGTCTTTCTTCCAGATGATAATCAAATTTTGTCAAAATAAAATGACAAAAAACAGCTTCCTTTTTGAAGATAAAAATCAAGAATTCAAATTTACTCGTATGGGAACAAAGACTACCTTGTATGCTTTATAACGTGAAGAGCAGCTCGCAAATCTCCACTCATAGCCGCAACTTTACGAGAGCATAGCTCCACAGCTTTAGCATCCATTGCATCATCCTATCACAAGAATGAGCAGTCACCACACCTATGACCTAAAAGAACCCAAAGCAAATACCGAATCTGCAGTCATTCTATTCTTGAGAATTTCGGCTATTGCTTCCTTGGAGTATGGAGCAAAAACGAGCGTTTGTGGTACGTGTCCCAGCTTCAACTTTGGTAACAATCGTTCAGTTAAATCAATGGAGTTAGCAATACCTAGAAAGAGAAGATGCCAAATTTTTTACAACAATGATGTTTTGTGAAGGAAATCTTTGCCTCACCTATCACTATCAATTTGGAGTTCAGAGTATATGGCCACTGAAACGCTGTGTACAGGAACGAATTCGTTTTAGATGCTAGGAGATCAATCTCATCAAGCACAAGAACAAAATGTTTCTTCTCGTCCTCCAATGCTCGTGCAAGTGCTGGAAGCGTAGGTCGTATAGAACTCTGAACAACAATAATCAATTTCATACTCATTCTAAAGAAGCAACACGTACCCCCATGGTTTCTAGTACAGATCTGATAAGTTCAGTCTGCGTATGTATGGAAACACAGTTAAGTGTTAAAAACATCACACGAGAGCCGAAACTTTCCAAAACCAACTTCATAGTCGCACTTTTTCCTAGATAACTGTTACATTAAATTACAAAAGAAGTTGTCAAAAAGAAAATGCTAACCTGTTCCCGGAGATCCGCTAATGTACAGAGAAAGAGGTTGTCCATCATCTATCGTTCCTTCAATCCATTTGCATATCGTAGAAAACTCTGTTTCACGCCCATGCAGAGGCTTCACTTCTTTTTCTAGAAAATCTCGGATTAATGAATCAATCATTTCAACAGTTTTTAGTCAGAGATTATTCGAATTACATTTTTTCAAAACTAAAACTAAAAATAAACAATGTATGATAAGCAAAACCGGAAAAAGCACATACTATGTCTGTGATTCGATGTACTATGTGTATTTTTGAACTTGACTGTAACGCTTTTTTCTGTTAGTTGTGAAGATGTGCTGGCGGTCCTGGCTCGAGAAGATGTGCTTCTCGAAGTATTTGCCTAAACTGGTAAGAGTCATCTTAGCATACATGCTTGTACCTCCGACATACCCTTTTCGGAGTCGCGATGGGAGATTTCGCTTGTGACTGAGGTAGAAGACTTCGGCGTGTTTGAACCATCGAGTCTCACAACCTGAAAAGTGCTTTCGAGAATCAAGAGAAACAACAACATTCAAAACACTCGAGAAAAAAGGAAAAAAAGCATTACTACTACTATATTATTTTATTTCGCATGATGTTGAGATTCTCAGCGCGCTATTTATTTATTTATTTATAAGTACACACGAAGTGCATCAAAAAAAAAGGGAGAGCACCAAAAAGAAAAGAAAGTCAGAAAGAAACATGAGGCCAGCCAGTCCTCAACGTCAGGGCAGAGTAGAATAAATCACGAGGTAGATAAATCATGAAGTAGAAAAAGATACGAAGCTCTAGACCCCTAATACTAAGGCAAAAAGAAGCGTGTGCTATGTCAGAAGACATCTCAGAAGCTTGCACCTTCAAAGAAACTCTTGATGAACCCATTTTTGGGTGCCAGCGAGCCCCCCCGGTAAGAGCTAGCTGACGGGACCCCAAGAATGATTTGTTTTGAAGGGAAACAAGATTCTGATGTAAAACTGTTCAGTAAAAGTAGACACATGTACACAAGGTACGGATGAATAAACAAACAGCAAATAAAGGTCTAAAGCTGGTGCATAAGCTCCAATGAGTGATCATCAAAGATTGCTATGGAGTAAAAAAACCGCTGGTATCGAAAGTTAGTGAGGGCATGAAACGAGTTAGTAACAACAACCAGAAAAAAAACAGAAACTGCAGGATAGCAGTCGTGAACGGAAGACAAAAAAAAAAGCCGAAAGTAATCAAAATGAGGTAGGGATGAAATGGAGGCATGTGAGAAGCAACATGCAGCAGAACACCACCCAACGCAACACAACTCGTCATCATCGGTAGTTATACCACAAGAAGCGAGGCAACTCAGATGAACTGAAAAGGAAAAACACAGGGCAGAACTAAATATGAGAGAGTAAACTTGACCCGATCCACACTAGTAAGGCATCACAACTCTCTCAAATGTCTTCTAGGTAGGTAGCAACCATCGAAATAAGAATTGCCGAAAGCAGGAAGCTAAGGAAAGAGAGGGCCATAATTGAAAAGCCATTGAAAAACGTCCATCAAAGCCAGTCAAGCGGTCCCTGAAAGGTAGCCCTCAGATGTGAACAAAAACGGAAAAGATGAAAACAAAGCCATTGTCGAGCGGTAATCCTCCATGTGCTATGATGGTGATTAAGAAATTCCGCAAGCGTGGTTTCGCGCCCCGTTTGAAACCACATTGATAAACAGTGAATTGCCTCGACCAGCTTAATTATGCGATAGCGCTCTACAAATTTTCAAAAATTTTGCGGTATGTTCATACAGCTTTCAACGATGCGAGAAGCAGGACTAGGTGAATAAGACGGCCTCTCATGCAATTTTGATTTTTCCTAACCTGCACTTTCTTAGAGGAAAATTTTCCTTGCAAAACCTAATTTCTCATATTTTACCTAAAATAATCCAGTCGATAAATAGATAAGGAACTAAGAATATCATCCAATTAGAGCTTGCTAAGTTTTGACATTCACGTAGTGCATTAGTGCACTTGCACTGCTGACCTATCTTGCTCGTAACAGGCTGGTCATGTTGCACACGTCTGGTATCAAATGATATTCTTGCGCTTTTCACCATTTTTGATAGATGCTACTTAGATATAACAATCAACAGTTGTCGATCAACGTATTCCAGCAATCTCAGATGCCTGGAAGGTGTGCGCGTTCTGAATACCTCCTACGTTCAAATGAGACTATAGGGCTTTTGAAAAATCGTCGACCGCGCGCGAAACGCACGCCACCCCTGGAATTCGCATTTTCTTGGTTTTCATCTCCAGTCGAATGTTTTTTTTTTTGCTTAAGTATGGTAATATCCAGAGGGTGAAAACGATACTATACATACAGTACGCTGAACACTTAGTTTGTGTAGAGGCAGACATGATAAGATACCACTCCTGCACAACCCACAATCTCCTGTAAAACAAGACCCATGCAAAAGAAAATTTGAAATTTGTTTTTGTTGAGGTCACTGGTGCAATAAGTGCCTACTACATTTTTTTTATAGAAAAATTGTGAATTTGTGGATACGCTTGAGGCATTATTTAGGATGAGAATTATAGGCAGAAAATGCGACGGCCCTCAGCTGTTAAGTAAACCGCCTGAAAGACAACACCGGGATCAGCGGCCACATCCCTACGAGTGAAAACAACGCTGGCGCGCATTGTAGCAGATTCAAAGCGGACGCAGTAGAGACTCATCCACTAGAGAATCTACAGGCCATTTGAATGGCTAGATCTCGACAATTTCACCATTTCTGAAGCTCTACTGATCCAGCATTTGATCCTGTCCAGCAAGAAATAAAAGATTTATCCGAAGGCCCCGCCCAGACTTTGCTCGAAAGCGCCCAAAAGCGCCCAAGCTTCTCACTTCTGTCTCTTCACGTTCTCATGTAAGAGATGGGGAAAGTGAAGAGAGGTTAGAGAAATTTTGGACCCTTTGGGCGCTTCTGAGCAGAGTCTGGCCGGCGCGAATGAACTAGGACCTATCAAACGGCGAAGTTCACTAGATCGTGAAGAGAAGGTTTAGTCAAATGGAATAAAATTCCTATGGTTCAGTTAATTTGCGTTCAAGATTGAAAATCTAGACATCTGTTCTACACAACCAGAAGGAACAAATCTCCACCAGCAACCTCTTTTTATCGCATTTTTTAAGATTCAAAGACTTCCTTCCTGCTCCTACCCGGACCTGCCACCACCATCAGCTGTGTCACTTTCGCTTCCAATCGTTTCACCGAAATCGACCCGACGCCAGAGCGAGAGTCGCGAGCCCACGCACAACGAAGGACAATCGCGAACGCGCGCACAGCCGGCTGTCGCGCGCGAAGCGCCAGACGCAAGGCGCCGCGCGCGGCAGAGACGCAGAGTGGGTAGGCGGAGCGGGCAACGCGCCAACACACCGGCCGGTTGCTGAAGTTATCGATCGGTTGGAGGCGACGTGCGTGGAGACGACGACGACGTCGACGTGCTGCTGCTCACCCGCATCGTCATCGTCGTCACGGATCCGATTGTCGATGAAACGTAAGCTATCCGATACGGCAAACAACCTCATCTGGCAGGTGGACGAATCTCCGCCGGCCGACGAGTCGCAGATTGGAGAACATCGCGGTCCATGCGCCATCGACTACGACTCGTGAGTCTCTCTTGCCGTCCCTTATTTTTCTGTGCTTACGGTCTTTTCGCCGTTTTTCCCACGTCGCCTACGCTTTTCTCTGCGCTCATTATATTAGCGTTTGTGAAGCAATTCATTCTTGCAACGAGAAGCACTCAAGAGTGCTTGTGCATAAAGCAACATACACTTAACCTACAACCACAGTTTTTATACGCTTATTAGCATTGCGGATTAAATACGAGGCGTTAATTACAACTGCATGCTAATTAAAGTGCTTTGCACAGAAGTTATTCAATCAAAATATTACCAGTGCTGACTACTGTACATGACATTCAGGCGAATATGATCATCACTGTTTCAAAAGCCTACATTTGCAAAGCTGTAAATTTAATCTCTCGAAAAAAAATGGCGATCTTTTCTGCACGTTCACTTGCAACTTGCAACAGTTTCACTTTGACAAAACTGCAGCTAGCATCGAAAAGGTTAATAAACTGTACTGTTAACAAAAGGGCATCGAATTTTGAAATATGAGTGCTTTCCTTTCAAAGATGTGTGCTGGCGCGTAACATTTGCGACTTTTACAAAATTCAGTGACTCTTTATATCGCGTTCAATTGAATTGTGTACTCTTTTCGCTGCAAGTCTGTCAAAAAACAGGCTTACCTTATGCTACATAGAATTTGCAGTGGAGCGATATCGTAAAAAGAGATTTTTATATCTTTTAATAGATATACATATTGTGTAGTAGCATAATTTGCTGAATGTACTGTATACAAATAGTTGATCGAGTTCAATCAAGCAAAAAAAAAATTATTGGCAAATAAAATTCTCAAACTCGCAGTGTAACACTCATTTGCACAACTGGAAATTGTGCAATGTGTCAACATTAAAGATCACAGTTCGTTTGCAGTTTAACACCAGATTCACAAAACTCATTGACGAGAAAGTGCAGTACACCTTTGACAAAAGATCATCTATCATCTGTATGTCAACCATCAAAGTTTTGTAAGAGTACATGCAATAGAACAGTGAATTTAGGATGCTTATGCTTGCAAATGTTCCACCTCTCACCGATGAAATGCGGTTTCGATGTCCAGCGCTTCCCTTACGAACGCGATCTACTCCTGAGTTTACGCTTGTGCTGGATCTAGTGAGTATCACTTTCATTTTATTTCAAAAGCACCGTCCACTCAAATCTGAAGCTAGTGTATTTTGATGCAGCACTATAGCGAGGGCCCAAGCGAATTCAAGCTTCGTTGTAAAATATGAATATCGAGGCGAAAAATTTGCTCAAGAATGTGGGTGCTGATGGGGTCGCCACGCCCATTTAACGTGCGTGCCCAAAGGTAATGAGCTCGAAACTAACTCAGTATACCCAGCGTTGTCGAAAGTGCGCCTTTCACTATGATGCATACTCTTAAGGACTTGATTTTATACCACTCACATTGATGAGCGTCGCGACCTCAAGAGCAACCACCTTCCGTAACGATTTTCTCACTTTGGAGATCTTTCACTATGAGACTTTCGCGATCACTTTGTTAGGGGCCTCGGCATTGCAGTGTATCAAAACACCGATTGTATTTGATTAGACGGTGCCTTTAAGATGGCGAAACCGTTGTACTCGAGAATATAACGAAAATTTACAGGATGAAACCCTGGTACACTGCAGTTTGAGTCCTCTTGTCGATGCATCTATGGTGTTCCCGGTGAACTTCCAAAACAACACCTATGAGGTATGACACAACCCTTGCAATGTTTTCTTATTACGTACGGTAATATTTAGGTTTACGTGCGATTGCGGCCACATCTGCATACATTTCTGGAGAGACTTTCTGCTAACTATGAAATCATACTTTTTACTGCGAGCAAAAGGATTTATGCTGACAAACTTCTGGTAAGGGAAGTCCGACACGGTGACCGACAATGTCAGATAGTTTAGCATCCAGAAAATTTTATGAGTGTGTTCATAGAGTGATGGAGAGATTTTGAAGTAAGTGCGCAAATATATAGCTATGAGATGAGAAAGAGACAATACTAACTTCATTTTTGAAACAGAGAAAAGGAAATATTCAAACAGCCACTTTTGGATTGAGAGATGCAGAGTCATAGACTACAAGCTGCAGAATTATCAGCTGCAAATGCTAAAAATCGGGAAAATTATGAAAATGAGAACGAGATTGGTTTGAGATTTTTTGAAAGTAGAGAACAATCAGAACAACTACAACTGAAGAAAGGTAAGGCCTTCTTAGTTTTCAGCTCTTACAAATAAAGACTTGATTTTTTTTTGGAGTTCTAAAATAAAGACAAATGGAGAGACGGTTGTAAGCTTTGGCTCAATTTGAAATCTTAGGAAGGTGTAGCAGAAAAGTGTTTTATGCTTCATCATGAAAATTTATGGCTCGTATGACAGTATCAGCCTTGTTGTTCGTATTTCGCGATGGCAAGAAACCCTCCACTACACTTTTATGATTTGATGATAAGAGAAGTGAGACAGTGTTTCGAAGAAGGCAAAAACAGAAAGCTAGTTGATGAAATATCTTTTCTGATTGTTAATCGTTACTAGTCTTCTATCGAAAGTGTTTCAGTGAAGATTTGAATGTACAAAGAAATGAAATTTTATGAAATAATGTGGAAATACCGCTCTTGAGTGTAGATAATAAATTTTGAATGGTAGATTCTTTTCTGTGAGGGTTACATGACCGTAGGTTTCAGGACAAGCAGGAAGAGAGACCCAGAAATCTTTTATCTGCGCTATGAATCTTATTAAACGGTTACGCGCTCGTAAATTACGTATAAAAATTCGGCGTTTCCCCTTCCAGGCATGCGCGAAATGCATTTTACTTCATAGAATGTCTTAGTGTGTGTTGTTAACCTTCACAATTACTGAAGCGGCACGAGCGGCATAGTGGATAGCTTAGCGATTTTGACGATCGGTGTATGCACGGACCGCCAGCAAGTTGTTAGCACTTACATGCATGGCTTGTGTTTACGCGCAAATGTTGTCGTTACCGTAGGGATACCAAACTCAAATATATCTTGCTGCGTGCTCATAATGAAAATACTGTGAGGGATACCGCATCTTTTCATGAAGATTGATGTGATGTCACAGGTGATAGTTTTGTCTATAAAAGTGTTTCAGAATCTTCTCGATCCTCAGAAACGGTTGGTACGGCACAGGCTTTTCCGCGAGCACTGCGTTTGCGTATATGGAAACTACATCAAAGACCTGTCGATTCTTGGACGAGATCTCTCACGAACTGTTATTATTGACAACGCACCGCAGTCATTTGCATATCAGATTGACAATGGCATACCGATAGAGAGCTGGTTCCATGAGAAAGATGATACGGAACTTTTGAAGTTGTTGCCGTTTTTGGAAAGTCTGCCAAAAGAGGTAAGTCACTTTATGAACAGGGACCTTAGGGAGTAAAACAGACGAGCTACTTCAAAACATACTTCTGTTTTAGAAACGAGATGTTCGTGAGATTTTGCGAGAGAAATATCGAATCAGAGAGATGCTGCCACCGCCATCCTGCCCACCTGTTCCGCCGGCAGAACCGTTATGTTCTGGATGATGAGAAAAAACAAAAAGCATAAGAACCGCTAACATCACATTTACCTAATCCAAAAAGAGCACCACCTCTTCAGAGTGCCATGAAGATTGTTTTTGTTGGTTTGAACGAAGGATTAGCTAATTACCGAACTGGTACATTGACTCCAGTGCGTAGTGAACAATTGCTTTTCAGGTTATTAGCGAAAAAGTGCTTTTTCTTATTGCATCAGTGTACCAATCTAGTGACTGATTATGTTATGCTAGATACTAATGCCTGTTTGTTGGTGAAAATGACCTCATGCAAGATTCTATTCAATCACATAGATATAATACCATATTATCGGCCACATAATGTACATAGTGCTAGTCTACAAGATTCCTGGTTATAGCGGAAGTGAACACCTTAATCGATTTGCATTTACAGATTTGTTTTTATGGAGATTTTGAAATAAATGGATTATGGAAGGAGTATTGAACATGAGACATTGAATGATTGAAAAATGGAGATTAGAGTGAGCGTCATATGCAAAAATGTACCAAGAATGTACAGACGTGCTGATCATGATGTCAAAAATTGAACTAATGAAGCAGATATTTGTCAGATCTGTAAGAGATCTTGGCAGTACCTCTACAAATCAAAGATACCGAATATCAGTAAGAGGAGCTCTGAATATCTCGTTATAAGAGTTTGATGAATGCATGGTTACTGAACTGAGTTTGAACAACGGTGATGGTGAAACGCAGATTCAATGAGGTAAGGTTTATTTATTGTAAGGGAGGCTTTTGTAGTGAATGGTTGGGCTATTTTGCCTTGACCTGATTTGTTGTTCTAGTGAATCTAGGGTAGCTGGATGGTAAAAAAAAAATATATGGAGGAATATATGGATTTGCATATACGGCGCTTTAGCACAATAAAAACAAAACAAAGTGAACGATGAAATAAAACACGAAAGCTGAAAAAATAGCTTATGACCATAATCGAGCAAGCGAAGTAGAACATGACCATCAGATAAGAACACCCCCCCCCCCCCTCCTATACAGTTGATGCACAATTCTTGCACCAAAAAATAAAAAAAAAAGTTTAAAAATGCAAAAACAACCAGTTTACAAGGTATGCTCTTTGTTATGAATGTCAAGAGTAGTATTTCATAGTACATTTTAGAAAATCAATATGAAACAACATTAATAAGTCGCCTTGCAAAAACCGAAACTCGTAACTTTTCGAAGAGACGTTCAGCCGCTACCTGCTTCTCTCAGTCAAACAGAGTACGTCATAAAATCAAAAACAAAAAATAGACTTTGATAGGCGTTTTGGCAACTTTAGTGAGCAAAATCTAAAAAATCACTTTTGGGGTACTTCTCTTAATCAGCTTATATCTTTGCCATATGCCCCTAAGGAGTTCTGACTCGAACACCTGCAAAAAGCCCAAGATTTTCTCTCTCTACTTTGTATCTTCAGAAGATTTCATTGAAGCTGAAGGAAGTGACAGAATTTCAAAATTTTTGGTGCAAGTGTTTTTGGTGCATCAACTTAATATTTCAGTCCGTGGACCTAACTCTGTAGGAGCATTCAAAAAAAGAGGTCCGTTGATGCCCACACTCTATGGAAGGAGTCCTATGTGGAGAAAAGGGTGTGAGGAATTTTAAAAAGGATCCATCAAGAAGCACGTTTGGAATGAAATTGCAAAATCTCCATATGAAGCTAACGCGCGTTTGTGATATTTGAACACCGCACCAGCATCTTATACAGTACTTACGCAGAATATTCGGTCAACACGCAATTTCAGCCATGCTGTGACGCAGAGGCACATGCGGGAATTTGTGCAATTGCGGCCTACACGACGACCTCAACCAAAGGAAGAAAGTGTCACCAAAAAATTACAACTAAAGCTATAAGAAGGCTTTACACCAAACGTCAAGCGAAAAAAAAACTTAAGTCAAAATAATCAAAAAGCGGAGATTCCTGCTTCAGGGTAAAATTAGTTTGACTTCCTTAAAATGGCGGCAGAAAACTGGAAGGCTTCACCTCATCGTATAAATTTGGTGTCAAGACGTGTTGTCTGGCGAGTTCATAATGGATAGATGGTTTGTATTAGACATAATGGACAAATAGTTTGAATTATACACAGTGGATAGATGGTGAATTGATTCAAAGTGTGTGAGGTTATTTATCTAGGCACATTAGAAGTTTATAGGCTGAGAGCAATGGAGGTATAGTAACAGAATAATCGTAAGTAGCAGGATCTATGTTACTATTGTTTGAAAATAACTGAGAGCTAAAATTATAGCAGGCTGAAAAAAGTACTTCTGCGTTCGGTAAACAATATGACTTAATTGGATTACAGAGTAATGGTTGGCTTGAAAATTAGGCATCTCAAGCGTCATGAAAATGGTAGCAAAGAAAGTTCCTTCCGTACTGACGCTATATCTTGGTCGCAAAATTCACTTCGTATATTAAGCATGAAAAAAGCACTGCATAAAAAAGAGAACAGTGGCAACATCCTGTTAACCTCGAGTATTCAAAATGGTGATTTCGCAATGGAAATACGATTTAGGCGGAAAAGGAACGGTAATGTTGATATGTGAATACCTGTAATAATGGTCCTTCCCCTATGACGTCAGTAGGATTAGTAAATTGGGACTGATGAGGATCAGCGACTTTGGAGCCTGAAAGTCTCGCAATGGTTGCAATTCTTGGGAAAATCAGTTTTCAGACACGTTTGACACGTTTGAAAGAAACAGGAGATAAACTTTAAAAAAATAAGCATGTCTAAAAACTAAATTATGTTCATCAAATTCCTAGGCAAAGGACTTTTACTCAAACGAAAAGAACAAGATCTTGCTAAGGGCTTTCCCTGATTGTAGAAGAAGCGCGGAGTTTTGCGACTCATAAGACCTAACTCTCATGCTTGTCATGAACTTGAGAATTTAAACGGAAGAGACACGATGATGACAATGGACTGCGCCGGAAAATTTCCAAAATTAAGAAAGGTATTAGCATACTGAGGCGGGTGCCAATATACAGGCATTTCCTTGCAGGACCATGCAAATCTCTGTCCGACGTGTTCTAAAAGTGCAAAAATATTCAAATGGGTCAGCTTATCATTATACGTAATTTTGCTGAAGGTTTTTAGTACGTTGTTTGTATATCACGCATTATATAAAACATAGTTAACAATCATTGCTTATTTTGCATGTGTATACTGTTGTTCAATGATTAGGGAAAGTTTCGCCTTATGTTCTTTATTTTTTGTAATAGTTTTCACTATATCCGATCTTCTGCTTGCGTATCCTTCTTCAATCGATATGGATTTGATTGTAAAAGCATTGAAATAGGGCAGTTCACGGATTTGCTGCGCGCCGGTGGTGACGACCTCGTTTTCACTGTTCGTCGAGGATGGCCTTCAAGGCAGTAGTTCTAGTTGGCGGCCCACAGAAAGGTGCGTTTTATCAAATTCTCTACAAATGGGTGTATTCCTTGCTGCTGGAGCACTTCTATCGCTCTATGCGATATTTCTCGTCTTACCTGTCGTACTGATGGCTGTTGCCGTACAGAATTGTCCACTTTCTTTGTAAACATGCTAGGTTTGTATCTTTTTACATCTCTATTGATTTTACAGTTTTCGTTTTCGTTTTCGCGTAGTCATACGACAACCGGTCTTGCCCTTTGGACTTTGTAATTGGTTGTCACTGTGTAATAGTTGACCTTGTGTTGACGTTCTTGTGATATGAAATACGAAGGACTGTCCTATCAAGGAAGTTCTCGTTTTTTGCTGTCTTTTATCTAAATTGTGAAGTGTCTTATCGCAACTGTGGAATTTTTTTCACGTGGTAGGGACAACTCTCCGAATAAGGATTGGTGAAAGCGAAAGCATGAAGATATGTTTCTCATGATAGATATGAGATTACTTTGGGTACTTTATTGTCACCTAAAATATTGTGATGGTAAACTTGAGCGAGTTTTGGCAATGTAATTTTTCCATTCTTTTTGTGGTAAAGTCTTACTATGGGGTACTGTCATAGATATCTGACGCAATCGCTTAGAAATGCTTGATTTGATAAATACAATGTTTTGAAAGTCTTTTTATCTTAAATTTCGATGTCTTTTTCACCTTGCGAAAGCAAGGTTAAAAAAAAGAAAAAAATGAAAGAAAAGGAAAAATTTCGCATTTTCATTGTTGTAATCACTTTCCAAATTGTGCTATTGAATATAAAGGTGATGATCAGCTTTTTATTATAGCGATACTTAAAAGTTATCCTGCTTAGCCCTGTGAGAATGTTCTTCATAAAGGACTGCATGACGTTTTCAGAAAAAATAGCATTTTTGCTCATTCACCGTCGTGATTTATTGAGAACTGAGTATAATATTTTGTGTGTCGTTTTTTGTTTAACAAGAGCAAAAGTAGTGGGGTAATCCGATCCTTTTGTGGCGATCTGATTGCGCGTTTGCATCAGCTGAATCAGCTGACGTCACAACGTCGAACTCGTTCATCGATAAGATCGAAAAGGAGCTTTCGTTCCATTTAGGCCCTGGCCAGACTTCGCACAAAAGCGCCCAAAAGCGCTCAGAAGCGCGCAAAAGCGCTCAAATTTCTCTATTGGTGTCTCTTCACTTTCTCGTGTGAGGAAAGATGAGAGAGAGTGAGGAGAAATTAGAGAAGTTTGGGCGCTTTTGCGCGATTTTGAGCGCTTTTGGCCGCTTTTGAGCGAAGTCTGGCCAGGGCCTTATCGAGTAACGAAATCAACCTTTGCCCTAGTCTTACTTGCATTCATGTGAAGTTGTCAGAATGTTTTTTTTCTCTACCGAATCGGCTCAATAGTGCAAACATTTAGGAACGCGTTTTCGTCCTCTATCGCTTCAACTTCCAAAACCTTTATTTCCTATTGCGGGCGTTCCATTAGTAGAGCATCACATTGATCAACTATCACAGGTATGTCTAGCTATTTCAATTTGTGCTCTTTTTTTGTGTGCGTAAGGGTGCGATAATCATGCGTATTTTCGCCAGACTAGGTTATGTGTGGCTGCAGGAATAAAAAAAACCACATAGAAAAATGTTTTCATAAGCTTGTATATCAACTTTTGGTTCAAACAAATGTCAAAAACATTCAGCGATCGCACAGGGCTGTATGATTAATGCCTCAGAAGTCTGACTTGGGTGAAGCTGTGTTCATAGTCGAACGCCACAAACTCAATGTCAATAGCATGCTATCGCAGGCGTCGCCCGACTAGAGGTGTTCCTAGACCTGTTTTGTACTTTGCCGACACCCACGCGACTACGAACATTTACTGCTTCAACAAATAGCTTTGGAAGCGTGCTCGTCAGTTTTCCTTGATTATGCGGATTTCATTCCGCTGCCATAGTTGGTAAGGAGAGGACAGGTAGACAACTAGGCGATTCGCAGGACATTTTGTATAGATTGAAGGCACGGTCCGCCCTGAGGATGAAATTTTAATGTCGTATGACAGCAGAGCCTCTAACGAAGTAACCGCCCAAGTTCCGCCTCCAAATGATGAATACCGAAACGAACAAGTCACCATAGAGAGTTCAAGCGGCTCAGGAGTCTCCGCTCATAACTTGGGTATTCTGAAGTTAACAAGTTTAAGATGCGCTCTATGCATCTGGAATTGTCATAAGTCCTCCCTTCAATATGGATATCAGATTTTCGACGTTTCCATCTACCCTGGAGACCACTTCCGCATCAATTCATCTCATGTAGCGGGACTTGGGTGATAATCCAGTCAGAGGCTGTGTATGATACATCAGCAAAATCTCACCATCCTCAGTTCGCATGAACAGTGCCTCAAAGGCAGTGTCTCGACAGAATTTCGTTTCCCAGTTTTCTATCTTTTCGGAGACTCCTCGCCATGAGGAAATCGTATCTGAACTTTTCAGCGCATGGAGATGCCGAAAGAATTTTTTCCGAAGCTTTCCAGGTCCGGATTCAGTGGAAAATACGTTGAAGCGGGCGGAGTCCGGAAAGGGGAGGCCGGGCGGGGGAGACTTCTGGCGTATTCTCACTAAATGCGAAACTGAAAAGCTTCACAAAAAGGTCATTTTCGCCATTTTTATGCACTGAAGAGCCCAGATATCGATTCGTCATGGCGACAAGTCTCCGAATAAGTGTAAAACTGGACAGCAAAATTTGCCAGGACGCTGCCTTTGAAGACTATCGGTGTAGTACTGTAAAAAAATGTTTCAACCTGACTTATTTGGTTTTCAAAGAAGACGCAAAAACTTTTCATTTGCCACTTAAAAGCTTGTAAGCCTATTTTTGGGTTAGCGCAGAAAATGCCAGAAGTCATAAAGGTGGGGCGCAACTTGCAGAGAATCTATATTGGACCTATCACTGTGCAAATGCAAAATAATGTACCAGAAGGAGTTGGCAGAGCCGCTTGTATCATGTCATCCGGTGTACATACTAGCAATAGAATGCTAATTTTTATGCTTAATCTATCTCTTGCAGCTTTCTGGACTTTCTGAAATAGTACTTATTGGCTCGTATTCGTCAGACCTCTTCACAGATTTTATTGGAAGATGTCAACAAACTTACCGTATCTCCATCAAGTATGCACAAGAACAACAGCCAATGGGTAAGCTGTGAGCTAGTTGTTATTGTTTTCTTGGATAGTTTATATAGGTAGTCAGGGTGTAAAACATACTATGACTTTGGAATGAATGTCGAGTTAACCTGGAAATAAGTAGGTCTCTACCGCAAAACTACTAACTTTCAGGCACCGCCGGTGGTCTGGTGGCTCACAGAGAACTAATTCTCAAAGATTCACCTGCAGCACTATTTGTCATCAACGGCGATGTTTGCGGTGATCTTCCTGTGGATGAGATGGTCAGCCGAATCGCTACTCTACCCGAAGACAGTTGTTTACTTCTCACCACTGAGGCAACACGAGAACAAAGCGGTAATTTTGGAAACGTGAGTTTTTGGCACACTTCGCGTGGTGTATAATATTTTTACATGTATACTCCATTATACAGGTGGTTATCGATAATACCGGTCGCATTGTACATTATGTGGACAAACCCACAACTTTTGTTTCTACGCACATCTCTTGCGGAGTTTATCTGATAAAAACTAGTGTGGTGAAGGTGCGTTTGCCTCATTTCGTTATTTGAAAGTTTTATATTTACGTGAGACGAATTTTTCTCAAGGGTTTAATGTTGGACCATTCCACTAATTTATGGTTTGAAACTGATGTCTTCCCGAAAATGGCTTCCAACGGCAAGTTATACGCATTGCATACAACGCGTTGGTGGAGCCAGACTAAAACAGCAGCGTAAGTTTTTATATGATTCCCAACTTTTTTCCTCAAGATTTTATTCATTCGTTGCGACCTGATCACTTTGACATGAGACGTGTATTACGTTTTATGTATTCTTATTATTATGTACGCGCTATCATATTCAGCTAAATTTACTCGTATCAGTCACCGTAGTTTTTTTTTGATCCTCCAAATTTCTTTTTAAGGGCTGTGCTATATGCAAATCGACATTATCTGCGTCTTTTTAAAAAGAGATACGCAGCTCGTCTATGTAAAGATCGAGCACAAATTGTTGGTGATGTCTTCATCGATCCCAGTGCTGAGGTATCAATTTTGCGCGGCATAGAGAGATCAAGTTAAACCTGTATTTTGAGGTGGACAAGTCAGCTAAAATAGGACCAAATGTTAGCATAGGGCCAAATGCAAAGATTGGGAAAGGAGTGAGAATCAAGGTTTGGTACTATTTTGCTCAACTATTCTTTATTTAAAATTTGATTAAATATAGGAATCTATCATTCTTGCCGATGCAGTTGTAAATGAACATGCTTGTGTACTGCACTCGGTCATCGGATGGCGTTCCGTAATTGGTGCCTGGTCACGTGTTGAAGGAATTCCACTTGCACCCAATCCGAATTTACCTTTTGCTAAGGTTGGTATTTGAACACTTCCTAATCACTTTCTCATTATCAAATATCGAAATTTGTGAGATGTAGTCAATCAGTGTGTATTTAGCTTGAGATAAGTTAGATCTAAAATGCAGACCCCAAAGGAGGCGACACTTACCCCTACCTGAAAAGTAAAACGCTTTTGAAGTGCATTTCTCATGCATTGGTTCACTTGCATCTCTTTCAGCTTGAAAATAAACCACTGTTTCTATCGGATGGTCGTCTCAATCCTTCACTCACTATTCTTGGCTCAGACGTTTCGATAGCACCGGAAACTATCGTTTTAAACTGCGTTGTCTTGCCTTACAAGGAACTGTCTTGTAGTTACAAAAATCAAATAATACTGTGATTGTTGGTCATATGAAAGTCTGTTAGATATCTAATCTGGTATGTATATGTATTGTCAAGTCAACATTTCCGTTCACATAGTATTTATTCGCTTTTTCTGTGATCATTGAGTGTCTCAGTTTGCTGTGCTGCTGTCGTTTTAGTTTTGGTTTTGCCAAAAAGAGCGATATGAGGAACGGTAATTTGTTAGTACCCATTCCAATATATATATCTATCTACGCTGTGATATTGCCTTTATGATTTATGAGAAGAAATAAATTATGCTTTATTTACGTTTTTTTTTTGAAACCTTAAAAGGTTGAGCGATTCGGGCAGTAGGCAATAATGACGTAAGTGAAGTGCGAAGCGAAGTTATTACTCGATTTCAAAATATTCATGGGTCGACGATGGGTGCGACGTTCGCAGATTTCCCTTTTTTATTTTCAAGAGGGTGTCACAAGCTAAGAGAACTGGAGTAGCGGTTGATGGTAGTCTTCTGACGTTTGCAGATGTCGCAGAGTCGAGTCGCAGATGTGCCGTTTTTGTCCGATCCAGATACGCCCTGAGCAACCTAACATCGGCTAATCACCCGGCGCCGTAGGGGGACCCGATATGTAAAGCATTTCCTTTCCTTGCTGTACGGATAATAGGATTTCCGCGGCAATAGCGGACTTATCAAGCCGTTTCTTGCCCTCGACGGGCATCGTCAACCCTGAGATGTGGAGTGAGGACCGTCAGCGAGCTGTCAGAGAGCACACTTTGCTGTACGTTGCAGGTTCCATGCCACGCGGCGGACCTAACAAGGAAACGATACTCAATGTCCGTAGCCTTTTGAGACGAGATGCATACCATTACACTCGTCTTCGAACGCTGGTTCCGAATCTAACTTCCGTTTCTGCTAATCGTTTCTCTGAAAGAAGTTATGGCGAATTTTGAGCCAAGTTTGGCCCCCAAGGGAAATATGGTCAATGGAACGGCCTCAATTGCGGCCACGTTGTGGTCAAGTAAATAATGCGTAGCCTCATAAGTTGACGCAGGTGTAGGTTCAAATCCTTTTGTGTTTTTACTTTTGCACTCCTTCACTTGTTCGAGAAAATTCACTCGAATTATGATCCTTGGTTACATTTTAGCGCAAACTAATCATTTATTCCAAATCTACACATTTTTTGAAGAGTAGGCGCTCACTTAGCTTGAGAGTGCGAAAGAAGGTTAAATGAGGCAATGCAAAACTGGAAAACAGAAAAGGATTCGAACCTACACCTGCACCGACTCATGAGGCCATCGCACTAACCACTAGACCACAGCGTAACGTTAGCATTGGCGCTCTGACCATATTTCACTAGGCAGCCAAACTCCGCCCGATCCATCGTAAAATCTTTAAAGCGATTAGCAGAAACGGAAGTCAGATTCAGAGTCAGCGTTCGAAGACGAGTGTAATGATATACATCTCATCTCCAAAGGCCACGGACACCGAGTATCGTTCCCTTGTAAGCGGATTCATGGGGACTATCTTGACAGAGTACAATAATATTAGATGTGCAGGAAGGCACAATAGGAAATGATGAGAGTGTGGTAGTCATACTGATTGTGTGACAATCGATGTGATTATTACACGAATTCTCACACATCCCATCATTTCTGTTTTTTTTGCGTTGGTTCACAAGACAACCTAGTCTTGTGCTTCCGATCTGGCAAATTTGATCATGTCGGGCGCGAAATTCCCGGTCTCTCCAGCTCGGGCTTTGCTGCCCATTCGAGTTAGCGTCCAAAACTTTTATAACTCAGGGGTTGGGCGCTTTCGTCTGACCGGGTGCTCGTTTGTAACGGTGAATGAGCTCCCGATCAGTGATCGGGAGATTGAAAGCCTCTGCCTTTCGGTATGCATGGCTTAAATTCTAAAAATAGAGTGATTGCTGTTTTTGGCCTGCAGAATGTTGCTTGAGACGGAAAAAATTAGAATCATTGAATTGAATCCTATAGGAACTGAAATTGGACCCTTTAGAGCTAATCGATGCTTTTTTTCGATATACGAAAAAACTATAGTAAAAATAATCAACATCCTTCATCGAAATGCCTTTCTGAATGCGGTTGATTATTAACACATTCAAGACAAGCCCAATTTTGCGATGGCTGCCATTTCGGACCACAGCATACTTTGCAATTTCGAGTTTGCGTTATATTTTCTTGCCACTGATGGATCCCATGGGCTGAAGTGTTGATTTTTTGAGAAGTATTTCAAGAGTTGTATACAGAAGTATGTTCAGTTCACCCAAAAAGTTTCGTAAGCTAGCAAAAACAAAAACTTCAGAAAGCATACGACCCACCGGTGAGTCCGTATTGTCTGAAATGACAGGGTACGTGCGACCCACCGGTGGGTCGTGTCGTAAATGTGTTAAGGGAGTTTCTCTGCCGTTCTTTTCGAGCGTACATTCAGACTCACTGTTTGCAAATGATTTTCTAAACCTTGTCATCCAGCTTGAAGCTAATTATAATTTTTTTTTGTGTGTGTGTGTGTGTGTTGTGTGTGTGTGTGTGTGTGTGTGTGTGTGTGTGTGTGTGTGTGTGTGTGTGTGTGTGTGTGTGTGTGTGTGTGTGTGTGTGTGTGTGTGTGTGTGTGTGTGTGTGTGTGTGTGTGTGTGTGTGTGTGTGTGTGTGTGTGTGTGTGTGTGTGTGTGTGTGTGTGTGTGTGTGTGTGTGTGTGTGTGTGTGTGTGTGTGTGTGTGTGTGTGTGTGTGTGTGTGTGTGTGTGTGTGTGTGTGTGTGTGTGTGTGTGTGTGTGTGTGTGTGTGTGTGTGTGTGTGTGTGTGTGTGTGTGTGTGTGTGTGTGTGTGTGTGTGTGTGTGTGTGTGTGTGTGTGTGTGTGTGTGTGTGTGTGTGTGTGTGTGTGTGTGTGTGTGTGTGTGTGTGTGTGTGTGTGTGTGTGTGTGTGTGTGTGTGTGTGTGTGTGTGTGTGTGTGTGTGTGTGTGTGTGTGTGTGTGTGTGTGTGTGTGTGTGTGTGTGTGTGTGTGTGTGTGTGTATCAACTTCTACTCTAACTTTATTGGGGAAACTATGATTTTATTAGGAAATGAAACGGTCTGACAAAACCAAAGTCTACTGTCGAACAAGGCGCATAACGAAGGGGGCGGGGGGAGCGGCGATCTGTGAGGACAGTTTATTGTAGGACGCTGCTGGGTAAGTTTCGCAACGACATAGCCGCCGCGTGTTACAATATCATCACAATTTCCAGCTACAGGATACAGTGCTACTATCTACTAAGGTTGTGGGGAAAATGTTTATCGTTGAGATGATTAGCACTGTTCATAGGTAACTCATCAACTGCATGGACTAACGACCGCGGAACACGCGATGTGTGTAGAACGCTTGTTTCAGTACAAATCGCCGTTGTGGCAACGCTATTTAACGCGCGTCGCGACCGCAGCAAACACGCCAATCTGTGTGGTCGATGAATCACCTATAGTCGAGTAGATTCCGCTTAATATTGCTTGCACTGTAGGCGAAAAGCGGTAAAATTTGCGCGTAAACACTTAGCCACGCCAATAATACCGGCATTCTGCGCGCTCACTTGGTCGGCATCACAGGCGCAGCTATTTTTTTCATCACAGGCGCAGCTATTTTTTTCACGCGCAAATTTTTACCGCAAATCACCTACAGTGCACGCACCTATTAAAGGCACCGTCCACCCAAATTCTCGACTTCCATGTTTTTGTCGCTTTCGGGCCTTCTGAAGGCCCTGATTTTGAGCATGAAGTCGAGAATTCCAGAAACCCCAAAAAGCCTATTATGGAGAACAAGCGGGAGGGTGGAAGTGGTCGCAGGGCTGCGGTGCTGTTATACGTCCGGCGCATATCAGCGCCGCAGCCCGCCAAATCTGCAAAATGGGCGGAGTGACCAGCTGGACGGAGTGACCAACTCTGCATTACGTACCTTTAGGAGCGGATTTCTCCCTCCGGAAGCAATCTTTTGCGGGGAAACTTCGAGATTGGCCTAGTGTGGGCCCACATTAGTATGCCATCGAATCTCATGAACCCTCACTTTGGGTGGACGGTGCCTTTAAGCGGTGAAGCTACTCGACTGTATATATGTATCGCTTGTTCGCACGACTGTAGCGGGCATAGGCGCTGCACCTCTAAAGCGGCGCGGTTTTGGTAGCGAGTGATCACTTCTATCAATGTGTGTGGATAGAGAAAAATCAGCTGTTGATCGACTTTAACCTATTCGCGTCCTAAACCGCGAACGGTGCCCGCTACGATAGGTTGGAACGATATGCAATACCAGCAATGTAGAATTGCTGCTTGCTCGCTATTTCAAGCCCGTAAAAATTATCAGGCTTTTTTGGTCCAAAATAGACATAACCATACACATGCTCGTTGCCCATGATAGGATTCAAGTATTCGTCGATCGCTGTTTTTCCGCAGCAAGCGTTATCCTCACAGGCGCACTTTCCAGTGAAGGCATAGCCACCCAGGAAGTAGTAGCCAGTGGTGTTGTAGATTTGTCCAAAATACAGTCTGCTGCGACCTGAACTGACACTTTCACTCTATAGCTTTGACCAGTCAGTCTCCTGGGATAGGAACATGTAGATTACGATAGCGCAAAAGTGATCCTAGAATCCTTCGAAAGTGATCCTTCAGTTTTCGCAAAGACCTTGGCAAGCACTTACTGGCTCCAGTGAAAACAGGGACGGAGACACACTGTGACTGTGGCTCACTCGCAATGTACAACCTGAACCTTCTGTAAAGTATATTACTCTAGCTCAGCATTGTTGCCAATAGTTGATACTGTTTCCGAGCTGTACCTTTGTGCCTCAGAAAACTTCTCCATCAGGGCGGAATTGCTGTAGAGCGGAATCCCTGATCCGGTGAAAAATACGTGAATAGTTGTCACTTGAAATGGTAGCTCGCTACAGGTCACTTCCTCGTCTGGCTGCATCTCGACGGGCTTAAATTCTACAGTAGGACGAAGCGCAACTTCCCATGGGCATGATGGAAGGGTCAGCGTTCGGTCTAGTTCGTATGTAATCACACTTGGCATATAAATGATGGTTCCCGATTGATAAACGGTGCAGTTGTCCTGCAGTGCTTTCCTTTGGGGTCGTAAGCACTTTGTGATTTAAAGCACACATACCTCAGAATAATGTACGAATTTGCACAGTTCGTGGTCGTAGCAGATATTCAGACACAACTCCACGCTATCTATAGATCTTCGGTAAAGCATTTTGGCCTCAAATTTGCCAGAGACTAGTTTGAAAGTGACTTCACGAAAGGCATGGACCTGGCAATCAGACTTTCCTAATTTAGTAAGCTTCCTCATATTACAAGCGTAATTTTACAATCTTCTCCAAAAACACTATATGATGCTGGAGAAATCCTGACATACCTGCTCACAGAGCAGACACAGCGCGAGAATCAGTTTCATAGACATTGTCTCTCTAAAAGTATAGGACATTTAAGGAATCATGACGATGGCGCGAGACACGCGCGCACTTCCAGCAAACGTATTCTGTTGGTTTTCATCACTCCTCGAATGATTTTTCTGCTTATCTACGTTATTATTTAGTCATTGGAAGCGACTGAGCTGAGCATTGAGATGATGCCTTTTTTCATGAGTCTTCAATGCTCCTGTGAGTGCAAAGGGGAACGGAACTTACCTACCCGAGATATTCTCGCACCTCATGGGTGTGTGTCTGCGGGGTATAATTAGGCACAGCGAGTTCGCTGCTTCCAGATTCTCCTTAGGATACAGCGCTAACTAAGCCCGGCCCACACATTCCACCTTTTTGGCATAGAACCAAGACATGCCAGAAAACCTGGCAATACCCCTAGACATCGAGACTAGCTCAGCGCCAGAAGTGCTGAAAGAGGGCTGCGAGCATAGTTGCGATAGGGGGAGTGATGGATCTTACCCCCTTCACTTTGAGGCAAACTCCCGATGACCCCCTTCACCTGGGCTGAGATTGGTATTGTACTCTGAGAATATGATAAAAATCGTTATTAAAAGGTTTTGCAGGCTAAGTAACTCAAGCAACAAGTACACTCATAAATTTACAAAAGAAACGGTATTTGTGTTTGTTTATATTATTTATTTGTCCTCGAAGCGTTCATTTGGAGAGCAGAAAGTGAAGACACAAAATCAGTTAATTTTTGAAGCACATAAAATCCCTCATATCTCGCGGCACAGAAGAACTAGAAAAAACTCGACGGTCTACGTCGATTCTCCATGATCTCAGCTTTCGAATGGTATACAGCATGTTAGGGCTTCTTTGCTTTCCGGCGCTAAAAATCATTTGCTCCGGTAACCGATAAAAGCCAATACATTGGTGGAGCTGGATTGGAGCAAGCTAATAGTAAATATCTCCACCCCATTTTTGAAAAGTGGTTAGTTTTTTCGCCCAGCAACCTATATATCATTCGAAAGCTCAGGAAAAGGGGATTCGACCTAGACCGTCGACTTCTTTCTAGCCCTCCTCTACCGAGAGATACACCACATTTTATCTGAAAACATGGTCATTTTCAACAGCAGATTTCTGCCAAATGAAGACCTAATCACTGCTGATTATCTATCTATGTTAAAGAGCAAGTCTTCATTAACAAACGTAGACCGTCGACTTTCTCGTAGCATTCATTTGGAGAGCAGAAAGTGGGTACACAAAATCAGTTAATTTTTGAAGCACATAAAATCCCTCATATCTCGCGGCACAGAAGACCTAGAAAAAAGTCGATGGTCTAGGTCGATTCTCCATGATCTCAACTTTCGAATGGTATACAGCATGTTAGGGCTTCTTTGCTTCCCGGCTTTAAAAATCATTTGCTCCGGTGACCCATAAAAGCCAACACATTGTATAGGTCGTCCCGAAAGTTCTTGCGCACGATTTTCAAAAATGCATAACTTTTGATTTTTCCAACCGATTGACTGCTTTTATTTTCATATGAAATAGTAAGTCATGTTTTTTATAATGACATCTTATTTGCTTACTAATGGTCATCTGTTGCATAGAGAGCGATAGAAGAATATTGGTCAAAATTTGAATTTTTCGGGTAGGGTCATAAAAAATTGGAAACTTGCAACAAAATCGGAGCAGTCGGGATTGTAGGTTCTTTTACCAGCTCTTTCCAACAGTGCAAAGTTTGCGCTGATTGAGGGTCTCTATGAAAAGGTATGATTTTCGAGCAAGCAATACAAAAGGGCGAATTTGGTTCATTTTGGCATTTTTCAGGGAAATCATAACTTTCCATAGAAACGCTCAATCGGCGCAAACTTTGCATTGTTAGAGAGAGCTGGTGAAAGAACCTACAATACTGACTGCTCCGATTTTTGTTGCACTTCTCCGATTTTTTATGACTACATAGAAAATTCAAATCTTGACCATTTTTCTTCTATCGCTCCTATCTATGCAACAGATAACCATTACTAAGCAGCTGAGATGTCGTTATAAAGAGCATGACTTACCCTTTCACATAAAAGTGAAAGCAGTCAAATCGGTTGGAAAAATCAGTAGTTATGAATTTTTGAAAATCGTATGCAAAAACTTTCGGGACGACCTAATAAGAGCGAGGTGGAGCAAGTTAATAGTAAAAAATGTGCTGTGGATTGACATCTTTGTCAGCACTAACGGGAACGTGAGCGATCGCGTCTATTCAAGCGCGCTTATCGTTGTTATATGTTTATGTTTTTTTAGTAAAAAATGCGCTTTTGATTGACAGTTATGCCATCATTATTAGCACACACTCAAAAAACTATGGGAGATTGGTGAATTTCCACACCTTCACACAAAAATCCGCCCATTTCTGGAGTCTATACTCTGTAAACCTAGTGCTGAAAAGGTCACTTTCATGAAAACGCTCTAGACTCACTTTACCTAATTTGTAGAGAATGGTTGGTTTCAATGAATCAAAACTTTAAGACATTCAGAAGAAAAACATGTTATTAAAATATCCCTTAATGTTTTAGAAAGGTTGGCAGTTTGAAGACGAAACGGCAGGTAGAATACTTTACAAAATCGCAGATAACTCGCATGTGTTCCAGTTCAACAGCGAGGCAGAAGGAGACGCCGATGAAAATGTTGTCGACATTGATACAGAGTTGACAATCGAGCGAAACTCTCCGATTTCCTACATAAGGAATCCACGCAGATTGCCTAGTTTCAATGAGGAAATGGGAAGTCCATTGCTAATCTTCAGGTTGCTGAAGATTTCAAAGCTGCTAAATTCACAAACATGGATATGAACATAAGGAAGGTGTTAGTACGAAGCATAGCTACTGCTCTTAGATCCCGACTGGAGTGCGAATCCAACTCTGTGCTTTATGGTTTTGGAAGTTATTCGCCTTGTGAGATTATGACCTACGATATTGAAAAAAAAAACCAACGCGCAGCATAGTATCTACTTTTTTCGGCTATTCCGCAGATGCTGTTAAAGAAGAAGTTGAGCAGCTTTCTCATCAGTTAACAGGACGTATGCCAGAGGAGGTGAAGCCAGAGTTCGACAGGGTCCAAAAAAGTATGCAATATTTCCTTCCCGTTGTTGCGAAAGCATGTGCGATCTCGCTCTTTCCTCATTACTTACCGCAAAAATCTGATGGACTTACTAGCAAAGCTAGTTTCCATTCCGACTAGCACGGCAGAGGTGGAGAAAAAAGTTTTCTATCTACTTTGTTATCAGAAAACAACGCAGAAGTCGTACAACGATGGAGCATCTAAGCAATTAGTTAAGGTTTGTCAACCTTCTGCTGAACATATTGTTATCTAAAAAATTCATTTGAGGGATTGGTATAAGTGGTCCAGACAGGCTGTTACCGTATGACTTTTTGAAATATCCTAAAAGATCGTATGAAGAAACTGGTCACCTACCTGCTGACTTTCCTGGTGCTACCAGAGGGCCAGGAAAAAATCACAAAAGCGCTTAGAAAAAGAAAAAATCCATTTTCGACTCAGAACGCTTTTGCACGCAATTCTACTTCTACTTCGATGACCTTTTGGAGAAAGAAGAAGATTTTTTCAGGCAGCGAACTTGTTGTCTCTGACGTTAGCGATAGTAATGTTGTTGATGATGATGTGCAGGAATTGAAGTTGTTCCTAACTTCTACATCTTTTGGGATAAACCTCATTGCTTTCGTTTTTTGTTGATGCAATGAAACAGAAGCACAGATCTTCATAAAGTCAATTTTTTCAAAAATTTTGATTTCTTTCAAAATTTTTAAAATTTTTTTCAATTTGTGCCTAAATAAAGTGCAGATTAGAGCTCTTCATACCATGCTTTTTTACCTTTTCTCTCTTCCTCCCCCCCCCCCTAGACTCACATACCCCCTTCACCCTGGAAGGTTGGGAACAGCCGAGACCCCTTCACCTGGGGAGAGCCCGGCTCCCCCTATCGCACCTATGGCTGCGAGGCTCAAAATGGAGCTAATGGAAAGAAAAAAAAAGGTTGTAATCAGGAGGATAAGGCAAATCTGAATATGAAAGCCTGAAATAGAAATTCTCAATTTTATGCAAAAAATCCATAAACTTAAAAGTCAAATCATTATCATTAAGGTGCTACATCTTCAAGACATGCTGTTCTCACTAGAAAAATGGGTCATTTTTCCAACGTTCCGAGAGAAACAGTGAAAAAGCAGTTTTACAGCGTCCTAAGGCGTGCTTTATTTTTTGTCGAGATTTCTTAAGTTAAAAGTCAATTCACCAAAACAAAATTTCGGCTCCTATAAGTAAAGACAGCGCAAAACCAATAGCATATTTTGAATGAGCGCCTCAGAAAACCCCTAAATTCGTATATTAATCGAAATCGAGCAGATAGTTGCTGAACATTTATTTTGTGATTCTATTGAGTTCCCGGTTCCATGATGATTGATGGATGTCTCTAAAGAGTCGATGGATGGGGGGCGGGGCTTAGAATACATACAGATAGGCTCTGTACACTATGCTAATTGCGTACCTGACTGCTAATAATACCTAAGGTACGCTGCGGCAAATCTTTCGAGTAGGTAAGTTCCCGCACCCGTGCAAAGCCAGGAGCCCTAATTGTAATACAAACGGCTTA